AATTGGGCTCATTACATTCGTATTAATATATTCTGTTTATCTGCACGCCGCGCGCTCACAACAAGACATTGCGTGCTACAAGTAGCCCAGAATCTCAATCGCAACAACAGACTTTGAACGACACAATCATTGACGATAGCTTTACGACAGTTGTACACAAGAAAACCAGACATAACAACGCTAGGAAAAATCAAAACAAAGTAGGAAAAGCAACATTGACTACTGGTAAAATACAAGTGGTGCCTAGATTATCATACATATACGTATCTAGATTCCTACCTGAAAATACGGAAGAGGATATTAAAGAATTTCTCCAGGAAAGTGGAAAAGTTCCCGTAAAAATTGAAAAACTTGCACAGCACAAAAGTACCGACTTTTCTTCTTTTAAATTGACCGTTATTCAGGCACAGGAAGAGTCATTTTTGAGTGAAGAGTTGTGGCCGTCTGGGATAGTGTACAGGCGATTTAAAGTGAAACGACAGGTGATGACAGACAATCACACTACCAGATCGAAATAATTATATATATGAATTGACATTAATAACTAAATAATAATGATATCGAAGTTTGTCTCGTTCAACTGCAGGGGTATAAAGCGTACATATTTACACGTTAGAGATCTATGTAAAAACTGCGATATAATAGCATTGCAAGAACACTGGTTGATACCAGAAGAAATAGACTTCTTAAACAACATTCACCCGGATTTTGCATATCATGGAACATCGGCGGTGGATACGACAGCGGACATTTTGAGAGGGCGGCCCTATGGAGGGGTAGCCCTTCTGTGGAAAAAATCTTTGTTTACATGTGTGACGCCAATTGAAACCGGATCGTCGAGAGTAGTCGCCGTGCGCGTGAGCATCAGAGAAGCAGCACAGGAGCAGCGTAGTTTCATCGTCATGTCGGTATATATGCCGACACAGCATCCGGACAACATCCCACTATTTACAGAGTGTCTAGCGATTATAAGTGCAGTAATCGAAAATAACTGTGATGAAAATGTTGTGTGTCTCGGCGACTACAATGCGGACTTAACAAAATCGAACAGTATTTTTGGACGTGAGTTGATGAGTTACTGCGAGGAACAGAACTGGGTATGTGTTGATATCTCATTATTGGGACTAGCGTCCAAGACTTATACGTATCAAAGTGACTCTCATAGTTCTCATAGCTGGATAGATCACTGTTTAGTGACTGATTCTGCAAGTCGTTTGTTCACGAGTGCATATGTAATAAATGATGTATTTTTGTCAGATCATTTTCCTCTTGTAGTCGAGTTTAATATAGAAAGTGTAATTAGTAAAATAGATAATGCAAGCGATGTGTGTGTGAACAGGGTGTTATGGGGCACTAGAAATTTTGAACAAACTCGTCGATATACTGAATTGATTGAAAAATGCATAAAGAGCTGTAGTCGTCTCATGACGCTCGGTTCGCGCAACATATCGCATTGTGAACATAAGCAGTTCATTGAAAACCTGTACAATGACATTACGGGCTGTATGGCGAGGGCGGCTGTACAGTCTTATGTAGGGAAGTTAAGGAAAAAACAGAAGCAAGTAGCTGGATGGAACCATCATATCAGTTCTAGTCACCAAATTGCAAGACAGGCATACCAAACCTGGATTTTCTATGGCCGTCCTAGTCATGGTAGGGTATATGATGCTATGTATAACGCACGTAAAACTTTTAAGAACAAATTAAAATGGTGCCAGCGCAATGAAAATAAAATAAAAGCAGATATAATGGCTATGTATAGATCAAAAAATGATTTTTATAACTTTTGGAAAGAAACAAACAAACTTAAATATAAATCAAATTTGCCTATGTCAATTAATGGTAGTTGTAATCAAGCAGAAATAGCTAATATGTTTATAACTAAATTTAAACTAGTGAAACCGGTTATTTGTAAGCAGCGCTCAGCTGCTCAGCCGCCACTCGAGGCGTCGCCGGCACGGGGGCGGTGGGGGACGGGAGAGGAGTCGCCGCGAACTGCTGTTGTTGTATCGCGCGCTCACTCACACTCGCAAGCCGTTAGCAATGCATCTATCATGCAAATCACACCTGATCGGTTGTACAAAATAGTTAAGAACATGAAACGCGGCAAATCTCCCGGCCACGACGGCCTCAGCGTGGAGCATGTTTTGTATGGTGGGCCGTTACTGATTGAAAAATTATGTTATCTTATGAATGCATGTATTGATTTTGGCTACTTACCGAATGAAATGATTAAAACAATTGTTGCGCCTATTATAAAGAATAGAACAGGGGATGCGTCTAGTATAGAGAATTACCGGCCTATTTCTTTAGCAACAATTGTATCAAAAATCTTTGAAAGAATTATAAATGTATACCTAAACGAATCAAATATTATGTTAAACAGTGCCCAATTCGGTTTTAGAGAGGGTCTCTCAACTGACTTGGCAATATACGCTTTAAAAAACACTGTAAGATATTATCATAACAGAAACACTTCAATTTACTCTTGTTTCCTAGACCTTAGCAGTGCTTTTGATTCAATAGATTATAATTTACTGTGGCGTAAGTTGAGACAAACAAAAGTACCTACAAGAATAATTAATTTATTACAGTATTGGTACTCAAATCAAGAGAACCAAGTCAGATGGGGACAGTCCCTCTCTGTACCATATAAGCTTGAGTGCGGGGTTAGGCAGGGCGGACTAACCTCAACAGTTTTGTTTAATCTTTATATGAATGGTCTGCTGGAGGAGCTCAGCAGCACAAGAGTCGGTTGTCACATTGGCGGAGCATGTGTTAATAACTTAAGCTATGCGGACGATATGGTGCTACTGAGCCCCTCGGTGGCCGGCCTCCGTAAACTGTTAGGTATCTGTGAAAAGTATGCGCATATGCATGGCCTTAAATACAACGTTAAGAAAACGGAAGTAATGATTTTTAAAGCTGGTAGCGGCCCTAGAAGCATCCCAGAAATAACATTATGTGGTAGTTCATTAACTATAGTTACCACGTTTAAATATTTGGGGCATATAATAACCGACTCATTAAAAGACGATCATGACTTAGAAAGACAAAGGCGATCGCTTGCGATGCGTGCTAATATGCTTGCAAGGCGGTTTGCACACTGTTCCAAACAAGTAAAGATTACGTTGTTTAAGGCATACTGCCAGTCGTTTTACACCAGCCAATTATGGGAAAATTATACGAAGAATGTTTTTAATACTCTTCGTGTACAGTACAACAACGCCTTGAGGGCAATACTTGGTCTACCTTGGCGGTGCAGTGCGACTGGTATGTTCGCTGAGAACAACGTAACCGATATATATGTATTGTTAAATAGACTAAAGAAATCATTCCACAGGAGACTGTACGAGTCAAACAATAATATTATTGCATCATTAAACTCAACATTAACATATATCAACTTGGTAAAGTACATTTAATGTCACACACACTGTCTGTCATCTACATATCGCCAATGTTCGTAAAGTGCAATGAAATTTTTTAATAATGTATGTTAATTAATTAATTAAATTTATTTCATTCAATCTAATATGTAAAACTATGTCATATAGTTTTTATTATAATATTTATTTTTATTAATATTATTGTTATTGTCTGAATTTAATTTGATTTGAATAATTGACGAATTGTGATACAATGATTTAATTTTAAGACAAAATTGGACAAAATGCAATTGTTATTGTAATTTTTAATATGGGTTACTGTGCCTGAAATAAACACTTATTATTATTATTATTATTATTATTATTATTATTTCACGTTAAAGGAGGGTAATAAAAAAGTCTTGCAATAGTGAAGCCTTGTCGGAAATGGAGGGGACACGTATTCAGTCGCAATAAACTCGTTCTATGTTTTGTAATAAACTAAAAAGAGAAAAATAAATTAATAGTTTTTTAATTTGTGCTGAAGTCTGTATGTTAAAAGTCTGTTGTACGTAGGTATGTACACTTTTAAGGCGTCAATGGAATGCTAACTACAGGGGGCCAATCGCCTAACGGAAATGCTTTGGAAAACGCTAACGCTTACGATTTTATTTTGTTATTTCTAGCCGCCTGAGGTATTCAAATGCCTCGCGCTCTTTCTTTTTCTTTTGCATTGGTAATAACAATATTAAAAAAAATGAGCGTGAGGTATTCGAAAACCTCAGGCGGCTAGAAATAACAATATAAAATCGTAAGCGTTAGCGTTTCCCAAAGCATTTCCTTTAGGCGATTGGCCCCCAGGTATTTCCATTCAAAACCCGCGGTGGTTGGATCTATACTGGGCATCAATCAAGTCTATTAGAATGTTAATAAAGTTAGCTCCATTTAATACTTGCGGTGATAGGGAAATATACTTACTCATTGTGACTTTGTTAAGCTCGATGGCGCAGCTGGTTAGCACATTTAGCCTGCGATCGTCAAAGTTAAGCAACTTCCGCAATGGTCTGTCATTGGATTTGTGACCAAAAACTTTTTATATCGAACTCCTCCGTGCTTCGGTAGGTGATTCCGTCGGTTAGCAGCCACCAATAAGGTACTGGGCCCGCGTGTCACGGAGCAATATCCTTATTCCATCATATGGCAGGCCTTTGCCCTAACAGTGAAGACATTAATCTTAATCTATATACCTATATAAAACTCAAAGGTGACTGACTGACTGACATAGTGATCTATCAATGCACAGCCCAAACCACTGGACGGATCGGGCTGAAATTTGGCATGCAGGTAGATGTTATGACGTAGGTATCCGCTAAGAAAGGATTTTGATCAATTGTACCCCCAAGGGGATAAAATAGGGAATGAAAGTTTGTATGAAACTTTGTCAATTTTAAACCGATCGAGCTGAGACTTTGCATGCAGGTATAAGAAGAATCATAGATGAATGTCATTGTGTATAATACAAGCCTGAGAACAAAAACTGTAGTCTACACTTCAGCTCTACACCGAAGCGAAGCGAGGGCGGGCCGCTAGTAGGCTGATAGTGCAGAATGATAAATAGGAATTATTAAAAAAACAGATTTTATTCTTTGTTCCAGATACACCAGTGCATCCAGTCCAGTTAGTCATCCAGTTGAAGATGTCACAACATAAAGATGAGAACAATAAGTTAATGTAAACAGCACTCAAAATAGGTCAAACTCTCAAGATGACCTGAATCTCACGGGAACCCCATTGTGATATATCGATCGCTACACTACATCTATTTTACTAATAAGTTTAAAAAATATATAATATTAATACTCTAAAAATAAAAATACTTACACATAGCAAAAAAAATCCGCGTTCCTCTAGTGTTATAATAATAATATTTAGTGTCAATTAGTAAATACCAAAGCGTTTAAATTAAAAAAAATAACAACAAAGTTAAAGTTCTTCTACCTCCACAGAGAACTGTCTAATTATTTTTTCTAACCAAAGATAAATAGTTTAATAGAAAGATGGCGAATCAAATGCCCATATATAGCCAAGTGGTGCCGAAGTCCCAGTACCGCGGGAAGAATTCCAAGTCTAGCAGATCTCAGATGGGGACGCGTGAATTCGACCCGTTAAACTTCAATAATGGCGGCAACTTCCTGTCTCCGACTACGGAAAAGGAGAAGGGAGACAGGGGGGAGAAGGAGAGGAAGGAGAGAAGAGAGAGGTCCAGGGATGAGGCTAGTAGGGCCAGAAGGAGTCAGAACAGGAATGAGGCGAGTGAGATCAAAGTCGAGGCGTATTTGAGGCAGAATCAAGTGAATATGAGACAGCAACAGCATAGACACTCGGCTGTAAGACAGGCTGAGCACAGAGTTAACTTGAGGTGAGACAATTTTTCTTATTTTTTTATGTTGCACGGGTGTCGGGATCAACCGTCTAGGGCAGAAAAAACACAAATAACGGTGTGGCAAAGCCGCCAGATTGCTTCTTGCTGCTGCTGCTGTGCTCTGTCGAGGGTCACCACTGGTCTACTGTAGGAAGGCCAAAGGGGAAGATCTTCCTTCGAGCTGGGTGCTGGTAGCTCGGGGCCCGCATCCCGACTGATGTTGGTCGGGCATTGTATATATGAACTGTTGGCCGCCGAATTTCACTTGTGCGATGTAGGCTTCCATACTATTTGAGTGCAGCGCCGGTAGCGCCATCTCTTAAAGAGGCGAGTGATTAATTCCTCTATGTTGATTATATGTGTGGCATATAGATGTCGCCGCCACAACGGCATAACAAAGGATACAAGATACTGTTCAAACGACGTTTTTAAGTAAATATGTCGTAGTTAGTACAGGTGGTTATGGGTAGTTATGCTCTCTTAAAGGTCTCTTTGGTGGTGTCGTGTCTGGCAGGTCGTTAAGTTCCCTAAAATATGGTTGAGCGAAGCGATGGCTGGTTCATGTGTCATGTGAACGGGTGCTGCCAGCGGAGATGAGTCTGCCCTAACAACTTTGCTATTGAAGATGTTAATGTCTAGTTACACCTCATATAAATAACACTATATGTATTTATACTGTATGATACAGCAATCAAAATGCAGGTGAGTAATTGTATATTTCACATTATGTAATGAAAGGTGTCTTCATGAATCATCTCTGATGTCATTTTTTAACTTGACGACTTTGTAAATAATAAAACAAGGAGAAATGAACAGGCCCTGCCCGAGTTTCTTGCCGGTTCTGCTCAGTACGAGGTCTCCCGCCGTAGATTTACTATCCGATGGCGTAGCTTCTAGACATTCATGAATGCTTGTAACAGCCTAAACTGAATAAATGATTATAATTATGATTATGACTGGAGGGTTCATGTTACGTTTCCGATGGTGGGAAAATATTAATTTGCCGGTTTGCATGTGGACGTGGACCGTACGAAGTAGAAAATAGGGGGGAAAAGCATTCAAACGCGTCAAACATTGAGAAGATGTTATGTGAACCTTCCAGGAGTTCCTATTCAGACTTTAAGACTGACGATTTGCACGCCATCAAAAGTCATGGCCAGTGCCGTCTTTGACCTATTGGAGGCCCTGGGCATATTAGGATAATGGGGCCCCTATGACTTCCGTTTGGTGATTTAACAGGAACTAGGGACTTTGTATTTGATCGCGGGGCCCTGGGCACTTGGCCAAAGTGCCCACTGGGAAAGACGGGTCTGGTCATGGCCGTTTGTTGACATTTGTGAAGCTTGCCTTAGAGGTACCCTTAGTACGAACCAATATCGAATTCGAATAGTTGGATCCGATCCGTATAATGCGCTTAGGCATAGACATAAAAGGGCTCAGGTAAGAGTACTTCACAAGGTGCAAGATTGCCGCCCCTTATGTTACTCTGCTGCCATTGAGTAAATCCCCGCCATCATCTGCCAACAATCCCCGCTTGGGCTTCACCTACTATTGCCGTTTTACACGATTTTGATATCTTCATTGCAATTGCATGTATAGTACAACTCTTTTGAAGTGTACATATTTTTTAGTCGCGGAGAAAAAACAACAAGCGAAGAATCTTCACAATATTAAAATAATAATATGACAACATTATGTTGTTACAACGTCAATACAATTATGATTTATTTCATATAGAAAACCTGTGGAATGATTGGAACACTTCAAACTTAAGCATTTTAATCTGTATAATTAGACACTTTGTAATAAGCTTTTTTAATAAGTGCTTTTTATAGTATCTTTGTTTTTATTATGGTTAACTCTTGGATGTTGCTTGAGACTTTATTGTATAAGCAAACACAAAGACCTTTAAATAAATTATTGATTTTGAAAAGCCTAGTAGCAGGTAAACTTAGTTTATTTTTATTTCACGTATTAAGTGTGTGAACATCACTATTTTTAAGAAATAAGTTAATATTTTACCTTACAAGTAATATATATAATTTTATTTATAGTATAATTTTTTGTATGTGTGTTGTGATCCGACCGTCATTATGCCAATTTCTTTAAACTTCTCTCTAAAGGATTCTTTAACTGTAAGATTATAAATTGCTTAAATGGGTTTCACTTGTCATTAATGTAATCTTTATCTTCCGCGAGGTAGATCATGAAGGGTATTCTTCATCTCGTACGTATCCATAGAGTCAGTGCCGTCTTTGACCTATGGAGGCCCTGGGCATATTAGGATAATGGGTTAGGATATAGGTAAGTCATAGGGGGACTTCCGTTTGGTGATTTAACAGGAACTAGGGACTTTGTATTTGATCTGAAGGGGACCCCCTATTGATCGCGGGGCCCTGGGTACTTGCCCAAAGTGCCCACTGGGAGAAACGGGTTTGCATAGAGTAGACAAATCGTGAGCTTCAAATATTGTTAAAATATCGTCCTTCTTCTTCTTCTTCTAGTGCCTCTTCAATCCTGAAGGTTGGCCGTTAGCTTCCTGTATTTATCTCTATCAGCAGCAAGCCGGAACAGCTATTCGACGGTGGCAATACCGGTCCACTTCCGGATATTCCGGAGCCATGACTTCTTTCGTCTCTCTCCCTCCATTTTGCCCATCAGTATCATTATTAAATATTGTCCACAAGCTCAAAATTCAAAATATTATAGATGAAATCCTTGCAATATTAATTTGATCGAAATGGAAAATGGAACTTATTATACAGGCTCGGTCTAGTTTAGGTAATAGTTTATTATAAGTGCTATTTTATTGTATTTTTAGTTTCAAGTAGTATTGTCTATTAGTCATTGGATGGGTGACCAAAAATTTACTATCTCGAGCTCCTCCCTGCTTCGGAAGACACGTTAAGCCGTTGGTCCCGGGTGCATCTGCAGTCGTTAGCACCCACCAATCCGCACTGGGCCCGCGTGGTGGGTCATGGCCCAATCTCCCTATTTTATCCATAGGGAAGGCCTGTGTTCCAGCAGTGGGGACATTAATAGGCTGATGATGATGATTAGGCATTAAGAAAACAATGTTATGATTTAACCAGGTAAAAATGTTGGGGCAATAAATAAAATGATTATTATCATATAATTACAGATCTCTCCAACTCAACGACGTGGTGCCCACACGTGGACACGACCGGACCCCCACCGAGAGGCACAAGGGCTTCCCGGGCGACAAGGACGGCACGAGGGAGCACCGCCGCGAGAGAGACAAGGACAGGGATAGAGACAGAGAGAATTATGACGCTGATGGTGAGATACCATTTTTTTTACAGTTAAAAGGGTGGCAAACAAGCTTATGGGCTGTGGTGGGCTTCCATCTTACCATCAGGCGAAATGGTAAGCTCCCACCAGAGCCTATAGACACTTGCGATACGAAAACACTGACGCCGTTGCTTGGGCCCCCCACATTAGGAAGGACCCTTCCGAGTGCGGCTGCAATGGCACACAACCGTGGAGCGAGGAACTTAAAGTGCACCTCAAAACTTCATCGGGGCTCCAGCACCAGCCCGAGGTACTTCAGGTTACCCTCGATTGGCATTCGGACCCCTCCTCTCGGATACAGAGCCCCGCTGGGATCCTGCCGCGTGCGTTTTATCGTGGGCCACGTCTAGGCCCAAGAGGCGGATGCGTCTGAAGACAAGATGGGCCGCCTCCTCCGCTGTCTTCGCATTCTCCACGACTAGCGTATCGCCGGCGAAGCAGAATCTCCGTGCCTGGCAGGAGGCTGCCTCGCAGGACCCAATTGTACCCCAATTTCCAGAATAGTGGGCCCAGCACTGATCCTTGGGGTACACCTGCCGTCATGGCACGAGGTGGAAGCGAAGTGCCTCCGTGATACACTCGTGGAGGCGACTGTTAAATGCGTTGGGTATTTCCAACGAAACCGCTGTTATAGCACAGTATATAGCCCGTATAGCGGAGGATTCGAGTCCCGTTTGCTGCCTGGCCCGTGTGGATATTTTTTCTAGTAATACATTCTTTAGATTTAATCGTCTAGTAATTCAATGCTTAATAAATATATTATTTAAATAGTACCTAGTTGATAATATTACTTTAAATCATTAAATAGATACATAGCTTTTTATTTATTGTCACGTGATCGAAAACGTTAATAAATAATCAACACATTGTCACCCCAGGAACACCCCTAAGTCCCGTAACGGGACGCCACGAGTCGTCCCGTCCCGTCCGCAAGTCGTCTTCCTCCCATCGCGTGACCGAGACCAGTATCAGCACGGACAAGAGGAAGTTCTTCTGCAGAGAGTGGGCTTTCCAGAAGATAGCTCACTGCTTGGAACAGAGAGCAGTCAGTAATACTGCTGGAGCCCTGATTCTTGGTAAGTAATAGCAAGAAAAGACGTCATTCTTCTGCAGAGAGTGGGCTTTCCAGAAGATAGCTCACTGCTTAAAACATAAAGCAGTCGGTCATACTGCTGGAGCCCTGATTCTTGGTGAGTAATAGCAAGAAAAGATGTTATTCTTCTGCAGAGAGTGAGTGGGCTTTCCTAAAGATAGCTCACTGCTTGGAACAGAGAGCAGTCAGTAATACTGCTGGAGCCCTGATTCTTGGTGAGTAATAGCAAGAAAAGGCGTCATTCTTCTGAAGAGAGTGGTTTTTCCAGAAGATACTTGTTTTACACTATTTTAAAAATAAACACTAATAATAAGTACGTCATATTGGGTGATTTTAATATTAATATGATGGATAATAACAAATACACTCAACAATTTCTTGATCTTATAAAAAACTTTAATTTAACATTACATGACAAACAAGCTACTAGATTAAACTCTTGTATAGATTTGATCTTTAGCAATGTCAGTGATGCTTTTGCTGAATTGTTACCCCTTTCTCTGTCAGATCACAATATGGCACAGATGCTGTATATTCCACTGGTTACAAAAAAACTACCGCCGTTAAAATATTTTATCTTTAAACGAGACTACAGTGATGAAAACGTTACCAAATTCATAAATAGTATTTCAGGCTTATCATTTTCTGATGTTTATAATGAAACCGATGTAGATAAGTCTTTTAACAATTTTTATGATTTATTTCTCTTATTTTATAATTTATGTTTTCCTAAGATAAGGCTATGCATTAATAAAAAAAAATGGGTGCGTGTACTTATGTAGGCGCGTGAGAAGTTATCCTTCTTTGGCATCGTTTAAAATTGGTTTTTAATTGCATGCAAATAATTAATTACAATAAATTAATAAAAAGTCTGGAAAAGGACACAGTCAATAAAGTTCAGTTTTAATTTGAAAAAATAAATAAATAATCAAAATATTCAATTAAAATCGCTACTGAATATAATTTATTAGAACATATGTGATTTGCACTTGTATGAAACTCAAACACGTATTCCGAATATACAAACTAGAAACATGTGGATAAATATTATAAATATGTATACCTATAACTGTTACGAACTGAACAAAAAATAAAGATGTGGTTTTTGGTTCTACTACACCAATGGTCAAGAGATGGCGCTGTAGTCTCCTGAATCGCGCTTTGGTTCCGTTGTTCCAGATTAATAAGTACTTTTGATAGGCCTTCACATTGCAGTCGTTAGCACCCACTAAATAGAGATTCTATTTCTATTTTGTTGGTAGATAGCGACCAACTTCATGCTGTTAAAATTTTGTGTCAGTGATGCGCGCGCATCTTAAAATTTCACTCTCATAATTTTTTCATAACGCGCCTAAAGAAGTATAACTTCAATAAAATCCGCCGACCGAGGTGGATTACGAAAGGATTGAGGGTAAGCTGTGCAATGAAGAGACGACTTAGATTTAGCTACTATAAAATAAAATCGGATAAGAATAAAACAAAATATAATGCTTATTCTGGTATATTGATCCGTTGCATAAACCTAGCACAAAAAATAAATAATGATAAATACACAAAAAACTCTAAAAATCAATGCTGTGCATCTTGGAATGTCATAAAAGGTAACATAAAACATATCAATAATAATTACATTGAAAAAATTTGTGTCAAGGATAAAATAATAACAGATCCTCAGCAGATTGCTGAAGCATTTAATAATAGTTTTATAGATTCGACAAATATTGATAATAGTAGCCATTACAAAAATACAAATAAATTATTTGTGCCAAATAGCATGTATCTGAAACCTTATAGGATAGACGAAATACAGAAACTAGTTATGACATTGAACAATACAAAGTCAGAAGGCTTTGATGGTATATCGACGGATATAATAAAACGTAGTCGTATGGTTCTAGGTGAAGTATTGACCTATTTGGTAAATTTATCATTTGAAAAAGGGACTTTTCCCACCATGCTAAAAATGTCTGTGGTCAAACCATTGCATAAAAAGGGTGACACCAAAACTATAAACAACTATAGGCCTGTCACTTTGGTTTCAGTACTGTCAAAAATATATGAAAAGGCTATGGCTAGACGTATTATTGAATTTATGACGAAATTTAGTCTAATCAGAAAGGAGCAATATGGCTTTCAAAATAATAAATCAACTAGCCTCGCAGGTCATGGTCTTATCAATGATATCATTGAGAATTTAAATGATGGGCGGAAAGTTACTGCCGTCTTTTTTGATATGACAAAGGCTTTTGATTTCGTATCACATAAAATCCTTCTGAATAAATTGGAAAATATCGGTTTTAGAGGACCTGTTATAAATTGGATAGCTAGTTATTTAAAAGACAGGACACAGTATGTTGAAATAGCTAATATTGACAGAACTCAAACTGTAGTCAAATATAAATCCCAAGAAAGAGTCAATGCGTTTGGCGTTCCGCAGGGGACGATACTTGGACCGATTTTCTTCAATTTTTATATAAATGACCTACCTGATGCCATATCAGATAAATGCGTTCTTTTTGCTGATGACATTTCAGTTCTTGTGACATCTAGCAAGGAAACTAAAATAATATATATGAATCAAATATTAATAATACAATTCAAGATATTTCTAAATGGACATTATATAATAATTTATATATTAATATAGAAAAAACATGTTACATACAATTTGCTAATTACGGTACTTTGACTAATAACCTCAACTTATATTATAAGAAACAACTTGTAAAACAAACAGACGAAGCAAAATTTTTAGGAATAATACTGGACAACCATGTTAACTGGAAGGCTCATGTCAATAGGATTTGTACGAAGATAAATAGTTACATTTACCTTCTCAGTAGACTCAGAAAAACAACATCACACTCTACATTAATCACAGCTTACTATGGTTATATTTATCCTACGCTTGATTATGGCATTCTACTTTGGGGTAACAGTACAGATGCTGATAGGGCATTTATTGCTCAGAAGAAATGTATTAGAGCCATGTACGGATTAGCACCAGATGAGTCATGTAGACCATACTTTAAAAGGTTACGTATTTTACCATTATATTGTATGTACATTTTGAGTTTGGTTTGCTTCGTCAAATTTAATAGCAATTTATTTACGAAATGTAGTGATATAAATAGAACTCAAAGAACCCTCCGTTACCCTGACAAACTTGCTTATAGTGTTAGACCAAAGACCAGTCTTTATTTGAAAAATTCTACACCTATGTGCATCAAGGTATATAATGCTTTACCAACAGAGTTTCTAAATCTTCCAAAAACGCGTTTTCGAAGGACGATAAAGTCATGATTGCAGGAACAATGTTTTTACTCTGTAGAGGAATATTTTAATTTTATGTTTAAATCCAGACATAATAAGTGACAAATTAATTAAGATTGTAATTTTTATTCTATGTGATATATATTTATTGTCATGATTTAATAATATTTAATTGCTTGATAATTTGACATGTGTAAATGAAATAAATGATTTAAAGTTTTATGATTGTAAATTTGACTAAAATTGTAACTTATTTTTAATCAATAATATTATGGATTTCTTAACATGTTTATGTGATGACATATGACGATTAATTGACATGTTTAAATGGAATTAATGTTTTGGAATGATTAACAATAGTGTGACCAATTACAATATTAATATAAAATAATTTGATATTTGCATGCTAATTTAGCGAATCATGTTTGAGCACCATATGTATTGTAACATCTTTTTATTGTACCCTGTTTCTTGTAAATAAATATGAATATGAATATGATAGATCACTGCTTAAAACATAAAGCAGTCGGTCATACTGCTGGAGCCCTGATTCTTGGTGAGTAATAGCAAGAAAAGATGTGATTCTTCTGCAGAGAGTGAGTGGGCTTTCCTAAAGATAGCTCACTGCTTGGAACAGAGAGCAGTCAGTAATACTGCTGGAGCTCTGATACTTGGTGAGTAATAGCAAGAAATGACGTTCTGCAGAGAGTGGGGTTGCAAGAAGATAGCTCAGTGCTTGTAACATACAGCAGTCAGTAATTTGTTGAAGCGCTTAAATTGAAGCCGTCAATCATTTCCATCATTCATGACTGATGAAAAACGGATGTTGACCAATAGAGCCCCATTCAAACTATTAGATGAGAGGTTATCCATCAGTCATAAACTTCACTGCCAGGAAAGGCACAGCAAAACCTGTAGTTTTCGGTATGAATCTTGGCATTTATTTACAGCACACTATTAAGAACAACTCTTTGTTCTTTAAATTCAGTCAGAAATACATTTGGGGCGGTTATTCTTGGTTAGTATAAGGTTTTTGAAGTTATACTTCTTTAGGCGCGTTATGAAAAAATGATGAGAATGAAATTTTAAGATGCGCGCGCATCACTGTAACACAAAATTTTAACAGCATGAAGTTGGTCGCTTTAGCGTGACTTTTGTGTTTACCGCACATTAAGAAAATCTACCAACAAAATAGAAATAGAATCTCTATTTAGTGGGTGCTAACGACTGCAATGTGAAGGCCTATCAAAAGTATTTATTAATCTGGAACAACGGAACCAAAGCGCGATTCAGGAAACTACAGCGCCATCTCTTGACCATTGGTGTAGTAGAACCAAAAACCACATCTTTATTTTTTGTAATAAAGTAACAAAAAGTATTTATTAATCTGGAACAACGGAACCAAAGCGCGATTCAGGAGACTACAGCGCCATCTCTTGACCATTGGTGTAGTAGAACCAAAAACGACATCTTTATTTTTTGTAATAAAGTAACAGTTATAGGTATTCATATTTATAATATTTATCCACATGTTTCTAGTTTGTATATTCGGAATACGTGTTTGAGTTTCATACAAGTGCAAATCACATATGTTCTAATAAATTATATTCAGTAGCGATTTTAATTGAATATTTTGATTATTTATTTATTTTTTCAAATTAAAACTGAACTTTATTGACTGTGTCCTTTTCCAGACTTTTTATTAATTTATTGTAATTAATTATTTGCATGCAATTAAAAACTAATTTTAAACGATGCCAAAGAAGGATAACTTCTCACGCGCCTACATAAGTACACGCACCCATTTTTTTTTTCTTCGTAGTTCTTAGTTAGCAACAGAACGAATAAGGGGAAGTCCTTCTGCAGAGAGTGGGCTTTCCAGAAGATGGCACATTGCTTGGAGCAGAGGGCTGTTAGTAATACAGCTGGGGCGCTTATACTTGGCGAGTTTTAGCTTCTAAAGAAAAAAAAATTGTGCACGGACCACACTACTGATAAAACTTCTTTTCTTAAATAACCTAACATTAGGCGGTGCATAAGGCATAGGGAAATGGATCCGAACGGATGACGAGACGGACATGATTTTTTGTCAGAAACAGACAGAACATCTTATATTCTCATGTGTATTATTATTTCATTAATATCTCTTCTATACTAAGATCTATTCGTCGTTATTACCAGGTGACGCCGGTAGCGGTAAGACAGCTTTGTGCCAAGAACTGAGCAGTCCTAGCGCTGGGCCGGCAGCCAGGCAACAGAGGGCGCTGAACAGGAGATTGCTGGCCCGGCATTTCTTGCAGGTAAGTCTTACAAAATCAGAAATTTTTGTTCAACATAAGCGTTTACAGGCATTTATTTGACTTTCGCAGACGGGAAAATACTCTTTTAATAACAAAATTTTCTTCCTCTTTCAAAACTAACAATATGACGATTCTCGGAACCTAATGTAAAGGAAAACGATTCATAAGTGGTAGTTAGTGTACGGCAGCGATAAAACATGTATCATAATATGTAATAACATGAATAAGTACTATTATTTTTTTATTTATCTCTGATTAAATCGTTTTTGTAAATTGACCAATTTCGTAAGGATTCTGGCAACCCAGTCATAAGTCACGTCATCTTTTAAGTCTGAAGCGGCTTTTAATTTTAACTCAATCACTGTTAAATGGCAATCAGTTCAGTCATGAATGATATTTGTGAAAGCGTGGAGAACTTATTATACCAATTTATAATTGATTCTTACTGAAATAAAATACCCAATATAATATACTATCTAATGTATAAACCTCATAATGTAATGAAATACCTCAATGTAATGAAAAATGAACATAATGATTTATCAATGCGTTAGTTACCTATTCGTCATCATCATCAGACTATTAATGTCCCCACTGCTGGGGCACAGACCTTCCCTATGGATGGAATTGGGAGGTTGGGCCATGACCCACCACGCGGGCCCAGTGTGGATTGGCGGGTGCTAATGACTGCAGATGCAGCCGGGACCAACGGCTAACGTGCTTTCCGAAGCACGGACGAATTTAAGATAGAAGATTTTTGGTCACCCATCCAATGACCGACCACTGCGAAAGTTGCTAACTTCAACGATCGCAGCCGAACGCTCTAACCGCCCGCGCCATCGAGCTCCTCTTGAATAGAATATATTTGATGCTTTGGAAACAAAAAATCGATAAATACATTTGCTATTTCCCGAGACTGACTTCCACCCTCCATACAAATTTTAACCGTATCCTTTAATAACACTGTTGTCAAATGTAGTTTTAACCCCTTCGTTTACATCAAGGTAGAATACATGTACTTAACAAATTTTATGGTAATGGAGCTCGATCCTGCCGACCATCCTGCGCTTGCACTTACTGAGCCACCTCAAAACGGTTTACGGGGGTTGAAGGACTTGCAGTTGCAAATAGTCGATTCGTCTTACTCCGTTGTGATTGTGCGCTCCCTGTCACTTGATTGATTTTTATCTAACACGCTTTGGACATTGGAACACGATTATCTCCGAAGCGTGGAAAACTTTGTGTGATTTGTGGTCGCTCCGTTTTACATGGAAGACAATTTACTATAACGAACAGAATGATTTAAAAAAAAAACAACCCATGCGGGGATTTTTAGATTTACTATAACGCGGCAGAATAACATAAGGGGGCACCCTCGCACCTTGTGAAGTACTCCCACAATACCTGAGTCCCCTGTGTAGGGTCGAACTAACTTAATTAATTCCCTTGTTTCATTAATGTTAGTTCGTTATAGTACTTGTACCTATTTAACTTAAAATAACTAAAGCTCCCTGGGATGGAATTTGATCCGCTTTGGCACAGATGATCATGACTATAATACCTTTCAAACAAATGTAGTTTAAGCCGCGGCGGACGTGGGTGCAGCGTCCATACATTTTTGCCCAATGTCCTTTAAAAGGTTTTTTCATTTTATTTCAAAATAATTTAATATTATAATTTAAACAAAATATGTATGCGAAATAATGTTTTAAACAGCCACAACAAGTATTCTTCAAGTTTTGTTTAAAACTAGTACCTAGGTACATTACTTGTTTTTTTATTATTTATTTTTAAGCATTTTACTGCTAGATGTTCAAATCTAAAGAAAAGTTTACTAGAAAAAAAAACCACGCGGACCAGGCAGCGGACGGGACTCGAACCCGCACCCCTCGCAATCCGGGCGAATGCGCTGACCATTATGCTACCGCGGCCCTATTGGCTGCGTCGAAATTTTCCTAGCCTTAAGCTGCAAGGCAGCGCCATCTCTTCGCAATGTAGGTAACCCACAATGTGAAATGAATACTTTTTCAAGTATTAAACATTTGAAAGAAGAAATAGCAATTAAAGTTATTTTTTTTTTATTTTTTTCAAGCATTTAACTGCTAGATGTTCAAATCTAAAGAAAAGTTTACTAGAAAAAAAACGTACGCGGACCAGGCAGCGGACGGGACTCGAACCCGCACCCTTTGCAATCCGAGCGAATGCACTGACCATTATGCTACCATGGCCTTACTGGCCGCGTCGAAATTTTCCTAGCCTTTTTAAGCTGCAAGGCAGCGCCATCTCTTCGCAATGTAGTTACATTACTTGTTTCTATATGGAAAAGAGTGGTAAGTTTGGGGAATGATATCAGATGACGATAACGTTTGTTTCAGAGCAACAATGAGAATAGCCTGCGTCCTTCAGAGTTCGTTCGCTCGTTGGCGATGCAGATTCTGAGTCATTCATCTAGGCGAGCTAGAAATGACTCGTCACCCAGGGAAACCAGCAGTGACAGGTAAATATGAGAAGAATGTAATAGATGACATAAAGGATAGAAAATAAAACACGACGTTCACCTTACTCAAGGTGACAGACAGACAACATGGCAGAAAAAAGCGTTATAATGATTTTCCACCACATTAATTTTCATAAACACACCTTCAATAAAAAAAGTTAATTTAGTTCCCGTCTAGCTCAACAGATGGCGTTATTAGTACATAAAGACTTAAAATAGACACATTGTATTTGAAAGATTTTGAAAAGGTTTTAATAAATAATAATTGTTTCTTATATTTTCTTTTTATAACCTATAAGTAATATAAATCACAGACTCAGAAATATGTCGCCTACAGATGATCTTAGTACATAAAAAATAATAAATATATATTTTCATCACTCACACCAATTAACCTAGCCCCAAAGTCAGCACTGTAGGCTTGTGATATGGGATACTTATACTAATACATATATTTATATAGAAAAACATATTAAACATCCCATGACTGGAGAACAAATGGTCGTATTCATCACACCAACTTATGCCTCCACCGGGATTCGAACCCGGGAGGGACCTCTCGAGTAGGCGACACCTTGAAACTCAGCTTATAAACTACTGGGCCACGGAGGTCGTCAGTAAAACAATCTGCCTCCTTATGCCGCGATTACATTTGGTCGTTAGCCAGTATTCGGGTGCACGAAAGACATTACTCGAATTCGGGTACCCGAAGCAATATTTACACTGGAATACGGGCTGCCAGACGGTGTCGGGTAAACAAAAGGAAATCTACCCGAATACAGGCGTACTCGACTCCGTTCATTTACACTTAGGCGTTTTCCCGAATTACATTTGCAGTTTTGCACTCTTATTCGTGCTAACGACCGAGTGTAATCGCGCCATTATGTTTATATTATTGACTTATAATTATTCTTTACAGAACAAGAATTGCAGCCTGATTTTTATTACTGCTAACAAAATCTTTGTATGCTGGCCAAATAATATTAGGCTGACTAATATTATTTGGCCAGCATATAAAGTTTTTTTTTTGTTAGCAGTAATAAAAAAAATCAGCCTGATTTTTATTACTGCTAACAAAATCTTTGTATGCTGGCCAAATAATATTAGGCTGCCTTTTATAGCTAGCCAAAATTTTTAAATGGCATAATAAATAATTACTTCTCATGGAGTAAATGCTATTTGCGATAAAACAGTAATAATATAGTATAACTTAAATTGAATGTAATGAAAATTTGTCAGAAAGTATAGTTTGTTTTTTAAAAGCAAATAATAATAAACCATTTTTTATCTTTAGTCAAATTAATATTTGAAGTCGGTGCCATATCAACCGAAGTAGTAAATGGGAACTCAGATCTCATTGACATGCATGGCACGGAGACCAAATATTGATTTGCATAAAGATAAGAAAGTTTTATTATTTTTTGCTTTCAGTTTTTGTCGGCGGTTTAATCATTTTGCTATAAAGTTTTCATTTCTGATATGTTGTAATTTGTAGCTATACTTTGTTAAGTACCTAATTAACTAAATTATATTTTATTATAGTATTGTTGTTTGTTTCTGTGCTTCGGAAGGCACGTTAAGCCGTAGGTAGGTCTCGGCTAGGGTTACTATTTAAAATTTTTGAAAAGTCCTGACGAAAGACCGGACATTTTAGACACAAAATGCAAATATCACCCACTTAGTTACAGTGATATTTTCGAGGGGGGTCTCGTTGTTGATTTTTAAAGATAATTTATATTTTGTTTTAAATTAATGAGAACTTAATAAAGATTTTTTGACTTATTTGATATAACTTAATAATATTATTATTATTATTTCCGGACAAAACCGGACGGATGGTAACCCTAGTCCCGGCTGCATCTGGTGGGTGCTAACGACTGCAGATGCAGCCGGGACCAACGGCTTAACGTACCTTCCGAAGCACGGAGGAACTAGAGATAGAAGATTTTTGGTCACCCATCCAATGACCTACCACTGCGAAAGTTGCATAAATTCAACAATAGGTATTAATAATAAAAAACATCATCAAACACACGTTTTTTTAATCGTATTTATAAAGAGGCTTTTACCCAATATAAAGAATATGCCAGTCCCATCATAGCCTAACTCAGTAAAGTCTTTATGGATGGTATTGTAATTTCCACTAGTCTTGAGCGTTGATATTGAATGGAACGCAATAGGGTATTTGACAAGTTTCGACGATCTCACGTTATTGACTGATGTTTATGGAGTCCGTAAAAAGATATTCATCATTCTGTTGTGTATTTCAGTAAAAATAACCAAATCAAAAACTCCATTTTCAAGTTGCCGCGAAAACGTTTCTGTGGACAATAAGGCGTCTTACTAGTGTGTGACGTCACACGACTGTTATTAAAACGTCAAACGATACAATGTAATGTCACTTTAACCGGAAGTTTACTTGCGTGTGACGTCATTTTAGGCTCCGCCAATCCCTAGCGTTTTGGATCACGTGACAATAGATAAGAAAACTAATACCTTTTTCGAGGATTTTTAGTAAAATTATGAATATTTATTTTTGTAAAAATAGTAAAAACCCCTGCCAATATTCAATCTATACACAGACGCTAACAATTGACACTTTATTTTTAATACTGTCAAATACCCTAATTTTGTAGAACAGAAACACATAACCATTTTGCTTTTCTCTTTCTCCTATGAAACATGACTTTGATAGCCCTTAAACCGATTGTATTTTGGCTCATTTTCGTTCAACAGACGCAACTCTGACGACGACCGGGATAATTGCCTGATGAACAGATTCCACGGTTTGGACGATGATGGAGAAGAGAGCTCCAAACCATTATTGGCTGATAGTGAAGGTCAGTATACGGTAGAGACAAAAGATATAGCTATGGGTACTAACTTTTTTTCTATAAAATATAGTATTTTCGAAGCTGTGTTACCTCTAGTAACATATAGTATAGCTTTTATCGCGGGCTTTGAGCGCGGCGACCGAATCAAGAATTTCCATAACGGAAAATCCTTACGAGAGTGCATATACCAATAGAACACAATTTTCGTCAATCCAGTATCGATCTTACCGCGGCAGTCCCCGAGTGCCACACGTATTTTTTTTATTTTATTTTTGATGCTCTGCACTTTAATACTTCAGTTTTTATTTTAAGAAAGCTTTTACTGGTAAAAGTCTGCTCTAAGCAATATATATTAGGTTCGACTACTAAATATTTTTTTTAAGAAATATAGTATTTGATACCCTAATATAGTAGGATACTATATTATATAGCAGTGTTGGCAGCCCTAGAGGTAGCTTACTTTTCGTATTTACTCTACAAAGAGTTGAGTTAAGGTCAGTTTTTAACGGAAATGAAAGATATAGCTTTCTTTTTGTTAGTTAAATTTAACGCTACCATTTTAGTTCCCTTTTCGTGCGTTTGGCGCTGCTTTACGTCTTTAACCGTCAACTGTCACTTGTTTTTTTTTCTGTTTTTAATTATTGTGTTGTTTAACTTTTAATTGTGAAAAACATTATTTCATATAACACGACCATGATAATTTCTTTCACTGTTATTTTCACTTAAAAATGAGTTTCCAAGACTGTCGTGTATATTTTTTATTCCATACAACGCAGGGCAAAACTTTAGTTCGCCTTTTTGAATAACACGGTAGATTATGTATTTTATTTTTTAAGCAGGGTCACAGATGGTCACTAGATGTTTATATAAAAAAATAACACGACAAAAATTCCACGTTTTCGTCTGCTGCCTGGTTTGCGTTTATTTTTCTTTAGATTTAAGACTGGTGATATTTCTGTAATGTATTCGTTTAGATCAACGCACAGACGAAGAGGAAGGCGGATCTGGTCGTCGAGCTCGCACTATTGAACGAATACACGAACGCTCCGCCTACCAGGACTCTATGCCACACGTGAGTCTTTTATTTATTTATTCTTTTAAGGACTTTTGGTCGAAACTGCCCATACCAGTCCCATCGTAATCTGACCATACAATTTGCTCATAAACAATTATATGAAATGAAAAAAGTTTCAACGGTATCATCATCATCATCATCAACCTATTAATGTCCCCACTGCTGGGGCACAGGCCTTCCCTATGGATGGAATAGGGAGATTGGGCCATGACCCACCACGCGGGCCCAGTGCGGATTGGTGGGTGCTAACGACTGCAGTTGCAGCCGGGACCAACGGCTTAACGTGCCTTCCGAAGCACGGAGGAGCTCGAGATAATAAATTTTTGGTCACCCATCCAATGACCGACCACTGCGAAAGTTGCTTAACTTCAACGACCGCAGCCGAACGCGCTAACCACCTGCGCCATCGAGCTCCTCAACGGTATAGATGCACTGATTTATAACGTTTCGCGTCCTTTTCAGGCCGCGTCGTCAGAATTATAAATACGCAGCCTGAAAAGGAAACGTCATAAATAAAAAATTCAGTGCATCTTTAGCGTTGAAACTTGTTTTATTTAATGAGTGGTGTGCGTGAAAACCTAAGAAATAAATACAATTTAATTAAAATTTTCGCTAACATATTGCCAAGCAAACCAACCTCTTCCCATAGGGGGTTGACTGCGATGCCTTGACATAAGATAGATAGATATTTATCTTTTAATCTTATGTCGACTTTTTTTTCACTGATTTACATCAGGGAAAAAAAAACAGTCTTTGATCCGAGTCTTGTGTGATAAAAAATATTTATACAAAAATAAGGTTTTCTTCAATACGTTGCTAAAGATATTTAGGAAAATGAAAATTAAAGTACACACAGACAATAGTAAATTTCAGAAAAGTTAACTCAACTTACAACTTTGCCCGAAAGATGGCGCTGTATCACGCAAGACTCTGATCAAAAACTGTTTTTTTATATTCTTTATTTATATATCCAGTTAGGCAAATGACTCTACCCCACCTGATGTTAAGTGGTGATAAAGTCCAAACGCGAAGACAGCTGGTACAGCAGTTATAAACTGCCACACAAACCTCACCTTGCCGGCCTGCAAAAATGCTTTACTTATTAGTCGGTTTCTCCCACCAGGCACCCGAGATCATGCCCCGCACCACCCCTAAGCCCTCCAACCCCTTCGTGGTGGACAACGAGCAAGAGTTGCGCCTATACGAAAACCACGAAAATTTGTTCCTTAGGAACATATCTCATAACCAGTCTAAAGAAGCAAGACTCTTGAGACAGAGCTCCGAACCTACTGCTGCGAAGCCGAATAGGTAATTATATATATTCTTTACTATATAGCAAAAATAACAGCAAATGGCGGACTTAATGCCACAAAGCATTCTAAACAAGTCGTAAGAAAAATTATCCTATTTTGATTTTGGACTGCAAATTTTGTGGAATTATTATTTTATTATTTTTTACATATAGACGTGCTCCCTTAATATATAAATTAAGACAATCGAATTCTGAACTTAAGCAAATATACATTGCAACTTATATTGTTTCTCGATTAAGGTATTTTCTTGTATAGGATTAATTCAATAAAAAATATTTATGAAAATTTATGATTTAAGTTATCTAGCGTTTAACAGCAAAACCTGCCTTAACTCAACCGCAATAAAATCTATTCTTCCTTACAGTAACATTGATTTGGACAAACCCAAATCCGAATGTAGCCCGCCAAAGTCCCGAATACCAGTGGCTAACTTCCGATACCCCAACAAGAGTGAACTTCGTCCGGAGAACTCACCGCAGAAGACTAAACCGGAGAAGCCTGAAGAGTTGCCCGAGTATCAGAACGTCATGGCTGAGCAAGAAACTACGGTGGACGAAATGGTCGAAAATAAGAGGTATTTCTGTTTTTTTTTTTTGAATGTATATGCTGTTGGCCGCAGATGACCTTTACAGCGTCACCGGGTTTGGGGACGGCGAGATCCTAAGGGGACCTCAAGCCGAGAATTGTCGAGTGCCTCTAGAGGTATTCCAGGCGGATGGCATCTCCCCACGGGGGGAGTCTCCTCTCCGTCTGGTGCCTCCAGACCACTCGAACCTGAGGGATATTTCTGATATATTTCGTTAAAGCTATTTTTAAGACCTCCGTGGCAGAGTGGTTTTTACGCCGGTTTTAATACGAGAGGTCCCGGATTCGAATCCCGGAGGTGGCAGATGTTTGTGTGATGAATTCAAGCATTTGTACTCCGGTCTTGGATGTTAAATATGTATTTCTATATAAATATACTTGTATAGCCGTAGGCTAGTCAGTTAGTTCAAGGGGACACCGCCCGCCCCAAGTAATTGACGTAGTTGTTGCTCGATTAGTATATTTTTAGTTATTTTTATAGAGTGATTTCCTTCTATATGTATCAGTATATGTATTGTACCTGTTACCCTAGTATCCCATAACACAAGCCCTACAGTGCTTACCTTGGGGCTAGGCTAATTCTGCCGTGTCACGCGCAAGTCTGTTATCTCAAAAAACACAGTTTTGAAAAAACGGCTTAGAAGTTTTATATAAACATTTGCTCGTATCATATATAATAAAATTTACTATAAAATTTAAACCCTTTGATTAAGTTTTGTGAATGTCTCTTTATTATTTTTTTTTTTAATTTTTTATCTCAAAATGAAGTTCAACGAATTTGGCATATCAGTTTCTGGCTTTACTGATCAATATTTTTTGAAATTGTTTATAGTGCCATATAGACCATACTGTTAAAGACTATTTCACAGTGGTTAGGCGTAACTCATCTATTTTAAAATAGCATACTTGTGTGTGACAGGGCAGAAATGGTGTGAGTTGGAAATATTTATTTATTATTTCTTTGACAGTATGAAATATAATGTACCAATGGTTGGCATCTCTATTTAATATGAAAATTAGCAATTTTACTATTCCGAAAGAACCAATAATTAGTAACTTTTCTATAAAATCATTAAACAAACAGAAATTTTTTTTTGCTCCATGGTATGGTCACGTGATTGAAAACGCCTGGGATTGGCCAAGATTAAAATGACGTTACACGCTAGTAAACTTCCGACCAAAGTGACATTACATTGTATCGTTTAACGTTTTAGTGACAGTCGTGTGATGTCAAATAATAGTGAAACGCCATTATGTCCAATGACACGTTTTCGCGGAAACTTGAAAGTATAGTTATGTTTTTATTTATTTTTAAGCATTTAACTGCTAGATGTTTAAATCTAAAGAAAAGTTTACTAGAAAAAAATCCACGCGGACCAGGCAGCGGACGGGACACGAACCCGCACCCTTCGCAATCCGGGCGAATGCACTGACCATTATGCTACCGTTAAAAGTATTCATTTGACATTGTGGGTTACCTACAATGCGAAGAGATGGCGCTGCCATGCAGCTTAAGGCTTGAAAGTATAGTTTTTAATTTAGTTATTTTACTAAATTACACAACAGAATAGGGCATTTGACAAGTTTTAGAAAACGATCTCACGATATTGACTAATGTTTATGGAGTCCATAAAAATTATATGATATTATTCATCATTCTGTTGTGTATTTCAGTAAAAAAATAAAAAAAATGGGTGCGTGTACTTATGTAGGCGCGTGAGAAGTTATCCTTCTTTGGCATCGTTTAAAATTAGTTTTTATTTGCATGCAAATAATTAATTACAATAAATTAATAAAAAGTCTGGAAAAGGACACAGTCAATGAAGTTCAGTTTTAATTTGAAAAAATAAATAAATAATCAAAATATTCAATTAAAATCGCTACTGAATATAATTTATTAGAACATATGTGATTTGCACTTGTATGAAACTCAAACACGTATTCCGAATATACAAACTAGAAACATGTGGATAAATATTATAAATATGAATACCTATAACTGTTACTTTGTTACAAAAAATAAAGATGTGGTTTTTGGTTCTACTACACCAATGGTCAAGAGATGGCGCTGTAGTCTCCTGAATCGCGCTTTGGTTCCGTTGTTCCAGATTAATAAATACTTTTGATATTATAAATATGAATACCTATAACTGTTACTTTATTACAAAAAATAAAGATGTGGTTTTTGGTTCTACTACACCAATGGTCAAGAGATGGCGCTGTAGTCTCCTGAATCGCGCTATGGTTCCGTTGTTCCAGATTAATAAATACTTTTGATAGGCCTTCACAATGCAGTCGTTAGCACCCACTAAATAGAGATTCTATTTCTATTTTGTTGGTAGATTTTCTTAATGTGCGGTAAACACAAAAGTAACGCATGAAGTTGGCTAAAGCGACCAACTTCATGCTGTTAAAATTTTGTGTTACAGTGATGCGCGCGTATCTTAAAATTTCACTCTCATCATTTTTTCATAACGCGCCTAAAGAAGTATAACTTCAAAAACCAAATAAAAACTCCATTTTCAAGTTGTCGCGAAAACGTTTCTCTGGACAATATGGCGTCTTACTAGCGTGACGCCACACGGCTGTTATTAATACGTCAATCGATACAATTTAATGTCGCTTTAACCGGAAGTTTACTTGCGTGTGACGTCATTTTAGGCTCCGTCAATCCCAAGCGTTTTTGGTCACGTGACAATAAATAAGAAAACTATTATCTTTTTCGTGGGTTTTTAGTATAATTGTGAATATTTTTTTTGTAATAATAGTATACTATTAAGTGTTAAGAATGAATATTGGCAGGGGTTTATAAATCCCTGCCAATATTCATTCTTAACACAGATGCTAACAATTATCACTTAATTTTTAATACTGTCAAATACCCTATTAAAATTTTCCACTTTTCGTTGAATCCATTAGCATGAGTTAATAACGTGAGCTTGTTTTCTAACGTGTGACGACATTTTAATCTTGACGAATCCCAGACATTTTCGGTCACGTGACCATGGAGCAAAAAAAACACTTCTATTTAATGATTTTATAGAAAAGTTATTATTATTATTTGTTGTTTCAGAATAGTAAAATGCCTTTAAGTAAAACCTAAGAAACAAATAGTAAAATGCTGTTAATATTCTGCAACAATTGGTTCATTATTTTTCATACTGTCAAATAGCCTCCTAATCATTTTAATATAACTGACCATACTGATTACGTTGCACTCGCTAATAGGGATGATGACGATTTTTTTTTCTTCGTTTATCAGGTAGATTATCAAAAAGTATTGGACACGTATTTTTTCTTTTTTCACATAATATAAACATTGCAGAGATATATTGATTTGAAAAGTCGCATGACGTCACGTTTTAGCACACTTTTAAGTGAAAATTCACTAAAAAGTGACGTCACGAGCCCCTACTACCAAACTTTGACGCGCTATAACTTTGTCATCTTTTGGTTGATTGCCCAAAGAAAAAATACGCGTCCATTATTTTTTTATCACCTAACTGACGGACTAAATAGAATTTCGTTTACTGTACCCCGTCATCACCCCTATTGCATTAAAACAAACTAGCAAACCAGTGAACCAAATGTTCACCAATAAAAAAAAATAAAAAAAATGTATTTAATTAATTGAGAACTTCGGAGATTTTGTGTGGTTTCGTTTGAAATTCGTGATTTCTCGAAAACCGGAAGTGCTACGTTACTCAAATCCGGTTTGTAGTCTTATCAGACTATTCTTAACTTATAACTTAAACATTCTCTTTATCTATCTCTTACGGTTTGGCCGCTGAAACAGCACCACAGACAGACGGACGGACGGACGGACTCGTCTAATAGATAAGAGATATTTTTATTTTATTTTCCAATTTCTTCTCTAGGTCCGAAGAAGAGATCCCTCCCCCGATTCCGACTCTCCCCCTCAGCGCTCGTACGACAATTTCCGACGCGTACTACGACAAAGTCTTGTCCGATTCCGAGATACAACGGGCGTTGTTACCTCAACACCTAGACGCGGACGTCGATTTATGCTTCAAAAGGGCCATATTGTATCCCTTGTTGGAGATCACGCCGCCTAAACAGACTCTGATGCTGGTCGTGGATGCTGTGGATGAAGGATTCACGGGTGAGTTTCAGATACGTTTTTTTAAGTGAAAACTTCTTTAGCACCGTTGTGTGTGATTTGAGATTCGATGAAACGGAAGTAGAGTATTTAACTCAAGATAGGTATCCGTAATTTTGTCATTTACCGTAAGAGACGGATAGCCAAATGGTAATGGTCTTGAGGTCAACACCAACTGATCTGTTGTTCGAGTCTGAACTCGGTAATTTGTTTTGATTGTTTTTTTTTTCTTTTTTTAAAGCTATTATTTAATTTTTGAAACAATTTATGTATAATATTTAAAAAACATGGAGCAAAACGTACCCACCATGTAGCACATTAAAATTGGTACCATTAGAAAGGTCTTCAAAAGTGTATTAATTTAGTGTATGGGAGCAACTTAGTAGCTCGCGGGAGGTCAAAGATATTCGTCGTTGAAAATGCCGTAAATTCTTAATAAAATCTCCCTACGCATAGTCAAAGTTTTTGAGATTTTATATTTTAAGTACTTAGAACTATATTATGCGCTTAGGTCGGTGTGCCGTTAATAGTTATTATCTTTCAGTATGCAACCAAGGGCGGATCCAGGGGGGGGGGGGGGGGGGGGGGTCATGGGGGTCATGACCCCCCCCTGGGCTAGGTACAGATGGACCAAACCCAGGGGGATTTTATTTAAGTACTTTCAATATTTAATATACCACCACTATATGACCCCCCCCTGGCTCCAAAGCTGGCTATATGACCCCCCCCTGGCGCCAAAGCTGGATCCGCCCTTGTATGCAACTGTTGCCGTCGGTCGGCCACAATTGATGAGTGAGTAATACAGCAGAGCTGCAGAACCGACTTACATTCATTACATTCAAGTGCGAGTAAAAACGGATAGTGTGTAGTCGGTGGCGCTACCGTTATCACCCACCAATCCGCTCTTTTTAAATTTCGGCATTTTAAAACTGTTGATAAATTGGAAACTCTGATTGAATTTAAATTTATTATGTTTTGATTGATTATTCTCAATTCATTCTGTTTTAATTGAGTTGATCTTATTATAATTGAATCTTGAGATGTATTTATTTTTTATTTATTATTATAATTAAGTATTCCTCTTTTTATTACTTTGTCATTGTCATTAATGACCTTTGTGGTCGAAATAAATAAATTATTATAATTGTTATTATCTCCCTTAGGTAATGAAGACCGTGAAGGCACCGAACCCGCGACCACTGTGGCCACATTACTCGCTAGACATCAACATTTGCTGCCTCAGTGGTTGCTGCTAGTCTGTACGGCGAGAAGACACGCCAGACCGTGCTATGGAATGTTTACTGGTAAGTTTGTTTGTTTATAGATAAGGCTAAATTATAAAGTACTAGCTGACCCGGCGAACTTCGTACCGCTTTAGTGTAGCTTTGATGCACTACTTTATTTTGTATAGCTGACCTATTTTATGTATGAGTACCTATTCAATTTGAACTGGAATCTATAATATCCTCCATATAAAAATGAATCCTTATTTCCCTGGTCTCACCATACCTGAGGACTTTACTAATTTTTATTAAATAAAAAATTTATAAAAAAATTAAAAATAAAAAAAAATGAAATTAAATTATTTTTTTCCGTAAGAACCTTGTACAGAGGTATTAGAAAATTACAAAAAAAAATCAGCCAAATCGGTCAAGCCGTTTTCATGTTATGTCGTGACAACGGAAAACGGATTTCATTTATATATATATAGATATATATTTATTATGGTTCATGATCGGGGTCATCCATGAATTAAGACACATTTTTTGTCTACTTACCATCTCATCATATCCAGAATACAATGAGTGACAAGCGCCTATTGGTTCACAGTCACCATCGTTGAAAAGTGAAAAAAGCGGCCAAGTGTGAGTCGGACTCGCCCATGAAGGGTACCGTTTATTTTTATATTTGAGGTGATTACGGTTTACGATTTATGAAGTATTAAAAAAACTACTTAATAGATCTCGTTCAAACCAATTTTCGGTGAAAGTTTGCATTGTAATATTATTTTTTGGTTTTATCGTTCTCTTTTTTTAGAGTTTATGGGGGGGGGGGGGGGGGGGGGCGAAGGGTGATACCCATTTTACTACTTTGGAAATGTCTCTCGCATAAACTATTCAGTTTAGAAAAAAAAAATGGTATTAGAAATCTCAATATCATTTTTGAAGACCTATCCATAGAAACCCACACGTATGGGTCTGAAGAAAAAAAAATATTTTAAGTTTCAGTTCTAAGTAAATTTCTTGTTTTTTTTTCTATTTTAGTGTGAAAATCATAATGCGCTTCGCAGAATACATCTACTAACCAAGTTTCAACAGTGTAAAATAATGCCTTATATTGATTTAGGTTACGCGATCATCCTACGGAGTTATTTTATTTTATTTGTTATTTTGACGAACTGTGTCGCGAGTGGTTTGTACGCCGGGTTTCATGGTGTCGCCGACTCGAGAGGTCCCGGGTTCGAATCCCGCTAGGGCAGATGTTTGTGTGATGAATACGCGAGCATTTGTACTTCAGTGATAAATGTTGAATTTGTATTTCTATATAAGTACTGTATATGTATTCTATCCGTTACCCTAGTATCTCATAACACAAGCCTTACAGTGCTTACCTTGGAGCTAGGCTAATTGGTGTGAGTGTTGGAAATATTTATTTATTCGCGTTTTGTCTAAGAGATCTATGGAACCCTATATTGAAAATACATTTGACTAGTTTTTACATCATTTTCTATGAAATGAAATGTTATTATACTTTTTTCAAAGTGACTTATTGAATGCCTCTTTGCATCGTCAAATATTCAGGATATTTCTTAGCTGATGAGAGGAATGGGCGCAAGAAACTCATCAGAATTAAACAGAAGTAGCAACATTTATAAAAAAGAATCATGTCGCTACCAATACAATGTTCACTGACATTTTGATTGCTGCGTCATCATCATCATCATCAGCCTATTAATGTCCCCACTGCTGGGGCACAGGCCTTCCCTATGGATGGAATAGGGAGATTGGGCCATGACCCACCACGCGGGCCCAGTGCGGATTGGTGGGTGCTAACGACTGCAGATGCAGCCGGGACCAATGGCTTGACGTGCCTTCCGAAGCACGGAGGAACTCGAGATAAAAGATTTTTGGTCACCCATCCAATGACAGACCATTGTAGGTGCCTTCCGAAGCACGGAGGAACTCGAGATAAAAGATTTTTGGTCACCCATCCAATGACAGACCATTGTAGGCTATTTGACAGTATGAAAAAAAGTACCAACTGTTGGCATCTGAGCTCATGTTATTAAATTTTTGGTCACCCATCCAATGACCGACCACTGCGAAAGTTGCTTAACTTCAACGATCGCAGCCGAACGCGCTAACCACTTGCGCCATCGAGCTCCTCTGCTGCGTCATACAGTATAAATACAAATAGTGTTCTATTAGTTAGTAATCATTCAATCCATCTTTCCAGGCTATCGTAAGATAATGTTGGACGAATTGCAACGGGCTCACGTATCGGCCGACGTGCAACGATATGTACTGGCGAGATTGGACACTGAGCCAAGGTTGAGGTAGGTTCATTGTATGTGATGGGAGCGGTACGGTGGGCAGTAGGCCGCGTGCCCAGCCCCCACGCGCGGGCCTACCTGCGCACGTCTGCGGGGTCCCCGTCATACCGCGGGAGACCCCTGCCGTGGAGCCCCGGCGAGGCCGGAAAGCTGCTAGGGGGCGGAGCCGTGGTAGACTCCCTAAACGGGGACCCCACGGCTTCGCGCTAAGCAGTGTAGAGGTATTCGCAGGACTTTTGTAGCGGATATTATACCGTAAAGCGCTCGTAAGAGTTGCGGGGTCCTCGGTGGGTAGCCACTGGGGGGTCCGTAAGACTTGCGGGAGCCAGGTGTGAGGTCCGTTCGGCGGTGTGCCTCTTAAAGGCGCCGTCGTCTGTAAAAAGATTTTTTACCTGCGTATAAAAAAAAAAAAAGGTTCATTGTATGTACCATTAGATGTAAAGGATCCGTACTCAAAAAAATCAACCGGGAACCTTTTAAAAAGGGTGTGAAGAAATACCTTGCGACAGTCCAAATGTAACCAAAAGTTTACCAAAAAGTTAATCGGAAACGCACTCACATGCACTTTACTGTGCTTTGATTGGAACAGTACAGATCTAGATAAACAGTTTAATTTTAACATTCCTTCTGTATAAATCACTAGAGGTGCCCTGCAATTTCACCCGCATTATGGCGCAATTACACTTGGTCGCTAGCCCGAATACAAGTGTTAATGGAATTCGGGTATACGACTTAGTGTAAATGAACGGAGTCGAGTACGCCCGTATCCGGGTAGATTCCTTTTTGTTTACCCGACACCATCTTCCAGCCCGTATTCCAGTGTGAATATTGCTTCGGGTGCCCGAATTCGAGTCATGATTATAATAATAAGTATTCATTTGCCCTAAAAAAATATAAATACAGCAAACTTAAAATCTAACATACTAACTTTTTTGGAAACAAAAAGGGAATGTGACTTCTTAGACCGCTGTATTACCGGAAGTCGCTGATATTCTGCCACAACCTTGTATAACTAATACATGCTCTATTTTGTGATACCAACAAGTAAAACTTTAAAAAGACGACGACAAAAAGACGTATTAGTAATGTCTTTCGTGCACCCGAATACTGATTAAAGATCAAATGTAATAGGGTGTTTGACAAGTTTTAGAAAACGCTCTCATGTCATTTACTAATGTTTATGGAGTCCATAAAAATTGGATATGTTTAATTCTGTTGTGTAATTCAGTAAAAAAAACCGAATTAAAAATTCAATTTTCATGTTGCCGCGAAGACGTTTCTTCCCACATTTTGGCTTCTCACTAGTGTGTGACGTCACACGGCTGTCATTAAAATGTCATACGATACAATGTCGAGCGGAAGTTTACTAGCATGTTCCTAAATTTTAGATTTTTGCCAATCTCGGGTGTTTTCGGCCACGTGACAATTGCGCAAAAAACACCATGACTATTTAATGATTTATAGAAAAGTTACTAATTATTTGTTCTTTCGGAATAGTAAAATCTCTGCTTACATTCATATTGAATACAAATGGAAACGATTGGTAAATTGTTGTCTGTACTCTCATAGCCTTTCGCGGTATTAATTTGAGGAAAAAGGTTATAGTGACTCACTGTTAAATTATAGACATATGCTGTCGGAGACTTTAACACAACTTTTAAAGGGGGACAATTCCGTCATACATGATTTCTGTGTAACTTTTACCATGTACGCAGCGCACGCAACGAAAGCTCTCAAATGGATTTTTTTACGCGGTTTTGCATAATTTCCCATATCCCCATAACACAAGCCTTGCAGTGCTTACTTTGAAGCTAGGCTAATTGGTGCGAGTGTTGGAAATATTTCTCTCTAGACATCTAGACTATGGCGTTCATCCAAACAGACGCTTCAACTTTATAAAATTAGTTGTTACGACAAAGCAATCTTGTCACTCTACCTACCTAATATGTAAAGGTTTCGACACTTCGAAACTATCTCCGATAATCGAATACTGTCTTTTATTTGGTCACCCATTTTAAATGAGTATAGATTACTGAAGGATTTCAACCATCCATTAAGTCTGTTTTTTTTTTCAATCAGATCTCGAGTATCTAGCGACGCGACAGCTGCGGCTGCAGCAGCGGCTGCTTTAGACAATTTGAGGATTAAAAGCGATGGATGCCTCTTATATTTGGAGAAGGTAAGATAGATCTATTACAATAATGTTCACCAAAAATGAAGATTTATTATGTAAAAAATATACTGAAAAAATCCCACGTCGTCCAGGCACCAGACGGGACTCGAACTTGCACTCTCCCTGATGATGGTCGTTTCGAATTTTCTCCAGCATTTATTAGGCTGCAAGGCAATCGCATCTCTTCGCAGTGACACTATGATTTTTTTCTAGTTACTTTTTCTTTAGATTTAAAAATCTAGCAGTTAAATGCTTAAAATAAATATAATAAACTACGAATATTTATTTCAGTTATGTTCATCAAATCTAGATTTATTTCAATAATGTTCAGCAGTTCAAGATATATTTCAATAATGTACAGTAATACACTTCACTCTTTAACAACGGCCAAGGTGTAAATAAATAAAATTTGATTCTGACGACGTAGCCTGTAAAGGCTACGAAACGTCAATAAATAAATAAAGTTTCGTGCATTAACCCGTAAAAAAGTAGTTTTATTTAATGAGTAATGTTTTTGAAAACCTAAGAAACAAATATGCTCTGCTATTCTTTGTTATTAGGTACTGGATGGAGTGGCAGACGGCTTCATAGCCTTAAGGGAAATAAGGGAAATCCCCGGCACTCTTAACGGTCTATACTTATGGCTGGCACAACGGCTGTTCCATGGCAGAAGATTCACGAAGGTAATATCGTCATTATCACGGAACACAGAAAGAGTTTATAAGGGTGATCATAGACCGTTTGTACGGGAACCGATGTCACCGGCTCGCCCCTACTACACTTCCACCTAATAGATAATAGCCAATCAAACTACGCGACATCAAACAATTCAACCAATCAGCGCTCACACCCGAGAGCAACGACTTATTGGAATCAAGTTTTGGTCAAGTTAGGAGCATTTGCTCATACATAACTGTGGCGCGCCTACTCCGCCCACAAGGCGCTTCTTACTTCTTTCTTTGGTCTGTAGTCATCATTATTACCAGGAATAGAGCATTTGTAACCGTTTATTACCCTAGTATCCCATAACACAAGACACAAGACTAATTTGAGGCCATAAGAATCATAGTGGCCTAACTCATTTTTTACAAGCATAAATCATAAACTAAATTTATGATTTTTTCCAGTTCAAATTGATCATTTTGATAGAACCAGAGTGGTCTAAAAGTGATACAACGAATATTCAATAGATGGCAGCATAATCACTGTTACGGTTTTTAGTCTGTGATCTAAAATTGAGATGCCATGCTGACCTAAGTAGGATAGGCCACGATGATTAAAAAATGAGTTAGGCCACTATGGTTCTCATAGCCTCAATGGACAAGAAATCTGCAAAATATTCCCACTAGGGGCGCTGTAATCGCTTGACCCAAAACTTCTATCAAATACATACCTATTAGCTTAAATTAATTTGAAAGCTATTTATTAAACAAATTACAAATGCCGCGTTGTGCAATTCCTGGTTGTTGTGAGAAAACTGCATGCTTCAAGATTAAAATATATTTTTATATCTTGCTTTCAAAGAGGGGGGGGGGGGGCTGAGCTGCATGCTACCATGGTATGTATCTGGGACCTGGTAATTGCACCTCGATGTCTTCATTTTGATAAAAAAAAATGCACCAAAATTAAAATTGCGGGCATATGCCTCAAGTCTGTAAAAAACCCAATGTCACACTTCCCATTTTGGCCAGAGGTAACCTAACTCTATGTGATGTCTGACTGATGCAAAAATAAGATAGTTTTGGCTAATGAGCTACTGCGATCCATGAACTATTAAAATAATCATGAAAAATGCATCTATGTACCGAGAATCAGTATTCTAGCATAATAATAGAAGGAGTGCCTTTCTACTAGATCAGCTTTTCTGCCTTGAACAGATGCTCCTCTCTTTTTCAACTCTGTTTCCAGCTGCATTACAGACCATGTTGAATACACTTTTACCACTTACTTTATTTTTTTTAACAACAAAAAAACACGTTTAAAATTTGACAGCTGCAATATTCGGCTGTGGTTTGGGTCAAGCGTTTGCAGCGCCACCTATGTCGAGCTTTGCGTATACTTCTCCATTGGAGTGTGTGAATGTTAAAAATATTTATTTATTTATGTCCGTTTTTAGGTCCGTCCGTTGCTGGATGTTTTGTTAGCGGCCCGATGCGGTGTCACAGAGGAGATGTTATACAAATGTCTTCTGACCAAAGAATACAGCGTCACCAGGGAGGATTTCAATAGGAGACTCCATTTACTCAGACGGTTAGTCTTCATTATAATTATAATAATTATTTTATTTGCATGAAACGTAGTATAAAAAAAAATGTGCTTATGATCACACGACTGAAGTGAAACTTCTTTAGCTCCATCTGTATGTATATATATAAATATATACATACGCATTTGCCTATAAACAATTGTCAAATATGGCAGTCATTTCATCATCATCATTGCCGGCCTATTAATGTCCCCACTGCTGGGACACAGGCCTTCTCTATGGATTGAATAGGGAGATGGGGTCATGACCCACCACGCGAGCCCAGTGCGGATTGATGGGTGACGACTGCAGATCCAGCCGGGACGAACAGCTTAACGTACCTCCTGAAGAACGGAGGAGCTCGAGATAGTAAATTTTTGGGCACCAATCCAATCACCGACCACTGCGAAAGTTGCTTAACTTCAACGATCGTAGCCCAGCGTGATAACTTCTGGCGCCATGGAGCTTCTCAGTCATGGTAGTCATTTGCTAAACAAGATTAAGCCTTAATTGGATTTAAACTATAAATTTAATAAATTTTAAAACTACATTTAATTTGTTGCAAATTCAATGTTAAGATACTTTTAATAGAAAATAAAAAATTACACACGGACCAGGCAGCAGACGGGACTCGAACCCGCACCCTTCGATATCTGGGCGGATGCACTCACCATTATGCCACGGCTCTAATTTTCCCTGTCTAATTCTCACTAGTATTTCTTAGGCTTCACGGTAGCACCATCTCTCCGCATTGTAGGTAACCCACAATGTCAAATCAATATATTGCTGCCAGGTCCGCGTGGATTTTTTTCTAGTAAACTTTTCTTTAGATTTAAACATCGAGCAGTTAAATGCTTAAAAATAAAAATATAACTAAAAAAACCGGCCAAGTGCGAGTCGGACTCGCGCACCGAGGGTTCCGTACAAACATCTAGGTATATTTTAATAATTATTAAAAAAAAATATTATAGGATGTAACTAAGAATTTACGGTTTTCGCAATTTTTCCTTTATCTGTACTATAAGACGTTACTTCGTACCAAATTTCAAGATTCTAAGTTCACGGGAAGTACCCTGTAGGTTTTGATTCCCGTGCGAGTTTCGAAAATTTGCGACATAAACGGCTGTATCTTTTGATTGCTTTGGCTTAGAAGTTTGATTTTTTCGCAGCTCCAAGGGACAGTACTCCTGAGTATTATATATGAATTTCAGTTTGATACCTCTACGTGTTCCTGAGAAAAACGGTCTTGACAGACGGACGGACGGACAGACGGACAACAAAGTGATCCTATAAGGGTTCCGTTTTTTCCTTTTTAGGTACGGAACCCTAAAAAGACAATTTATAAAAATAAATGCAAATTTTACCGCCACATAGATAAATAATAATTGGTGTTGTATTTTGCACCTTTTACTGGTATTTAATGTCGATTTTATCTACCCACAGGATTCTAGTGATGGACCGTTCCACCGGATATTTATCGATATTCCACCATTCTTTCGCTTCGTGGCTATTGGACGTCAAACACTGCACTAGACGTTACTTGTGCTGCCATCTAGATGGACACGCTCAACTAGCTATGTATTACACGCTAGACGCCAGAAGGTGAGATATATAGACAAGCATATCTATACATAGAAATAAAATTGGAGTGTCTGTTTGTAATATTGAAATAACAGCTTTTTACTACATGCATATGAATATATGAGAGACGACCTTCGTGGTCGAGTGGTTTGTACGCCGGGTTTCATGGTGTCGCCGACTCGAGAGGTCCCGGGTTCGAATCCCGGTGGGGGCTGATGTTTGTGTGATGAATACGAGCATTTGTACTCCAGTCATGGATGTTTTATATGTATTTCTATATAAATATATTTATATATGTACAGTATATGTATTCTATTCGTTACCCTAGCATCCCATAACAGAAGCCTTACGGTGCTTACTTTGGGGCTAGGCTAATTGGTGTGAGTGTTGGAAATATTTATTTATTTATTATTATATATATACGGTACATACACCAAAATAACATTCTTTACAATTTTTGTCTGTCTGTCTGTTTGTTCCGGCTAATCTCTGAAATGGCTGGACCGATTTTGACGGGACTTTTATTAGCAGGTAGCTGATGTAATAAGGAGTAACTTAGGCTACTTTTATTTTAGAAAATATCTTTCAATTAGAAAATAAGTTAAAGCGGACGAAGTCGCGGGCAGCCGCTAGTATATACTCGTATCAATGTGAAACCGACATAACACATCCAATGGCAAAGTAACAAAAAGTATATAAAATCTAATTACTTATATTATTATCATACCACACTCCTTTATGTGCCAAAGTCTTCCCAATGATCGTAAAAACTATTAAAACTCCACTAAACTCTGTTTATTTTTTCAAATGATTTAAGCACTAGAGTCTTAAATGATGAACAATTCTTCTTGTGACTTAAAATTTTGTTAAAAGCCTTTAATGTATATATATCGTTACCCGTTGATAGGCTACTATTTATTCGGGAATATAAGCAGCTAGCATATTTTATAATTCTCAAACACTGCCAGTCCACCATTTCTCATTGTACGAAATTGTCTCAATTACTAATTTTATTATGACAGGTTGACGTCCCTGGAAATACACAACTACGTTTACCACATGACCACCCTGGAGCAACACATGGCAACACTCAAGAAAGGGAAAACAAGGTTAGTGACAATAGTTATACCTCAATTTAGAAAGTGAAAGAAAGTAATTAATTAATTAAAAAAAATAGTCCTTAGGAGCAAACCAGAATTTTCGCTACCTGGTTGAATGTACCATATCCATCATCATCAGCCTTTTAATGTCCCCACTGCTGGGGCACAGGCCTTCCCCCTATGGATGGAATAGGGAGATTGGGCCATGACCCACCACGCGGGCCCAGTGCGGTGCTAACGACTGCAAATACAGCCGGGACCAACAGCTTAACGTGCCTTCCGAAGCACGGAGGAGCTCGAGATAGTAATTTTTGGTCACCCATCCAATGACCGACCACTGCGAAAGTTGCTTAAGTTCACCCATCGCAGCCGAACGCGCTAGCCACTTGCGCCATCGAGCTCCTCATATCCATAAAGAATAGTATTTGACAAATTTTAGAAGAGTGTCTCACGTTATTGACTTATGTTTATGGAGCACATGAACAGTGAATATTCATCATCCTCTTGTGTATTTCAGTAAAAAAAATACGAAATAAAGAATTAGATATATTGTTTTAAACTTTCATGGTCACTAACATTATAGTAATATAAGTTATTTATTTATTTATTTATTTATCTTTAACAAAGTTTCTACAGCGGTTTTTGTGAAATTTAATACAATAAAATATAGATATAATCTTAAAGCCAATTACAGAAACTCATTACGTACACATTAGATATTAACGGCGTTATTATATGTCAGTAATTATTACACTTAAATTAATTTAATATTAAAAATTGCATAAAAATCATATAATCCATTAACATAAAAATAAAATAAAATTAAGATTGGACATAAACATAACAAAAAGACAAAAAAGAAGAAAATCAAACACTGAATATCCATATAAAAAGGTTTTCAAGAGTTTGTCACATGATAACCTTATGAAGTGTGAGTGGGTGTGTGTGCGCGTATGTATGTGTGTTTGTGTGTGTGTGTGTGTGTGTGTGTCCATGCAGCTGCAATGCTATGCCTGGTAACGAGATGGCGGACGCCGCAACCGGGCACTACATCATTCAAGTAAGTACTTCAGTGTGAGTGCTTGTAATTGTAGGCCTACATGGCGCTAAGAATAAAATTAAATAAATAAATTAAATTGAAATTGAAACAAAACAAATGTCAGGGAAAATTATTTAAGCCGTAAAATGCAGTGCAGTCATTTTTCATATTATTGAGAATACGAATTGATAATTATAAATAAAAATAAAAATTCAAATAAATTGTATGAATAATAATAATAAAATAAATAATAACAAAAGCTTATTTGGGTCTTGCGGTTATAATTTCAAATAATGTCGTTTTAAAAGCAGCTCTCGACAAAGAGAACAGGTCGATATCAGAGAAGTACTTGTTGTACGTTTTTGGCAACCTTACCGTCATATCGTTAGCCTCGTAATTTGTACGCACAGATGGTACATGAAAAAGTTGCGTGTGGCGTGTTCTTTTTGTAGGAGCCTTTAAGGAAACTATTCTATTTATCAACTCGGTGCAGTCCAGTACTCCAGAACATACATCGAACAAAGTCATCATGTCCCGCATGCGTCGCCTGTCACCAAGAGTAATGAGACCGTATATGCTACATGACTCCCATAACCATTGGATTCATTTTTGACTCTAAAGTTTAAATATTTTACGAATTTCATTTGTATTCGTTCAATGGCGTGTTCGTGTGTTATGTACTGTGGATTCCACACGGTGCTACAGTACTCAAGAGTACTTTGAACATAAGCATAATATAATACTTTCATGCAAGCAGCGTCCTTGAAATCTTTCGTAACTCAAAATAAACCTAAATTTTTATAAGCCCTGGTGGTTATATCGTTAAAATGATCGGCGAATGTTAATTTTGAATCCAAAGTTACCCCTAGATCTCTCACAACATTCACTTGAGTCACTACTTCATTATTAAGTTTGTAATTGCACAGAACAGGATTTTTGCGTCTTGTAAACATAATATGCACGCATTTTGCCGTATTAACTGTTATCCTATTTCTTATGTAATACTCTGAAAGTCGGTCCAGATCTTCTTGCAATTTCAAACAGTCATCATTAGATTCAACTTTCATATAGATTTTTGTATCATCAGCGTAGAGCAAGAACTTAGCATGCTTAAAACATGAAGACATATCGCTTATATACGCTATATAGAATAGAGGACCGAGTAACGAGCCCTGCGGCACGCCTGACGTTATATTGACATAGTCAGAGCGAATCCCGCCGATCACAACAGCCTGTTTACGATTAGATATGTAAGATTTTATCCACCTGTACAAATCCCCGCGTATTCCCAGTTGATAAAGCTTTTGCAAAAGAATGATGTGATCCACGCGGTCGAAGGCCTTTTCAAAGTCCGTATATATTACATCCACCTGTGAACGATAGCCCATGTTACGATGCAGTTCACTTATATACAAACTTAAATTTGTAGTTGTTGATCTCCCCTTGATGAAGCCGTGCTGTTCGTCGGGTATGCCTTGCTTTAAGATTGGATATGTTTCCCTGTAAACAAATTTCTCCAGAGTCTTTCCGAAAACATTCAAAATGGAGATAGGGCGATAATTCGCAATTTCGCGTTTGGAGCCCTTTTTATGGATTGGAACAATGTGCGCTTCTTTCCACTTAGACGGAAAGACTCCTTCTGAAATAGATTTATTGTAAATTAATAATAAAGGGAAAGAAAGTGCCGCTGCACATTTTTTTGTAAAGAAAGGAGGTATTTGATCGCTACCAGCTCCCTTACAGGGGTCCAAGCCAGCGAGTTGCTTGTAAACCTCATCTTGAGTTACAGAAAAGGAATGAACTGAATCGCGTGAACTAATCGAAGGAAGTCCCTCGTCCGAGTAACTCCCTGCTGGGTGAACAAACATTCGTTCGAAGTAATTGTTGAAGGCCGCGCAGATGGTAGGACCGTTCGTCAACTGCTTATTGTCATACGTCATTGAACCAGGGTATCCCGTATTACGCTTACGCTTCGAATTAATATATGACCACAGTAATTTAGGGTTAGACTTTATGTTACCCTGGCAAAGACTTATATATCTTTGATAGCAGTGATCTTGCATGACTTTAGCTCTTCTCCTCAGCAAAGAAAAAACGTCATAATCTATCGGGTTATTATACCGTTTCCAACGATGATGGGCACTCTTTTTCTCCGCCAGCAAACAGATGAGAGCACGACTATACCACGCTGGGTATCGATTAGATAAATTAGTATCAACGGTGGGAACGTACCTATCTATAACATCGTTTAAAATTGAGTAAAATCCGTTGACCGCCTCATCGACAGTGCCCGACTTCAGCACACTCCTCCAATCAACACTCTCCAATTCCATGTTAATGGCGTTGTAGTCTGCCTTGCGAAACAGTTTTTTTTCCCTTGAACATTTTGGCACACAGTTTACAAATATATCGCTCGCATCGATATCGAGAGTGGTGTGCTGAACGTCCTCCTTTACCAGCGTAAAGGCTGAGAGACGAATGCCCACGTCAAAATTACTGAAGAACAGGTCAAGCGTATTTCCCACGTTATTCCTGTACGTGTTACGCTGGTGAAGTCCCAGAAAACACGCTTGATTTACTAAGTGCGCCCCCGCGTTCTGAAGATCGATGCATCCTTTTTTTAAATGTGTAGGTCCAGAATAATCCCACGTAATATTAAATAGATTAAAATCGCCAGCCAATATAAAAAAGTCATTATTAAAATTACTAGCGATGTCGGTAATTAAATTTATGCAATTGTAAATTAAAGACGGTAATTTGGGCCCCGGCGCCATGTAAGCCAGCGCTATGTGCAGATCGTGTTCTAAGTTTATTGTGCGGCCGTCCAAGGTCACCCAAATGCATTCAACGTCAGCGCGTTGCCACTCAGTGCGGGCTCGAGCGTTCAGTCGTCGATTGCACATAATCATGACACCACCACCGTGAGATCCGCGGTCGCGGCGAAATATCTCATACCTGCAATTTGATAATTCTGAATCCAAAATGCCGTCATTCAACCAAGTCTCAGTTATAAGAATAATGTCGTGATCCGTTCGAAGTAAATTATTGTAAAATTCTAATGTCTTGGTACGAAGACCACGAACATTTTGATATAAAATGTTTAGCTTACGTCCCATATTTTGAGATCTTTACTGTGAACCGTGCGTTTGATCAGTAATGAAAATTTCCGAAGCAAGTGATCTGTTTTTAATAATAAATAAATAGCCGTGACAGCATTTAGGCACAGTGTGTAAGCTGCAAAATAATTTCGCACATTATCACACGATAAATAATTATATACAATAATGGAGGTATTTGTGTTGATGTAAAGTGTAATAAGCTGTTTGTATGTTTTATGAGTATTTGGTAAGTATAAAGTGTTATCATGTGACAAACCGAAAGTCAAGCAATAAGTTAGGGACAGAAATTCATTACAGAATGATATGTTAATACTATTTAAATTCCTTTGATTATTTATTAGGTAATTTTGCTCAAATCCTCCTCGCAAGATATCAGAATGTATGGCGATTTTTCGGCTTTCCTTGTATAAATTCGGCAGTTTTTTGTCCATACAAATTTATAATTGAAATCTTTAGCTTTCGCCTTGCAACTACTTAATAACTGTTTATTTTTTACAGTTAGATGCTCGTTAATATAATATTACTGGATTCGCCATCCATTCCAATATCCTTTGAGGTAATTTTACCACATTTACGTGAAGCTGACAAAACCGTATCCTTTTTATTTCGATTGTGAAAGCGAATAACCAGATTACGTGGCTTTCCCTTGACTTGTCTCTTCATCTGAACACGATGGACGAAATCCAGGTCTTGGTGGTTAATTGGCACGTCTAGATGTTTAGCGATACTATCGATTATGTCAGGCAGGGATTCCTCACTGGTCTCTGGTACGCCGGCAATCTCAATATTTTGCAGTCTTGACCACTGCTCTTGCTTTAATGACACCTCTTCCATACTATTTACCTTACTTTGGAGCAATTTTATTTGATTATTGAGGTTATTAGTATCAGCTGCAACTTCTTTGTAGTAGCTGTGCTTTTATCAACCGTGGTTTTAATAGAATCATACATATCGCTTACAGTTTTGACAGATTTTTCAAGATCAAGGAATTTGTTTTCTAATGCTTTTGATACGGCCTCAGTAACTTTTTCCAAGAAGCTGGGTAACTCACGGCGAAACGCCAGCTCAAATTCAGCTCTTATGGCACCCAAGATATCATCCGACTTTTCATCTGCTGCACAGCTACTGTTGCTGCTTGCTGATGTCCGACGAGTACGAGTTTGAGTATTTACAAAGTCATCATTGCAGCTCATGGTCACTTTTACCGGTGTGTCGGTGTTGTCTCCGTGACGCTTTTGTTTTGCTTTACATTCCGGACACACCCAAGTAGCTAGCAAAGATGGATTATTACCCTTAACAGCAACGCAGGCTCGGTGATACTGGAGCGTGCAAGATGAACTGGTGCACGTTACAGCACTCTCTTTAGCTTTTATAGAAATAGCACAGGCACTGCACTTCACAACCATTGTAAGGGCTATCTAGAAGCTGAACTTTGATATACTTTGATTATTATCGCAGAAATAATAGATAAAATTGATAAAATTAATTTTAACATTCAAAAACGAACCGTTCGCCGTTAAACTTTTTTTTTTTTTTTTTTTTTTTTTATTTACGGGATTGTTACCATGTACCTTGTTTTTAGCGAGTTTCCGATATTTCGGCACTGTTGCAAGCGCCATGATCACGGAGTAACTGCAGTAATTGCGGGTAGGCTGTTATTGGCAGACATATCGGTCTACCCTCCGACGAAGTCTTTTATTGCGTTCGATACCCGTACCACTGTTCACATTCTCACTATTCACTCGAAACTGTTCTCGACACACAACACTTACAGTATCGGATCGCGACACGACACTTTTTTGATTATTTCCGGTTTTACACATACGAACCACAGGATTCCAGCTAAAAACAAGGTACATGGTAACAATCCCGTAAATAACTTATATTACTATAAAGAATTAGATTTTCAATTTGCCGCGAAAACGTTTCTCTGGACGTTACGGCGTCTCACTAGTGTGTGAAGTCACACGACTGTCATCAAAACGTCAAATGGATACAATGAAATGTCAATTTAATCGGAAGTTTACAAGCGTGTGACATTATTTTAGTCTTCGCCAATCCCAGGCCTTTTTGGTCACGTGACCATGGACCATCGTCTCTGTTAAATGTTTTTTTTATAAGTTATTAATTATTTGTACTCTTGGAATAGTGAAATAGCTGATAATGTTCATATTAAATACTGTTGCAAAAAAAATTTATTTTTTCTTTCATACTGTAAAATAGAACAAAAATAAAATAATTTAATTTATTTATTTTTCTAGAAAAGTGATTGATTATTTGTTCTCTCAAAGTAGTAAAGTCTTTGCTTATATTCATATTAAATACAGACGCCAACAATTGGTACTTTATTTTTTATACTGTCGAATAGCCTATAGTTTGAGCATTCTCTGTTCATCTGCAAAGTAAAACTGGGAAAATAATTTTAAGATAGATGAAGCGATCTTTTGGCCAATAGTTTGTATGCGTATTGGTCGAACCATCGCTTTGTCTCTTTCTAGAGAGTTGTCGTTTCCATGCGAGTGTCGTTCAGTCTTTTCCCAATGACTATGTCTATGATAGGTATACTTTTTGATTATATACACGCCCAGTAAGAGCAATCCAAATAAACCACGCAAAGAAAACTGCTCATGTTACACGCAATGTGTGCGTGACAATGGCAGATTATTTGAAAGCGACAATGTGTGCGTGTGTAGCGACTAGCTTATCTACCATATGTAGTTGATATTTTTTGGGCCGCTTCCGTGCAGTTAATACGGTATCTAGGCGTGTATATAATCAAAAGGTGTACTATAGAGAGATTCTTGTAGTGTGTTAGTAAAAGGCTATTGTAGACCTATTTTTGGTACTATGCAAAACATTCTGATTTATTTTTAAAAACTAATTGCTTGTTAAGTTACTTTTCTGTAATGTACTTCTGTCAGACTTTGTGACTCCATTACATTTGGTCGTTAGCCCGAATACGAGTGCCAATTGAATTCGGGTAAACAACTAAGGCTCTTATTATATATATATATACAGGATGTGACAAAAAGTCCGAAATAAAACTTTAGGGTTTGGTTGTGTTCCTTGTGTAGAATTACCTACGAAAGTTTGACCTTTCAGACCACTTTTATTTTCTAATTAAATTAATAAAAATATCGTTTTACACCTGCCTATGACAACCCTATAAATGCGTACGATAACTACTACCTAAACAGGCCCCCCTCTCTCCCCCAGGCGCCCCTGCGCCCCGCTCAGATACCTACAAATTTTTATTTCGGAATACATACCTACAAATTTTATTTCGGAATTCTGTAACATCCTGTATATATATATTCTTTATATTGTTATAGAGGGTTTAATCAGATTGATTATGTCACCCTCGAAGATCACATTATATGGTCATACCTACGTTTTATACCAATTTTAACAAATTTAGTCAATAATCTAGCTGTTTCAGAAAGCGGAAAAGCTAGAATATTTATACATCCACCAATATCATACCAGGGGATATTATATTTATGTATCAATTCCATCCTCTCTGATTCGTTCCGGACACATTCCATGATTATGTAAACTACATCCTCAACTTTATCACCCTCCGTACAATTTGGTGAGATTGTTTTACCAATTAAGTGAGTAAATTTATTTAATGGGATGTGTCCGGGCTGAAGCCTCATTAATGTTGTCAAATCAGGCCTAGCCATATTCGATCCCTCGAACCACAAAGACCTGCTTAGACATGGCTGTATAGTCTTGTACCAGATTCCTTTGCTTTGTGACCTTTCATCAAAGTACTCTTTCCAATCGAGTTTGCACTTATTTTTTATGTGTAGTAGACAGTCTTCTTGGCGTGATATATATACTTGATCTTTACTTGAGTGCAGTTAGAAAGGGATGTCGCTATATTAGGCACATAGCGGCATCCCTTTCTAACTGTACTCAAGTAAAGATCAACACTTAGTTGTCATTCTGTAATACGGGCCTTAGTCGTTTACCAAATAATTGTAAATGAACTAAGTCGAGTACGCCCATATTCGGGTAGATTTTCTTTTGTTTACCCGACATAGTCTTCCAGCCCGTATTCCGGTGTAAATATTGCTTTTTTGAGTGCCCAAATTCGAGAAATGTCTTTCGTGTACCCGAATATGGACAAACGACCGAGTGTAATTGAGCCATTATTAATAAATATAAAAAAGATCTATAAAGATCATGTTTAATCGGCAGTGATGCCGAAGAAGTCATGGATCTTCACACGCTAGTGTTGCTGTGGGTGCTGGATTCAGGATGCGATGTGGAGACTGCTTTAGAAGGAAACTCTGCTGTCAAGCAATTGAAGGCAAACGATTTGGATGAGGTCAGTTTAATATTTTTTTCTTTAGATTTCAACATCCAGCTGTCATATTCTTAAAATAAAAAAAAAAACAACGGGTTGCACTCCAGTAGTGCCTGCAGAAGTGAAAACTTGAATATTAACGTTGTGCATTTTTGATATTTTGGAATGGTTGGGGAATAATTTTGCACGAATTGCTTTAATTATCAGAATAAAAGTACTATCATGTATGTGGTAGAATACAATATTTATTTATTGCGCTATCGTACACAAACATGACAATTTATATTACATCAAAAAAGTGTATTTCTCAGAAAAATCAACTTGCATGAATCACGTTTAAGCGCACCTAGCGACATGTATTGTAAAAAAATGCATTTTCTTCGCAATAAAGCTGCCACGTGGACGTCCTAGATAGAGACGTCCAATATATATAAAGTCAACAACCTTCCCAATTTTATTGTGTGTCATGATGCGATCAGCCCACGTGTTTAACCTGTCACGAGTTTAACATTTTTTACCAATACAAAAAAAGTGTACAACGCCGCTAAAGAAGTTTTCACTTCAAAAACGAAATTGTGGCAAACAAGCCTGATGGTAAGCGAACACCATAGCCTATATAGACGCTTGTGATACAATATATCACTCCTTCCGTTGCCTTCCCTGACCCAATCCCCTAACCTGTCAAGCCCTGGTTTTTTTATTAACAGACATCATCATCATCATCAGCCTATTAATGTCCCCACTGCTGGGGCACAGGCCTACCCTATAGATGGAATAGGGAGATTGGGCCATGACCCACCACGCGGGCCCAGTGCGGGTTGGTGGGTGCTAACGACTGCAGATACAGCCGGGACCAACGGCTTAACGTGCCTTCCGAAGCACGGAGGAGCTAGAGATAGTAAATTTTCGGTCACCCATCCAATGACCGACCACTGCGAAAGTTACTTAACTTCAACGATCGCAGCCGAACGCGCTAACCACTTGCGCCATCGAGCTCCTCATAGGTCCTCACTGCTGGACATAGGTCTCCCCTAATGCACGCCACTGCTCCCGATTTTGTGCTGCTCTCATCCAGCCCACTCCAGCCAGCCTACGAATATCATCATCCCATCTTGTCTCAAACTTAACAGACATACTCGCATTATAATTTGATTTCAGTGATGGCTGGCAGCTGCGTTCGGCATTTTAATGTTTCTTATCATAGCGACGACATCCTTTTAAAATACAACCATAATCTTACCAGAGTCCGAAGCACACATTACGACAGATCAGAACCCCTAGCACTTACCAATATCAAATTCGAATCGTTTGCGAGTCCGAAATGTCATTTTCAAATATGTACCGATTTTTAGTTCTCGTTACGTACTTTGTGGTGTTGCTGTTCAAGTTTCCATACAAAATTTTACAGTGACATTTCGCACTCGCAAACGATACGAATTCGATATTGGTTCGTGCTAAGGGTACAGTACCCCAACCCCTCTAGCATCACCACCGAAACGGGATATGATAAAGCGATATATGTATCGGCATTGACTGTCAGACTACAGTATTTGACGACCTCCGTGGCCGAGTGGTTTGTACGCCGGGTTTCATGGTGTCGCCAACTCGCGAGGTCCCGGGTTCGAATCCCGGTGGGGGCAGATGTTTGTGTGATGAATACGAGCATTTGTACTCCAGTCATGGATGTTTAATATGTATTTCTATATAAATATACTTACATATGTACAGTATATGTATTCTATCCGTTACCCTAGTATCCCATAACACAAGCCTTACAGTGCTTACTTTGGGGCTAGGCTAATTGGTGTGAGTGTTGGAAATATTTATTTATTTATTACTGTCAAACTCCACTGTAGTCTGACAGTTAATGCCGATATATCGCTTTATTATATCCCGTTTCGGTGGTCATGCTAGAGGGGCAAGATTGAATACGAAAAGTTTGCGAGTGCCAAATGTCATTGTTAAATTTTGTATGGAAAATTGAACAGCAGTCTCACAAGGTATAAAATAGATCGAATTCAACTATTAGAATTCGAAAATGGTTCTAGTGCCCTTAGCACGAACCAATATCGAATTCGAATAGTTTGCGAGTGCGAAATGTCATTGTCAAATTTTGTATAAAAACTTGAATAGGACGCGCCCCAACGGACGTAACGAGAACTAAAAATCAGTACACGTTTGACAATGACATTTCGCACTTGCAAACTACTCGAATTCGATATTGGTTCGTGCTAAGGTTACCGTAATGGTATCTTATCGTCAAAATTTGTATGAAAACTAAGCAGCGCCCCCTATTGGACCAAAGAACAAACTAGCTTTTTCCAAACAAAATTTGATGAGGACGAAATGATTTACGGAGCTGTCTTTATAGCTTTTTCTTTAGTTTTCACTCTTATTACATAACAAAAAAACCTTTTATTCTATAGGGTACGAAAAACCTGACCTAGCTCTCCATTGTAACTATATATATACATAACATATATGTATGTTTTTAACACTCACACCAATTAGCCTAGCCCCAAAGTAAGCACTGTAAGGCTTGTGTTATGGGATGCTAGGGTAACGAATAGAATTCATATACTGTACATATATAAGTTTCTTTATATAGAAATACATATTAAACATCCATGACTGGAGTAGAAATGCTCGTATTCATTACACAAACATCTGCCCCCACCGGGATTCGAACCCGGGACCTCTTGAGTCGGCGACATCATGAAACCCGTCGTACAAACCATTCGGCCACGGAGGTCGTCAAATAACTGTGATTATTATGAATAGAACTATTTTAAAACATTACATAGGTACTTCCTTGTTACGAGTGTGACTAACATATTTGTTTTTTTTTTGTTTAGAAAGTGGAAGAAACTCTAGACAAGACATCTGAGGAACCGGAAACGGAGGCGCGTGATGTAACTTCAGGTGAGAGTTTCGTAGTCGATTTTAACGTATGATAAACTGACTCTGCGAACTTCGTACCACCCAAAAGTAATAATTTGCAATAAAATAATATTGCGACTATAAATTGAGATGTCCTGTCTTTCTAGTTGGATCAAACTATACAATTACAATCGATTAAGTAATTTTGGACTCCATCCCGGAGAAACAGCCACAATTAGTGGCCCGCCTTCGCTTCAGAGTAGAGATTTGGGCCCATATTATAGAAAGATTCTCAGTAATTAAAATAAATAAAAAATAAATATTACCAACACTCACACCAATTAGCCTAGCCCCAAAATAAGCACTGTAGGGCTTGTATTATGGGATCTTAGGGTAACGGTTAGAATACATATACAGTACATATATAAGTATATTAAAATAGAAATACATATTTAACATCCATGATTGGAGTACAAATGCTCGTATTCATCACACAAACATCTGCCCTCATCGGGATACGAACCCGGGACCTCTCGAGTCGGCGACACCATGAAACCCGGCGTACAAACCACTCGGCCACGGAGATCGTCAATTAATCTAGTCTTGAGCATAGTTAGAAAGGGATATGGCTATATATAGCACATAGCGGCATCCCTTTCTAACTGTACTCAAGTAAAGATCAACACTTAGTTGTCATTCTGTCATACGGGCCTTAGGCAGACTAATATAACATTCTTCATATACAGTAGAATCCTTTTATTATGACTCCGCCTATATTGACCAACCGCCTATTATGACGTAATTACACAACGAAGTTTGGTTTTCATATAAAATTCATTGTAACAGTGTCGGATATAATGACTTCGCTTACAATGACATGTCGCTTATTATGACCCATTTTTAATCAATTTTGTCCGTTTATAGTGACCGACATGGTACTTTACACCTACGGTAATGTTCGTTGATTCCCGACAATGTTCGGCACGTGGCTCGTTTTTGTTTTGAATCTCAGTGAGTAATTTACATTTGAACACCACGCATTGTTTTTAGTGATATCCTATGTAATAAAATGTCATCTCAACGTCGTAAAGCATTTACGACTGAGGAAAAAGGTGCAATAATATCATCATCATCATCAACAGCCTATCTTAGTCCACTGTTGGACATAGGCCTCTCCAAATGCACGCCACTCAGATCGATCTTGGGCTACACTACTACTACATTGGCAATAATAATAGACGACCTCCGTGGCCGAGTGGTTTGTACGCCGGGTTTCATGGCTGTCGCCGACTCGAGAGGTCCCGGGTGCGAATCCCGGTGGGTGCAGATGTTTGTGTAATGAATACGAGCATTTGTACTCCAGTCATGGATGTTTAATATGTATTTATATAAATATACTTATATATGTACAGTATATGTATTCTATCCGTTACCCTAGCATCCCATAACACAAGCTTTATAGTGCTTACTTTGGGGCTAGGCTAATTGGTGTGAGTGTCGGAAATATTTATTTTAAATTTAAATTTATTTAGTATGCTGATTAGAAAATGAGAATCAAACTCATCTCACGATCTTTTTTTCAGAAAAATGCTTTGTATGACGTCCGCTTAGTATGACGTGTTTGTCGATTCCCTTAGAAGTCATAATAAAGGGATTGTACTGTAATTGTAAATCTTTCGTGTATATTAGATATACTTACTGATGTTGAATGCATGAAGCTGGTTGGTTTTTTTTTGGTTGAATGCGCTAATCTCCTAAAATACTAATCCGATTTGAAAAAATATTAGGCTACCTTTATAACTTCACGCTGGGACCTGATCGGATCATCGATGAAAAATGTTGCAGAAACAGCGGCGTTGTTTATACATTATATATCAACTGATAGGATAATATTAAAACATTTTTATTTTTTAACCACTTAACTGGTAGATGAATGAATTATCTCTGAAGTCATTTTTCAACTTGACGACACTGTAAATGATAAAACAGGGAGAAAAAAACAGCCCTTGCTGAGTTTCTTGCCGGTTCTTCTCAGTACAAGGTCTCCCGCCGTAGATTTACGAACTGATGGCGTAGCTTCTAGACATTCATATGTGCTTGTAACAGCCTAAACTGAATAAATAATTTTGATTTTTATTGATTAGTGATGGTTAAATATTGTGATTTCCCTACAATGCGAACAGATAGCTGCCTTGTCTAAGAAATACTAGACAAAATTTGACACGGCCATTAGGGTCGCGGTAACATAATGGTCAGTGTATTTGCCCGGTTAGCGGAGGATGCGGGTTCGAGGGTTCGAGTCCCGTCTGCTGCCTGGTCCGCGTGGAATTTTTCTAGTAAACATTTCTTTGCATTTAAATTCTTTAGCAGTTAAATGCTTAAAATATAAAAACATAAAGATATCAGCTAGTCAAAAATCGTATGACCTTCTTCTGCAGAAGTTTTCGGGTACCAAAACTGGAGTTGCGGAGGACCCTTTTTGATATATCCTGCTTGTATAATACATTACATAACAATTACGATTGTGATGATTTGACTGACAATATTACATTTAGAATACCCAGCAGTTCACACTGTATCCGTGAGGCCTACCCATATAATAATCATAATAATAATCAAAATCATTTATTCAGTTTAGGCTGTTACAAGCACTCATGAATGTCTAGAAGCTAAGCTACGCCATCGGTTCGTAAATCTACGGCGGGAGACCTTGTACTGAAAAGAACCGGCAAGAAACTCAGCAAGGGCTGTTTTTTTTCTCCCTGTTTTATTATTTACAGAGTCGTCAAGTTGAAAAATGACTTCAGAGATGATTCATGAAGTCACCTTTCATTACATAATGTGAAATCGTACATTAATTGTTCACCTGCATTTTGATTGCTGTCTCATACAGTATACGAACAAATAGTGTTATTTATATAAGGTGCAACAGGACATATACATCTTAAATATCGAAGTAGTTAGGGCAGACTCATTCATAAACTCAGTCACTCAAAAACTATTCTGCCCCGGTGGTGTCAATACTAACTGGTCTGCGTGCCGCGCTGAACAGAATAATGAACACCTTTAACGATACTTTGAGTTCACATGATATTGACATTTCTAAAGAAAAGTTACTAGAAAAAAATCCACGCGGACCAGGCAGCGGACGGGACTCGAACCCGCACCCTTCGCAATCCGGGCGAATGCACTGACCATTATGCTACCACGGCCCTATTCGCCGCGTCGAAATTTTCCCAGCCTTAAGCTGCAAGGCAGCGCCATCTCTTCGCATTGTAGGTAACCCACAATGTCAAATGAATACTTTTTCAAGTATCAAACATTTGAAAGAAGAAATAGCAATTATAGTTATGTTTAATAGAAAAAAATACATATTTTTCTAGTAAACTTTTCTTTAGATTTAAACATCTAGCAGTTAAATGCTTAAAAAATAAATAAAAACATATTAATGACATTTTCTTGCTCTCAGACACTTCTTTCAAAACCAAAGTAACAAGCTTTTTGTTTCTACTAGATACTTATTTGTGTAGTGTATAACATATTTTTCTTTTAGTATAGATTTATTTACTTGTGAAAACAACATTATCTGTGGATATTATTGTTGGTTGTACAATAAGTATAACATAAATGTAAGCCTTCACTTAAAATATATTGTACAGCTCAATTTGATTCCATTAAAAAACATTTATTCATCATCATCATCATCAGCCTATTAATGTCCCCACTGCTGGGGCACAGGCCTCCCCTATGGATGGAATAGGGAGATTGGGCAATGACCCACCACACCCGGGCCCAGTGTGGATTGGTGGGTGCTAACGACTGCAGATGCAGCCGGGACCAACGGCTTAACGTGCCTCCCGAAGCACGGAGCAGCTCGAGATAGTAATTTTTGGTCATCCATCCAATGTCCGACCAGTGCGAAAGTTGCTTAATTTCAACGACCGCAGCCGAACGCGCTAACCACTTGCGCCATCGAGCTCCTCATTCATTTATTCAGTTTAGGCTTTTACAAGCACATGTGAAAGTCGAAAACTACGCCATCGGTTCGCAAAACTACGGCGGGAGACCTTGTAGTGAGAAGAACCGACAAGAAACTCAGCAAGGGCTGCTTTTTTCTCCTTGTTTTATTTCATACAGTATCGTCAAATTGAAAATTGACATCAAACATGCAAACATGTATTGAGGTCAATTTCCATTACAGAATGTCAAATAGGGAACAATAGACAATCAACTAATTTACTAACAATAAGTATAAGTGTTAAACTGTTGGTTATCACTAATAAAATAAAATCAAAATAAATAAAATAAAGTGAGGGCTACTTTTTCTTAAGCCTATGCTGAGTAAGTTACAGCTTTAATAACATTTACAATTAGTATTACTTAATATTGCAAATCAAAGTTCACATGGACCAAATAGATAATTTAAGCTACAAATAGCTTTTGCCTTATAAACATGCCGTTTTCCGCATACTTAAACGGTGATTTGTTGGGAATTAGGGAAATACAGCTAACACTGTTTACGTGTGTATTCCCAAGTTGTAATAAATTAATTTTTTTTTATGTCATTTGTTTCTTAGGTTTTCACGCACATCACTCATTAAATAAAACAAGTTTCAACAGGTTAGATGCACTGATTTTATTTATTTGATTTGAAAAGTCGCATCGTCGTCACGTTTGAGTACACTTATAAGTGAAAATTCACTCAAAAGTGACTTCACGAGCCCCTACTCCCAAACTTTGACGCGCTATAATTTTGTCATTTTTTGGTTGATTGCCCAAAGAAAAAATACGTGTCCATTATTTTTTGATCATCTAACTGACGGACTAAATAGAATTTCGTTTACTGTACCCCGTCATCATCCTTATTATTGCACTACGGTACGAAACGCTTCGTTTAAGAACACAATTCGCACTTGACCGGTTTTTTAATGCTATCATTGGTATGCAAGTTACAAACAATCACTTATTTGTAATATATTTACCCCAATCGTTATCTTTCAAAGCCTATATCACTTTAACACGTAATTACTTCGAAAATGACACAGGACACCGAAACCTAGACATAATTTTCGACGAAAAATAGATGAAATTAGATATTTGTTTGTTAGGCTTGCGACGTATCCTGAAAAGGATGCGAAACGTCATTTTTGTTTTAAATTATTTATGTAATCAAGTACTATTGCAATTATTTTAATATATATAGTGCAAACGAAAACCAGAAAGGTTTATTCGTGCACTACAATCATCACTGTACATCTAGTTACGATAAATAGAAGTTCTACACACTCTAGTAAATATTACTAAATAACAATCTATCTATATATATACAGACTGTCTGGACGGATCGGGCTGAAATTTGGCATGCAGGTAGATGTTATGACGTAGGTATTCGCTAAGTAAGATTTTTTATCAATTCTACCCCGGGGCGTTTTATTCTATTCTATCATTCGAAGCGAAGCGGGGGCGGGCCACTAGTATTTTATAAAAGTAATTGGGTATGTTGGTAGAAAAGTCAACATTGAGCGGCAAGATAATTAAATTACGCTTGTACACAGACCTGTCTTTCCCAATGGGCAGTTTGGGCAAGTGCCCCGGGCCCCGCGATCAATAGGGGCCCTTCTCAGATCAAATACAAAGTCTCTAGTTCATAGGGGCCCCATAATCTTATATGCCCAGGGCCTCCAATAGGTCAAAGACGACACTGCGTACATACAGGTAACAAAAGACGCACGCACGCATGCCGATTGGGTCATTTTTTCATGCTAGCATACCAGTTGACATACAGGATGCTCCAACTATAATCATAAATATGACTTTATTATTATTATTTTATGTTCGTTGTTACGGTTATTTTAAATTTATTAATAAAGTGACTTTTTAATGTACTTTTTATGTTTTCTTTATTTACAATGTTTTTTTTTTCCAATTGGTAACTTATTTAAATAAATCAGTGTATCTATACTGTTGAAACTTGTTCTATGAAATTAGATAATTTTATCTCTGCCTAACAGCTCATTTACTCCCGTGGCGCATCGTTATATTTTATCACAATGTTACTGACCTATAATGCACATTTCCAGTTATTCAATAAACTAATTACATGTAATTTCATTATCGTATCCTTATTTCGTGCCTTCGAGTCGTTATGAGCTTTAGTAACTTCATAATAAGGTCACATTTCGTGTGTCCGTGTATGGAGTAGGAAAAATGTGGTTTTGAATATTTTTCTGGACAATGTTCAATTGTTTCGAGACTTTGTTTGCGCAGTGTATACTGTGTTCCTGATATTGTTGTAGCATTTTCAAAGGCTTGTGTGGTGTGAATATTGCTGTTGAGTTTTTGAGTACATAATAATTGTTTGATTTACTATTCTTATTTGTAATAATCGTTTAGTTATGAAAAGTGCTGTTAACGTTTAAAAAAATTGTTTGGGATTTGACGGCGTATTGTCGTCTTACAAAATATTTTAAACAGGTACCCTAAATTATTTGGAAAAGTTTTGTTTTTAAGGATTATATTGTAAGTGTTGATTAAATTGTGTATATGGACAACTGATATAACACAAAATAGGCCTTAAGTAGTGTCAGAGCAATTAAGATATTCGAAAACACATCAGTACCCTTAGCACGAACCAATATCGAATTCATAACGTTTGCGAGTCCGAAATGTCAATGTCGAATGTGTACTGATTTTTAGTTCTCGTTTAGACTTGCAACGAATATTCGGTTACTATTCGGTTTTCGGCCTATTCGGCTGCTTTTAAAATTTTTTTAGCCGAATACCGACTATCTACATATTATTCGGCCGAATACCGAATACTTAAATAATATATTTTGTCATAGAGAAAGAATTGGTAAAATGAAAAATTCAAATCGATTCATTACGTACATATTCATATTTTCATTTCTGTTATATATAATCATTTAAGTAGTCATTGGTACCTAATACAGGTACATAATATCATCTTCTGAAATGGAAAAATGGGGGATTCCATGTATTTGAATTATCGTGGAAATCAAAATTTATTTTATAATAATTTATTAAGTAGTCATTGGTACATAAAACAGGTACACAATTTAATCATTTTCTGTATTAAACAAGTTAAGATTTTTCTATGCATTTGAATTATTTTCATAATGGTGCAGAAAGACTGCATTTTTAGGAAGTAGTTTACTTCATTTTTTTCGTAGAGCATCCCAGCTTCAGAGAAAAGGCGCTCTGAATAAACACTACTTCCTGGCGCCGACAAATATTTTGCTGCAATCTTAATCAAACACGGAAATTCAAATTTCCTTGCTTGCCACCATGTATACGGGTTATCATGACGTGATGTATTACTAATATTTAAGAAAAGATCAGAACAACAGACACATATATATATATACATTAGAACAAAACAAAGGAGCGCGAAACAATCACGTCGGTACAAGTTTTTGGCGCTAAAATCCAGCCGAATACTTTTGCCTAATATTCGGCTATTCGGTCAGGGGCCTCGCCGAATATTCGGTATTCGGTAAACTGCCGAATATACTATTCGTTGCAAGTCCATTCTCGTTACGTACTTTGTGGCGCTGCTGTTCAAGTTTCCATACAAAATTTGACATTGACATTTCGCACTCGCAAACTATTCGAATTCGATATTGGTTCGTGCTAGGGGTAATGATCGTTGCGACATTTGGCATTATTTTTATTTCTACGTTTTTCTTATTTGGAACTAACTGTTTCCGCGGCTTCGCCTGCGTGAAATTCGGGATAACTTAGATCACTATATAGAAAAACGTTGTATTTACTTATATTTAGTATTTCTCTGAAGCTTCGAATATTAAAGTCTCATTTATTTATACTTTATTGCACAAATGAGTGTACAAATGGCGGACTTAATGCCATTAGGCTTTCTCTACCAGTCTACCGGAGTTTATAGCAAAGATCTTAAGACGGTAGTGCAAAAAGAATTCATCAAATTATTTATAATAATTAAAGTATATCTATAGGAACAAGATAATATATATATATATATATACTGCATAAAATACATATATGTTTAAACATAAATATTAATTAATATTTACATATATAGGTTGCAGAGGTTAGGATGCAGATGCCGGACACAGTTAGGCTTATTGATTGCGTGTCCGGCCAAAATAAACGGTGTCCGGCTTGTCCGGCTTTTGTTGGGCTCTCTACATTACGCAAACGAGCGAGCGCCGAGCGTGGGCGAATGCAAGAGAGTTGACTGCCGGTCGGTTTTACAAAAAAAAAAATGTACCTAATATTACTAAGCCACAAAATCCTCAATAATGTAGGGTGTCCGGCCTTTTTATCCAAGTGTCCGGCTAAACTGGTCTGTCCTGCTATTAGGTTTGGCGACCTGGCAATACTATCTGGAAGGGATCAATGCTAGCAATAAGTTTGATTTTGCCTACTTAGCTAATATGTTTCTCCGTGTAATTGTATTTGTGTTAACAATTAAGTGTTAAACAAAATAATCTACATTTTCTTCTTCTTTTAACTTCCAGATACGACTACCTTAGAAGCCATCATGCCCGAATTGGTGTCCGGCCACGAGACTGGACGTTGGCCCCGCGACAAACGGGTGTACCGCACCCTCATGGAGCTGAGCCGGGACTCGCACGCTCCACTGGTGAGGCATATGTCCAATTATAATGATAAAAAAAATAGTATTTTAAAATTTAATATTTCGCAAACGGATCCCTAAATCGAAAAATAGTTTTAGTAACCCCTAAATTTTAATATATATATTTTTAATTATGTTACTGCTTGATGTTTAAATCTAAAGAAAATATAACTAAAAAAAATCCCCGCGGATCAGGCAGCAGACGGGACTCGAACCAAAAATTTTTTCTAGTTATATTTGCTTTAGATTTAAACATCAAGCAGTTACTGCTTGCTGTTTAAATCTAAAGCAATATGTGCTTAAAAATAAAAATTATTACTATAATTGCTATTTCTTCTTTCAAATGTTTAATACTTGTAAAAGTATTCATTTGACATTGTGGGTTACCTACAATGCGAAGAAATGGAGCTGCCTTGCAGCTTAAGAATGTCTAGAAAAATTTCGACGCGGCCGTCAGGGCCGCGGTAGCATAATTGTTCAGTGCATTCGCCCGGATTGCGAAGGGTGCGGGTGTAAGGTAAAAAATTAAAAAAACTTGTGTACTAGTTAGTTATTTCAAAAAAAGAACGAAAAAGGCTGGAGAAGGCCGGTTGATGGTAGCCGATTTTAGCTTCTCAGCTTCCATTTAAAGTGAGAGTTGTAACGGGCGCCGGGAAGCTGATGATATCTCCAGGTGTCCGGAATAACTTACGGGAACATCGGCCTTTAATCTCAAGTCCAGTTTTGACTAGGGTTGAATGATAAAGGTGTTTTCCTCTTCAATTATTTATTGTGAAAGCGTACATACCAGATTGGATTCCAGGCGTCAAAGTACATTAAGTATTGGTTTTACTTAGACTATTATGGCTGGTCCATGGTCAAGGATATCAAAATGATATTTATGATATCATTAAAATTAAAGATGAAGCTAAAGAGTATAAAGACAAGATAAAGAGCTGAAACAAAAGAGACATTTGTGAGACCAGGCAACATGGCTAGATATAATTATGTATGACAATCTTAATTCTTACCTGCAATCGCAGCTCTTTTAAAGTTTTACTAAAGGGCCATTGGCACCTATATTAATTCACATTAATGCGGTGAGCGCATTTTTGAAAAAGAAACCGAACTTTATATTAATATTATATTTCACATTTTTAAAAGTGACTGTTCGTGTCTGCAAAGAACCGAAAAGTAATGTTGCCAGGTCGCACTTCCAAAAAACGCCGCGAGTCTCAGTGTTGGCGCATTAAAATTTAAATTTGGGCATGGACTAACCATAAATTACAAAAGTTTTCTTAAATTTAGAATAACAATTATTACGTATTTATTTTAATGTTTTATGAAATTAAGACCATTTTTAAAGATGTGTTTCGTTTATTATTAAAAAAAATAGGGAAAATCCTTAAGTGACGGATGTCAAACCATATATTATTTATCTATGTATGTGACGGCGTAGATACGACGTTACACGGGTTCGAGTTCCGTCTGTTGCCTGGTCCGCGTGGAATTTTTTCTAGTTATATATTTTCTTTAACCTCTAAGTTATTTTAAAGGACCTATTTAGCGATAGGCCCACATGATGAAAAAAAAGTCATCCCCACTACATGTAGGGGAGCTACCCTAAAAATTATTACAGACGAACCTGACGAAACTATACAGGTTCCTTGTCAGGACTACGGAACCCTAAAAATCTTCAAAAACTACTAAAACTGAGAAGAAGAATAAAAAACAGTTATAATTGGTTAGTGGATTCACCCGGATTGCAATGGCTGTGGGTTCGAGTCCCGTCCGCTGCCTGGTCCGCGTGGATTTTTTTCTAGTAAAACTTTTCTTTAGATTTAAACATCTAGCAGTTAAATGCTTAAAAAAACATAACTACAATTGCTATTTCTTCTTCCAAATGTGTAATACTTGAAAAAGTATTCATTTGACATTGTGGGTTACCTACATTGCGAAGAGATGGCGCTGTCTTGCAGCTTAAGGCTAGGTAAATTTCGACGCGGCCATCAGGGCCGTGGAAGCATAATTGGTTAGTGCATTCGCCCGGATTGCGAAGGGTGCGGGTTCGAGTCCCGTACGCTGCCTGTCCTTTTTTTTCTAGTAAAACTTTTCTTTAGATTTAAACATCTAGCAGTTAAATGCTTAAAAAAACATAATCAGTTATAATGATTAAAAACTAGCGGCCGCCTGCGACCTGGCCAGCCCGCGTTATCTTTAGTCTTTTGAGAAACCCACAGGAACCTAACATTTTACTGGGATAAAAGTACCATATGTCTCGAATCCAGGTCATGAACTATATTCGTATCAAATTTCATGCAATAATAGCTTTTGCGCGATTGAGTAACAAACGTAGAAACATACAAACTTTGATATTTATAAAATTAGTAGGATTGGATTGTCCTCATACAAAATGAGTAGAGTACTTATGCAAAAGTTTTCGGACTTGGTTCAGTATAAGGGCCAATATGAATAGTACTTTTAGTAAACAAAACAAAAAATATATAAAAATTAAGTGACTATAGAAATACCTCTATTTTTTTAAAATATTTTTTACGATTTCTCCATGATCTGACCCATCATCAGACCCTGATCATGGGACCATATCATCATCATCAGCCTATTAATGTCCCCACTGCTGGGGCACAAGCCTTCCCTATGGATGGAATAGAGAGATTGGGCCGTGACCCACTAAGCGGGCCCGGTGCGGATTGGTGGGTGCTAACGACTGCAGATGCAGCCGGGACCAAAGATTTTTGGTCACCCATCCAATGACCGACCACTGTGAAAGTTGCTTAACTTCAACGATCGCAGCCGTACGCGCTAACCTGCCGGGGCCATCGAGCTCCTCACTTTCTATGTAACTATCATAAACACCTTAATTACGTACATAATGTATAATGTGGACGTTGTTCTCTGCGGGAACGCAAGTTAACATTAGGTATAAATCGAGAAATTCCACAGAAGCTTGGGACCATATACCCTTTAAACAAAAATAGAATTTTTTGTATTGGCCCGGCCGTTTCCGAGCTATCTTCTCACATAAGGCATTTATCCCATTGCGAATATTGCTTAAGACCCGCAAACTTACTCTCAACTCTCAAGGCACTTTTCTGACTCAGCTCTTTAAAGTAAGCACGATTCGGGCGTGCATCTTAAATCTAAGTTCTCTTCTGAGACTACAGCCGTTCCTAAGATCCTCAGACTTATTTTAAAAAATTAAATCTGACCGAATGATACACGGCATAAAAGGATTTCAGTAGTTTTACCCGCCACAACAGCCTCCTAATCTTGCTAGATTGCAATAACTTTTCTCTCCATTTATTAAAGGTCGTAAAACTTGCGCGGTCAAAGCATTCTATTTGCGGGGTATAGAACCTTAAAATAATGAGTAACCCAAATGTCTTACACATTCGGGTGACTAATTTCATTGACGTATTTTAGAATTAGAATAGTTCATGTAAACGGGGGGCGATTCAAACTCACGAGTCATCAAATTAATATTGTACGAGTCATTTACTATTAAATTCATTTCTCTACTCTCTAGTCTAGTTAGGCTATAACCCTAGTATCTTAAGATAGGAACACTTATATGAGTTGTGTGTACTCCATTTTTCGTAGAAGTAAGCGTAGGGTAAAATTACCCTGCGCAGCTGTTTAAGGAGACCTAAATATATAAATATTTCCAACACTCACACTAATATGCCTAGCCTTTTGGGGTTAGGCATATTGGTGTGAGTGTTGGAAGCATTGTAAGCATTGTAGGCTTTTGTTATGGGATACTAGGGTAACGGTTAGAATACATATACTGATACAACTATAAGTATATTTATACTGAAATACATATTAAACAACCATGAATGGAGTACAAATGCTCGTATTCAATACAGAAATATCTGCCCATACCGGGATTCGAACCTCTCGAGTAGGCAACACCTTGGAAACCGGCGTACAAACCACTCGGCCACGGAGACTGTCAAAGACCTGGGGCAGATTAAAGGAGTAAATAGCAAAGTTTTATCCCCAATAGTTTGGGAGTTACGTTCTCTCGAAAGATTTCTAAAACATCGTTTAAATATGGCGAACACAACTTAAAAAGGCGCTATTTTCACTCGTTTTTTTCCGCCGCTAAAAATATGCACTCGTGAAAAAATACCGACGATTCGAAAGAGTTGCCCTATGCATTCTTATTTGAATTTTGTTAATTGTATATATTTTTTTTACTTTTAACTGCTACATTTATACATTGAAAAAGAAAATACTAGAAATAAAATTGCACGCCCAATGCCGCCCAGATAGCGGAAGGTCCACGTTTGAATCCTGTCTGATATCTGAACCGTGTTTTTCTTGTAAAATTTCCTTTAAATTCATGAAGATATTTTGACATTGACTATTGAAGCTTCTAAACCTGTGTTTTGGCCACTCTACCCCACTTCTTTCCACTTTTTTTTTCTTGGAGCTCGATGGTAAGGTGGGAATGGTAAGCGCGTTCGGGTTAAGCATTAAGCCGTTGGTCCCGGCTGCGTCTGCAGTCGTTAGCACCCACCATTCCGCACTGGGGCCGTGTGGTGGATCATGTCATGACCCAATTCATAGTGAAAGCCTGTATCCCAGCAGTGGGGACATTAATAGGCTGATGATATAAATTAAGCTGCTTGATTTTTGTATTCAGAAACTTACAAATAGGTGTTGATTCTGCCTTGATTCTCTAAATCTAAAATTTAATTTACCACTCGGCTACGGAAGTTGTTTAAATAAAGGTCATTATTATAGAATTATCTTTCCACAGCTACCTTCCGATGACCCAGAGCACACCGAAGACAAGGCGAAGACTCCGGTGGAGGAGCCCGAGGTGCCAGAAGTGGTGGAACCGGGTTTGGTGCACGAACTGGCCAATAAAGGGGACGATGATGCTTTAGCTGCTCTGTTGAAGGTATTTAATGTTGAGTTCAGCTTGAAAAAGAGTGTTTGGAGTCCAAACTTTGGAGCAGAGATCTTCACCTTAAACATTACAAATTCTTGATTTGATACAATAACTTACTATACTGTATTGCGATTAGGGATTTCTTTTAAGTAAATATATACTTGTATTAGAAATTCCCGCTCTCCGTGCTGAAAGACGGGATGGGTGACCAAAAATCTTCCGTCTCGAGTTTCTCCGTGCTTCGGAAGGCATGTTAAGCCGTCGGTCTCGTCGTTCATTAGCACCCGCCAATCTGCACTGGGCCCGAGTGGTGGGTCATTGACCAATCTCCCTATTCCATCGCAGTGGGGACATTAATAGGCTGATTGTGATGATGATGATGAACACTCAAGATTGTTGGTGCAAATGGCTCTAAATCGACAAAATCTTTGTTTTAGCGTCATCCGTCTCTAGTAGAAGCTACTGATGCCACTGGTGGAACCGCCCTACATTCTGCCGCTCGAGGAGGGCGGGCTTCTACTGCCCTGTGTTTACTGAAGGCGGGCGCCGAACCTTCTAGACCTGATGCCGATGGATGGACGCCTTTAAGGGCGGCTGCTTGGGCAGGACATGCTGAGGTAACTTATTACTACTACAATAGTAAACTTCCTAAGGAATTCTTCCAGACTCATTGACAGCTCTTAATGGAAAACTTTCTATATACTACTATAATTGCTATTTCTTCTTTGAAATGATTAATACTTGTAAAGGTATTCATTTGACATTGTGGGTAACCTACTGGCACCGCCTTGTAGCTTAAAAAGGCTAGAAAGAATTCAACACCGCCGTCAGGGCCGCGGTAGCATAATTGGTCAGTGCATTCTCCCGGATAGCGAAGGGTGCGGCTTCGAGTCCGTCTGCTGCCAGATCCGCGTGAATTTTTTCTGGTAAAAATTTCTTTAGATTTAACTACATGCTTAAAAAAATAATATTAAAACATTCTATATCTTCAAAAAAGGTGGTGAGAAACAATATTGGACAATTCAAAAGAATTTAATTTGCTCAATTTCATTAAACAACTCCCAAAAAATAAGGATAATCTGTTTTCGTAACTTAACAACATTTATTATTACAATATAAATGATCAACATATTTGGTTAATAAATCAAATCAAAAATAATTGATTCAGTCTAGGCTGTTACAAGCAATTGTGAAGGTCAAGAAGCTATAGAAAGCTCCGATAGCTACAAGCATAGATATGTTATTACAAGCATAGGAATGATAAATACCTTTGACAACACTGTTTGTATTCATACTGTATGACGCAGCAATCAAAATGTCAGTGGACGTTGTATTGGTAGCGACATGATTTTGTTTTTAAATGTTGCTACTTTTGTTAAATGCTGATGAGTTTCTTGATCCCATTCTTCTCATCAGCTAAAAGATGTACTGAACCACCCAGGTACGGGAAAATATTGGACGATTCAGAAGAGCTTATGCAATAAGTCAATCAAAAAAAGTATAATTTCATTTCAAATAAGAGCTCTGAATCCAGAGCAAAGAAGCTCTGTTTAAATTTAGTATAAAATAATCGCCGTGAATGGTTTGAAATTTATTATTCTACTAGCTGACCCAGCGAACTTCGTACCTCCATAAAAATAAGGGCAGATGGTAGAAGAGTAAATTTAGGGTTGTATGATTTTTTTAATACCATACTATAAAAAAAAAAATATTGCTCAAAGAAAATTTTAGGGGTGTGTAACGTAGTGTTCTATCATTTTCCTGTGATAACCTTCCTCCTAACCCATATGAGTACACTACGTTACAATACCCAATAGTTAGAATTTTGGCGCCAAGGCGCATTGTAGGTTTCAGAACACTACGTTACAGGTGGACAACCATTATCACTTAAGGATGAAAAATAGATAGTAGCCGATTGTCAGACCCACGGAATATGCATATAAATTTTAAAAGTAACTAACATTGTGACACGAGAATTTTATATATAAGACTAGCTGACCCAGCGAAATTCGTACCGTCATAAAAAAATAAGGGTTGGTGGTAGAAGGGTGAAAATTTAGGGTTGTATGTATTTTTGTTTAATGTGTCATAAAAAAAAAAAATATCTAAAATTGAAAAAAAAAATTTAGGGTTGGATTACCCTAAACATTTAGGGGGATGAAAAATAGATGTTGTCCGATTCTCAGACCTACCCAATATGCACACAAAATTTCATGAGAATCGGTCGAGCCGTTTCGGAGGAGTTTAACCACAAACACCGCGACACGAGAATTTTATATATTTAAAACATGAAAAGTATGATTTTTTTTTGAGTGTATATGCTGTTGGTCGCAGATGACCTTTACAGCGTCACCGGATTTGGGGACGGCGAGATCCTAAGAGGACCTCAAGCCGAGAATTGGCGAGTGCCTCTGGAGGTATTCCAGGCGGATGGCATCTCCCCACGGGGGTAGTCTCCTCTCCGCCTGGAGCCTCTAGATCACTCGAACCTGAGGGGGTCAGCTCAACTAGAGGGCGTCGGCTCAACTAGAGGGCGTCCCTGAGACTCGGACCTCGGTTATAGTCAGTCGTTGTCGTAAAAGACGGGAAAGTATAGTTGGATTGTTGCCAGTGTTTTTTTTTTGTTACAGGTGGTGGAAGTGTTGCTAGAATATGGCTGCGATGTCGACTGCGTAGACGCGGATAACAGGACAGCATTGAGGTAATTTGTATAAATATAACGCAGGAAGATTGTAGATTTCGCCGTGTTACGATCTGGCTAGCTGTATTAAAAAAACGGAGCTGCTTTTTGGCGGATCGACGATAATCCGGATTGCATTACGGCTAAACATTAAAATTCGGTGCATTGTATAAATTATTTTTTTATACTTAGTGTTATAAGGTTGAACAGTCTGTAGCATAAATCATATAGCTGTGGTTGAGCAATAATTTAAAAAAAATACACGAAGTGATGGTTAATGAATCGGATTAATTTCAATGTTACATTGAACAAAAAGTATTACCTAATCAGTTTTCAATCAGTAATTGGCTGATGATGATGATGACGTTTATCCAATTTTATTTATTTATTTATTTATTTGATCACCAACAAATTTCTTATTTACACATTTATAGTACGCCACTTTATTAGTGGAACTTTAATTATAGGCGATTACGACATGCAATTTACACATAACTAGCAATTAAATCTTATAAAATTTTTATAATTACATTAATTTCAATACAAAACAATTATGAATAAAAATAAAATTTAAAATAGTCAATAATTGAACAACATCAATTTAATAAATTTATGAAAAATAAATTAATGAAAATAAATCAATGAAAAATAAATAAATGAAAAATAAATTAATGAAAAATCTACGTGGGCACAACCAAACAAAGATTTTATTCTCTTCAGTGTATCCGCGAAGATGTCCATATCGGTCGACTTTGACAGTGAATTTTACTGAGAGAGCATTCTATTTATAGGAGAAAATAATTAACTGATATATATAATTTAATGATATAATATCATATCCAGGGCGGCAGCCTGGTCCGGCCACGAATCAGTGGTTGCCAAACTTCTCACAGCCGGCGCCGATCCCGACAAAGCCGACGCCGAAGGAAGAACCCCTTTGATAGCGGCCGCTTACATGGGCCACGCGGATATAGTCAGAGCTTTGTTGGACGCTGGGGCTGATCTTGATCATGCTGACGAGGATGGTGAGTGTCCATTAAAACTTTTAATAATATGATTTAAAAAGAAACAAAAAAGGCAAAGTGTGGCGTGTATGTGATCGTCCTAAGGGAACTTTAAGATAAAGACCTTTGAATAACGCTCATAGCCGGGACTCGTTAGTTAGAGACCGTTGAACAACGCTCATAGCCGGGACTCGTTGGTTAGAGACCGTTGAACAACGCTCATAGCCGGGACTCGTTAGTTAGAGACCGTTGAACAACGCTCATAGCCGGGACTCGTTAGTTAGAGACCGTTGAACAACGCTCATAGCCGGGACTCGTTAGTTAGAGACCGTTGAACAACGCTCATAGCCGGGACTCGTTAGTTAGAGACCGTTGAACAACGCTCATAGCCGGGACTCGTTAGTTAGAGACCGTTGAACAACGCTCATAGCCGGGACTCGTTACTGTGACGCCAAGCGCGGTGCTGTAATTTTCCCGCGTTCGTGTGGTACCGTTACATTTTCCAAGTAATCAAGTTTAAACATGAACGAACAATTATCGTTTTACTGTATCACACTTCACCCCGGACGGTTACAAAAGGATTTTTATACTATACAGCCAAAAAGAAAAGGATACCGGGTACATACAGCCTAAGTGTAAGCTAGTGATGGCATTTTTTTTTATTTGTTAAAATACAATACCCAATGCCAAATTCGGCAGTAAGAGTCGATACGGGTCAATATAGTTTTCTGAGTCAAGAATACAGAACTTTATAGTGGCGGCTTACATAGGTCATGCGGATATAGTGATAGCTTTATTGAATGCTGGGGACGAAGGTGAAGAGGATGGTGAGTTATGAATAAAAAAATAATTTTAATTATTATATATACGTTTTTGGTAAAATAAGAAGAAAAAAAGGCGAAGGTTTCTAGGATCATACAGTATGTCTGCGGTTATCTTTACTTATTTTTTTTGTCTATCAGGTCGTACAGCGTTATCAGTGGCATCTCTCTGTGCTACCGGCGAAGCTTGTGCTGCAATTCTTTTAGAAAGAGGCGCTTCTGTCAGTAAAGCGGACAGAGATAAGGCGACACCGCTGTTAGTTGCAGCTTTTGAGGGGCATACGTGAGTAAAAAAACATTGTGTTTTTAAAGGAAAATATTAAAAGGCTACCAAAATAAATTAGTAATTAATTACCTAAACTTGGCCTTGATAACTACGCACTCGCGCTTTAATGTCGTTGACATACGTGAAAATCACATTTGTTTGTTGTTATATTTATTTACGTCGCAATCGCTGTGGAAATAGAAAATTAAATATTTGAATTTCCTTGTATGTTTTCGTACTTTTACTATAGCATACAATAATTTCTTGCTCGATAAGAAATTTTTACTAACAAATATTGATGGAGGAACAAATAAAAAACGGGTTTATATATAAAAAAAAGCATGGGACTTATTTTTAATTACATGCATAATTTCCAATATGGCAACCCAAAGGGTAGACCGGAGGGCCAACGGTTTAACGGGATTGCTATGGCTACCGCTATCAATATCGCTTACGATTTCATTTTGTTATTTCTGACCTCCGAACGTTTCCAAATGCCTCGCGCTTGTTTTTTTTTTATTCGCATTGGTATTAAAAATATTAAAGAACATGAGCGTGTGGTATTTGAAACACGTCGGTGATCAGAAATAACCAAATGAAATCGTAAGCGATTGCCATGGGCAACAGGGGCCATTCGCCTAACGGAAACGCATTGTAAAACGCTAACGCTTACGATTTCATTTTGTTATTTCTAGCCGCCTTAGATTTTCAAATGCCTCGCGCCCTTGTTTTTCTTTTGCATTGGTAATAACAATATTAAAAAAAAAATGAGCGGTCAGAAATAACAAAATAAAATCGAAAGCGTTAGCGTTTTCCTTAGCATTTCCGTTAAGCGAATGGCCCCCTGAACCCCACTTCAATATTTTTGAGGATCGAGCACAATTCATTTTGATGATTAATCTTATCTTTAGTGAGATCTGCGAGCTCCTGTTGGAAGCGGAGGCCGACATAGAGGCCGCGGACGCTGCGGGCCGCACCGCACTGTGGGCCGCGGCCGCCGCGGGCCACGCGCATACCACGCGCCTGCTGCTCTACTGGGGGGCATGCGTCGACAACATGGACAACGAGGGCCGCACCGTGCTCAGCACTGCGGCCGCGCAAGGTGACATTATTGTATACTATACGGTGATACCACCCGCCTGCTGCTCTACTGGGGGGCATGCGTCGACAACATGGACAACGAGGGCCGCACCGTGCTCAGCCAACTTTTTAGTCATTCTTAGTGGACAGTATTGCAGCAACACAAGATGAGATTACAATATTAAGACACAGAAAATAACATTCATTTAAAAACTGATAAATAATTTACACAAACACTGATATTCGCGACACATTGTCGCATCAGCTAATGCTGCGGCACGGTCCTGGTTAGCCCTGAGATTTTTTTTAATTCGTATCTGTAAATGTGTAAATGCGGGTTAATCTCTTATCTATTAGACAAGTCCGTCCGTCCGTCTGTGGTGCTGTTTCAGCGGCCAAACCGTAAGAGATAGATAAAGAGAATATTTAAGTTATAAGTTAAGAATAGTCTGTTAAGACTACAAACCGAATTTGAGTAACGTAGCACTTCCAGTTTTCGAGAAATCACGAATTTCAATCGAAACCACACAAAATCTCCGAAGTTCTCAATTAATTAAATTCATTTTTTTTTAAAATCAGGTTTTGGTGAACATTTGGTTCACTGGTTTGCTAGTAATATATATATTATTCTATTTTGTCATCAGGTAACGTGGAAGTAGTGCGTCAGTTATTAGACCGCGGCTTGGACGAACTGCATCGTGACAACTCGGGATGGACGCCTCTTCATTATGCCGCTTTTGAAGGTTAGCTGTTTTTTTATATATAGTTGTTTAAGAATTTTAACTGCTGGTTTTATCTATAGATTTTTAACATTGAAAAGGATTTTTCGTTCGCTCCAGTAGGCCCCTATTTTAAAAAAAAGTTTGGATTTGATTTTTTTTTAATAATACTTTAATAGGTTGATACATTTTGATGCTCTTTCAAGTCGTGTAGAGTACGAGCTCTGAGAGTTTTTTTACCAGAAATAATTCAGCTTAGCCACTAAAGCTGGGCTCGAACCAGCATTTCACGCTTTCACGTCTAACCGACTGAATTGATTAAACTTAATTTTAGTATAAAGATATACGGGAGTGTACGGGTGGTTATAGATTTTTATTGCGAAAACAAAACTTGAAACCCCCTCCAAGTTCTCTTAAGTTATATGGATGGATGAATGTTTTAACAAGAAACCAATAATGCAGACAAAGTCGCGAGCATCTGCTAGTGGGTCATAAATTTATATTTTGCTAAGAAACTGGTATGTTTTCTTACCACCTACTCAAAGGTGACTGACTGACTGTCATTGTGATCTATCAACGCACAGCCCAAACCACTGGACGGATCGGGCTGAAATTTGGCATGCAGGTAGATGTTATGACGTAGGCATCCGCTAAGAAAGGATTTTGATCAATTCTACCCCGAAGGGGATAAAATAGGGAATAAAAGTTTATATGAAACTTTGTCAATTTTAAACCGATCGGGCTGAGACTTTGCATGCAGGTATAAGAAGAATCATAGATTTCATTGTGTATTATACAAGCCTGAGAACAAAAACTGTAGTCTACACTTTAGCTCTACACCGAAGCGAAGCGAGGGCGGGCCGCTAGATATAGTATAAGATTTTAGTAATTTTCAATGGAACCTTTAACTTATTATTTAGTCATATATAGAGAGATTTCGAGGTTCTTCTTCTCTCTCTTTGTAAATATTTTGACTGCCGTAAATTCTGCGAATATTACGGATTACAAAGTTACTTGGTTAAAGAGTCCCGTCTGCTGCCTGGGCCGCGTGGAATTTTTCCTCGTAAAATTTCCTTATTAACATATTATGTTATTTCATCTCCATCTCATCAACTTCATCTCCAGGCCACATAGAAGTGTGCGAAGCTCTTCTCGAAGCCGGTGCTAAAGTAGACGAATCTGATAACGACGGCAAGGGTGCATTGATGCTGGCCGCCCAGGAAGGGCACACTGGGTTAGCGCAGATTCTACTGGACAGGTGGGCGGCCCCTGTCGACCAACATGCGCACGACGGGAAAACAGCACTAAGGTATAGTGAATTAAGATCTATTTTACTTTGATGACATTGAACGATTCTAGAATTTTATTGACTAATGCTTATGTAGGTAGAAGGAGATGCGACTGTGCATATTATATCTATATAAACACAAGGACGACGGGAAAACACACTAAAATAGATAGATAAGATTTGGATCCGTTTTATATTCATGTCATTTTTAATGTGAAACTTTTATTTGGTGTGCGTTTTTCATCCTTTCCTAAGCGACTGTGGCATGATTGCTATTATATAGATTGATAGCGGCATCTTTGCTAGAAAGAGAAAAGGAATGGTTCGGCTTATACCTTTAGGGCGTGCGCATAGAGAATGTACTGAGCAATAACAGCTAGAAATAGACGATGCTCTAGATACTAAAGTCATATGTCTAGAGTCTAGAGTCAGATGGGGCTAGAGTGAGATAGGGCTAGAGGGAGATAGGGCTGGAGTGCGATGGGGCTAGAGTGAAATGGGCCTAAAGTGAGATATGGCTAGAGTGAGATGGGGCTAGAGTGAGATAGGGCTACAGTAGTCAACAGATAACGACGGCAAGGGTGCATTGATGTAGGCGTCCCAGGAAGAGCACACTGGATTAGCGCAGGTACTACTGGATAGATGGGCGGCGCCCGTCGACCAACACGCGAACGACGGGAAAACCGCACTAAAGTATAGCGAATTAAGGTCGATTTTACTTTGATGACATTGAATGATTCTAGAATGTTATTGACAAGTGCTTATTTAGGTTGAACGAGATGCGACTGTGCATACTATATAAACACACGGACGACGGGAAAACAGCATTAAGGTATAGTTGATTAAGATCGATTTTACTTTGATGACATTAACCTATTGTAGAATGTTATTGACAAGTGCTTATTTAGGTAGAAAGAGATGCGACTGTGTATACTATATAAACACACGGACGACGGGAAAACAGCATTAAGGTATATTGGATTAAGGTCGATTTTACTTTGATGACATTGAACGATTCTAGAATGTCATTGACAAGTGCTTATTTAGGTTGAAAGAGATGCGATTGTGCATACTATATAAACACACGGACGACGGGAAAACCGCACTAAGGTATAGTGGATTAAGGTCGATTTTACTTTGATGAAATTGAACGATTCTAGAATGTTATTGACAAGTGCTTATTTAGGTAGAAAGAGATGCGACTGTGTATACTATATAAACACACAGACGACGGGAAAACCGTACTAAGGTATAGTGGATTAAGGTCGATTTTACTTTGATGACATTGAACGATTCTAGAATGTTATTGACAAGTACTTATTTAGGTTGAAACAGATGTGACTGTTCATACTATATAAACACATGGACGACGGGAAAACCGTATTAAGGTATAGTGGATTAAGGTCGATTTTACTTTGATGACATTAAACGATTCTATAATGTTATTGACAAGTGCTTATTTAGGTAGAAAGAGATACGACTGTGCATAATATATCTATGTAAACACGCGGACGACGGGAAACAACGCTAAAGTAGATAGATAAGATTTGGATCCGTTTTATATTGATGTCATTTTTAATGTGAAACTTTTATTTGGTGTGCGTTTTTCATCCTTTCCTAAGCAACTGTAGCATGATTGCTATTATATAGATTAATAGCGGCGCTTTTGATAGAAAGAGAAAGAAAAGGAATGGTTCGGATTATACCTTTAGGGCGTGCGCATAGAGAATGTACTGAGCAATACTAGCTTGGAATAGACGATGCTCTAGATACTACTAAAGTCATATGGGACTAGAGACAGATGGGGCTAGAGTGAGATAGGGCTGGAGTGAGATGGGGCTAGAGTAAAATGGGGCTAAAGTGAGATAGGGCTAGAGTGAAGTGGGGCTAAAGAGAGATGGGGCTACGGTAAGATGGGGCTAGAGTGAAATGGAGCTAAAGTGAGATGGGGTTAGAGTGGGATTGAGAAAGATTCAGTTGGGACTAGAGTGAGCTGGAGTAAGGTATAGTAGATTAAAGTCCATCTCTCAGGCATCAGGTGGGCGGCGCCCGTCGACCAACACGCGCACGACGGGAAATCCGCACTAAGGTATACTGAATTAAGGTCGATTTTACTTTGGTGACATTGAATGATTCTAGAATGTTATTGACAAGTGCTAATTTAGGTAGAAAGAGATGCGACTGTGCATACTATATTTATATAAACACGTGGATGACGGTAAAACATCTGAAAGTAGATAGATAAGATTTGGATCCGTTTTATATTGATGACATTTTGAATGTGAAACTTTTATTTGGTGTGCATTTTTCATCCTCTCTTAAGCGACTGTAGCATGATTGCTATTATATAGATTGATAGCGGCGCTTTTGCTAAAAAGAGAAAGAAAAGGAATGGTTCGGCTGATACCTTTAGAGCGTGCGCATAGAGAATGTACTGAGCAATACTAGCTTGAAATAGACGATGCTCTAGATACTACTAAAGTCATATGGGACTAGAGACAGATGGGGCTAGAGTGAGATAGGGCTAGAGGGAGATAGGGCCGGAGTGCGATGGGGATAGAGTGAAATGGGGCTAAAGTGAGATAGGGCTAGAGTGAGATATGGCTAGAGTAAGATAGGGCTAGAGTGAGATAGGGCTACAGTAGTCAACAGATAACGACGGCAAGGGTGCATTGATGTAGGCGTCCCAGGAAGAGCACACTGGGTTAGCGCAGATACTACTGGATAGATGGGCGGCGCCCGTCGACCAACACGCGAACGACGGGAAAACCGCACTAAAGTATAACGAATTAAGGTCAATTTTACTTTGATGACATTGAACGATTCTAGAATGTTATTGACAAGTACTGATTTAGGTTGAAACAGATGTGACTGTTCATACTATATAAACACACAGACGACGGGAAAACCGTACTAAGGTATAGTGGATTAAGATCGATTTTACTTTGATGACATTGAACGATTCTAGAATGTTATTGACAAGTGCTTATTTAGGTAGAAAGAGATGCGACTGTTCATACTATATAAACACATGGACGACGGGAAAACCGCACTAAGCTAAAGTGGATTAAGGTCGATTTTACTTTGATGACATTGAACGATTCTAGAATTTTATTGACTAATGCTTATGTAGGTAGAAGGAGATGCGACTGTGCATATTATATCTATATAAACACAAGGACGACGCGACGGGAAAACACACTAAAATAGATAGATAAGATTTGGATCCGTTTTATATTGATGTCATTTTTAATGTGAAACTTTTATTTGGTGTGCGTTTTTCATCCTTTCCTAAGCGACTGCAGCATGATTGCTATTATATAGATTGATAGCGGCATCTTTGCTAGAAAGAGAAAAGGAATGGTTCGGCTTATACCTTTAGGGCGTGCGCATAGAGAATGTACTGAGCAATACTAGCTTGAAATAGACGATGCTCTAGATACTAAAGTCATATGGGACTAGAGTCAGATGGGGCTAGAGACTAGAGTCTGATGGGGCTAGAGGGAGATAGGGCTGGAGTGAGATTGGGCTAGAGTGAGATTGGGCTAGAGTGAGATTGGGCTAGAGTGAAGTGGGGCTAAAGTGAAATGGGGCTAAAGTGAGATGGGGCTAGAGTGAAATGGAGCTAAAGTCAGATGTGGTTAGAGTGAGATTGAGAAAGATTCAGTTGGGGCTAGAGTGAGATGGAGCTACAGTCAGGCGGAGCTGGAGTAAGGTATAGTTGATTAAAGTCCATCTCTCAGGCATCAGGTGGGATCAAAATTTAGTAAGATTACCCCTGTTCTAACCAAAGCACACATTTAAACGCGCCCGAGTGCTATATTCCAATAGTAATCTTAATCTAACTTAAAATCGTCCATTCGTCCACACGCCAATAAAAATATAACAATACATTTTTTTTTATTTTATTAAAGCTTCTAACTTTTATTAGAAAATAATCAACTAAAGGCTAGGAAAATTTCGACGCGGCCATCAAGGCCGTGGTAGCATAATTGGTCAGTGCATTCGTCCGGATTGCGAAGGGTGCGGGTTCGAGTCCCGTCCGCTGCCTTGTCCGCGTTGATTTTTTTCTAGTAAACAGTTCAATGCTTAAAAAAAATAAAAACATAACTATAATCAACTCAGTTTAAGTATCAAGATGAATTCGAACCAGGGACTCAAAAGCGAATTCTGAAAGCCCCGTAATCTTATCACACCGTCAAAGTTTCTTCCTTAGAACCCTTTTACGTTCACATATTGACCAATACTTATCATTGTTCATACAGACTGGCAGCGTTAGAAGGCCACTTCGATACAGTACGATGTCTATACGAACGCGGTGCTGACGTAGATGCTTTAGACGCAGATCGTAGGAGCACCCTGTATGTGCTGGCTTTGGACAACCGCCTTGCTATGGCGCGGTTTCTGCTGGCACATTGTGGTGCAGACGTGGCTGCTGCTGATAATGAGGTATTGTTTACCATAAATGACCTTACATTACTTGCTTAACTGTTAAGTTAATACAGGATGGTCCAATTAGTGACGTCAATAATTTTTTTTAGATTCCTCGCACCTGGGGGTATTCTAAAACATGTATGTTCCGCGATTTTTCTTAGTTTTTGAGTTATTTTTTTTTGTGTATTTTTAATGATTTCTGCCAGCGAGGTTTAAGAAATTCATATCTTTTTTCGAAGACTGCAAAATACCTACATTTTGCAGTCTTTTTTGTGGCATAATTTTCTTGAATGTCGTTTTTTAAAAAAAATAACTCAGCTTTCTGAAATTACTTAAAGTTAATCAAAAAACAAAGGCTTGAAAGTTTGAACTTTAATTTTTAGTAGTATTTACTCAAACATTCAACTTCTGTTTAAAAATACGAAAAGGAGTTTTCATAGCTTCTGGCTAAGTTTAAAAACTCCGCAAGCTTGTAAACTACCAAAAACCATAAAAAAAATAGAACTTTATAAGCCTACTAGCTGACCCAGCGAACTTCGAACCGCCCTAAAAAAATAGGGGTTGGTGGTAGAAAGGTGAAAATTTAGGGTTGTATGTATTCGATGTATCTTAAAAAAATAAAAAAAAATCTAAAATTGAAAAAAAAAGAAATGGGGGATGGATTACCCTTGACGTTTAGGGGGATGAAAAATAGATGTTGTCCGATTCTCAGACCTACCCAATATGCACACAAAATTTCATGAGAATCGGGAAAGCCGTTTCGGAGGAGTTTAACCACAAACACCGCGACACGAGAATTTTATATATTAGATTTTTGTTATAATTGGCCTTCGAAGGCGGATAGGCTAAAAATCATCGAAACACGATTAAAGCATTAAAAACTATTTTATCTACATTTTATCATTGGTATGGTAAATTAAACTTAAAAATGTAATTACAAATTAAATTAAATTGAAATTCCTGTAAAATAACTTTAACATGTGTAATTTTATAATAATTTCGGTTTCACCACTAAAATATTAAATGTGAGCAAAAATAAAAATCAAAATGGCGAGTTGGGAAATTACCTGTTTTTTGATAACAAATAAAAAGCAGAAATTACTGAAAAATGACTATTTCTATATATTTTATTCTATATAATTTAAAAACAACTTTTTAAGACGTTGTCAATTGTGTTTCTAGGTTGCAGGAAAGAGTTTTGAAAATTTACTGTAATAAATACTAATTTTTCAGTAATTTGTGCTTTTTATTTGCTATCAAAAACAGGTTATTACCCAACGATTGCACTCGAACACTTGCACTTTGATCGCCTTTGTTTTCGTCCCCAAATCGCTGTTGGAACTCAACTGTCCACTGCGCGGCGCCGACGAACGCGTTTATATACACCAATCGACGCATTGTAGAAAAGAAAAGTCCAGTTTAATTGAGAGTTAACTAGCACCCACGCGTGCGTAGTACCTACTTATACGTAGGTAACGCGTATGAGTTTTAAACAAGTCCAGATATCGTTGCACTTTAACCCTTACGCCGCACAGCATAAGGCTTATATTAGAATGAACCGCACCACTCGATCTTTATCACAATTATTCACGACGCAACCCGCGGTGTTCTGGCAAAATCTGTCTCCAGTATTTTCGCGGTTTTGGTTCGAGAGCGTTTGTGACAATATTATAAGTGACTGTAATACAATGGTTATATTAAAAGAACAACCTGTATATTCGATGTCGATACTATTTCATATTATGAAGACGAATATGATGAAGAGAGAGAGAAAAAAACAGCCCTTGCTGAGTTTCTTGCCGGTTCTTCTCAGTACAAGGTCTCCCGCCGTAGATTTGCGAACCGATAGCGTAGCTTCTTGACCTTCACAAGTGCTTGTAACAGCCTAGACTGAATATCTGATTTTTGATTTTGATTTGTATATAAAATAAGTATTTGTTATATATTTTTTTGAATAATCTCCAGGGTCGGACGCCACTGCACGTGTCAGCGTGGCAAGGTCATACGGACATGGTGAATCTGCTTATTAAAGTCGGTAAGTTTGTTAAAATAATGTGCTTTTTGTACTTAGTATAAGAACGAAATTTATACGATTTCTTGACAAGTTAAATAGGTTCACTTTATTTATAATAACGTTAGAAAGTGATAAGCCTGGAAATAGAAAAATACGAAAAATATAATATAATTTACAATCCTTTATAAGTACGCTTTAAAGCTTTTAAAATGTTATGTTTGAATTATTCACTATCTTCATCCTTAATTTTTCAAAAGATAAAATGATTTATTGTCGTGACGAAGTAGTGTCAGTTTTTTTATAAAAAGGTTAGAATAAGTAAAAATAACACTTACACCTCAGTTTAATTTAATTAAATTTTAAACTAATCAAATTCTATGTCTATGTAACTTCAAAAAATTGACAAAGATAGAATTATGTTTATAATTTTTGTTTTAAGCATGTAACTGCTTGATGTTTAAATCCAATGAAAATATAACTAGAAAAAAAATCCACGCGGACCAGGCAGCAGACGGGACCCGAACCCGCACCCTTCGGGTCCCGTCTGCTGCCTGGTCCGCGTGGAATTTTTTCTAGTTATATTTTCTTTAGATTTGGACATCGAGCAGTTACATGCTTTAAAAAATAATAAAAAGTAAAAAAAATATGTTTCTTTTCATTTAAATTTATCTCATTATTATTATGCATTTGTTTGATTTGCAGGCGGCGCGTCAGTAGACGGGCGCGACCGCTGCGGTCGGACCGCCCTGCACGCGGCGGCGTGGCGCGGTCGGACCGCCGCGTTGCGAACGCTGCTGCAGCGCGGCGCCAACCCTTCTGCCGTCTGCACTCAGGGGGCCACGCCGTTAGGTTAGTATTGATACTGGATATTGTAATTTGAATGACAAATAATCTAGTCTTCATTATTTATTGCCAGCCTTGGCTCGAGAATGCTCAAAGTATGGTAAAGCAAATGACGATGTAAAGATAGTATCTTACCTGTCGTTTCAATTATTAGTATATATATTACTAGCAGCCCGCCCTCGCTTCGCTCCGGTGTAGAGCTGAAGTGTAGAGTACAGTTTTTGTTCTCAGGCTTGTATTATACACAATGACATTCATTTATGATTCTTCTTATACCTGCATGCTAAGTCTCAGTCCGATCGGTTTAAAATTGACAAAGTTTCATACAAACTTTCACTCCCTATTTTATGCCCTTGGGGGTAGAATTGATCAAAATCCTTAGCGCATGCCTACGTCATAACATCTACCTGCATGCCAATTTCAGCCCGATCCGTCCCGTTGTTTGGGCTGTGCGTTGATAGATCACTATGTCAGTCAGTCAGTCACCTTTGAGTTTTATATATATAGAAGATTATAGTTTGTGTTCAATTATTTAAAAAAACAGTCAAAATTCCTGTTTTTTTTTTTCATTTAAAATGCTATGCTATTTAAGAAAAAATATTCCTCTAGATTAACCCTTTCTATGGTTTTCATAAAATATGATATGTCTTTTCGTTTCAAATATCATGAGTTTCGTTCCCGGTTATAAGGATCGTAGGAACAAGAAAGATATCATGCCTTTTAAGCCTAGTCTCCACTCTCTCCCTCTCGCAACGTGATGACAATTCGGTAAGTACCACCCCTAAATATACAGGGCATCCCAGGGGTTTTGTCACACGGAGGGAAAGTTTATTAAATATTTAAGATAGGATATTTTACTGAATGAAGAAATCACTTTACTTTGATAATTAATGAGATAGAAAATCAAAATTCTAATACATTATGTTACAACAAAAACATATTTCTGATGTCGTAGTCATTAATTTGATCTAATTTATTGAACATTATTGAGAGATTCAGGCGTTTGAAGTTGTGCATATTACCGTTTTTTCTGCAAACTAGCTGCAGTAGAATTGACAGATATGATGAATGAGATTGCATGTTACAGAATCGACATATAAATAAATATAAATAATGAAAAGTATATATTTGCTATCACCACCAAAATATCTTTCCCTCAACATAATATTAAGGTGGCGGTGCATAAGGCATAGGGGAATGGAGCAGCGCACGCATCACTCATATATCTAATATATAAAATTCTCGTGTCGCGGTGTTTGTGGTTTAACTCCTCCGAAACGGCTTTCCCGATTCTCATGCAATTTTGTGTGCATATTGGGTAGGTCTGAGAATCGGACAACATCTATTTTTAATCCCTCTAAATGTTAAGGGTAACCCACCACTAATTTTTTTTTTTCAATTTTAGATATTTTTTTTTAATTTTTTATGTGATACATCATACAAAAATACATACAACCCTAAATTTTCACCTTTCTACCACCAACCCCTACTTTTTTAGGGCGGTATCTCTTATCTATTAGACAAGTCCGTCTGTCTGTGGTGCTGTTTCAGCGGCCAAACCGTAAGAGATAGATAAAGAGAATATTTAAGTTATAAGTTAAGAATAGTCTGATAAGACTACAAACCGGATTTGAGTAACGTAGCACTTCCGGTTTTCGAGAAATCAGGTTTTGGTGAACATTTAGTTCACTGGTTTGCTAGTGTACTATATATATATTGCTGCGTGTGACGCTCGTAGAGTTTCAGCCTTTGCCGAGTTACTCTTCAACTTTTATGCTCGTCAGAAAGAGTTGCGCACGAATCCCACGCACACATATACACACATTTATATAGTCGTGTGATGCTCGTGACACGTTTCCGTTTTATCTTTTCCATGAGATTTTTCCATTTACACTCCGTCCCAAAAATAGTTCCGCTTCAAAAACTTGTAGAAATCCATATAATTCTATCTTATATATAAAATTCTCGTGTCACAATGTTAATTACCATACTCCTCCGAAACGCCCTGACCGATTTTTATGAAATTTTATATGCATATTCCGTGGGTCTGAGAATCGGCTATTGTCTATTTTTCATATCCTTAGTGATAATGGTTGTCCACCTGTAACGTAGTGTTCTGAAACCTACAATGCGCCTTCGCGCCAAAATTCAAACTATTGGGTATTGTAACGTAGTGTTCTCATATGGGTTAGGAGGAAGGTTATCCCAGGAAATTGATAGAACACTACGTTACACACCCCTAAAATTTTTTTGGAAAATATTTATTTTTTTATAATGTGTGAAAAAATACATACAACCCTAAATTTTCTCTTCTATCACCTGCCCCTATCTTTATGGTGGTACGAAGTTTGCTGGGTCAGCTAGTAAGTTTATAAAAACGGTTTGTTTATTGTCATCAGGTATCGCAGCACAAGAAGGGCACGAGGAATGCGTCCTATGGTTGTTGCAACACGGTGCTGATCCGACGCAAGCGGACCATTGTGGTGAGTTATTGTTTGTTATTTGAAATGAAATGTCATTTATTCAGTCTAGGCTGTTACAAGCACTTGTGAAGGTCAAGAAGCTAGGCCATCGGTTCGCATATTGTTCGAGAGAGCGAGGAGCTCGATGGCGCAAGTGGTTAGTGCTTTCGGCTGCGATCGTTGAACTTAAGCAACTTTAGCAGTGGTCGGTCATTGGATGGGTGATCAAAAATTACTATCTCGAGCTCCTCCGTGCTTCGGAAGGCACGCTAAGCCGTTGGTCCCGGCTGCATCTGCAGTCGTTAGCACCCACCAATCCGTACTGGGCCCGCCTGGTGGGTCATGGCTCAATCTCCCTATACCATCTATAGGGAAGGCCTGTGCCCCAGCACGACTTAAAAGACGTTATCACGTCAAAACCTGTATTTCGGTGTCCAGCACCGTCATCTTCGGACACATATTACGATGTTATTCTGTTTCCCTCACAAAAACTGGTACGTAAAGACCTATGATAATTAATCATCGTCATCATTAGCCTATTAATGTCCCCACTGCCTGGGCACAGGCCTTCCCTAATAATAGAATAGGGAGATCGGGCCATGACCCACCACGCGGGCCCAGTGCGGATTGGCGGGTGCTAACGACTGCATATTCAGCCGGAACCAACGGCTTAACGTGCACTCCGAGAAGCACGGTGGAATTAGAATTTTGGTCACCCACCCAATGACCGACCACTGCGAAAGTTCCTTAACTTCAGCGATCGCAGCCGACCGCGCTAACCACTTGCGCCATCGAGCTGCTCCACTTTTCAAAATGATTGGTGACAATAATTAAATTGGTGAAATTAATGTGTTATATTAATTGTTAAAGGTCGTACCCCCGCCATGGTGGCATGGCGAGCTGGTCATGCCCATATCTGCCGCGTGCTGGAGAGGTGGGCCGCCGCCCCGGCCCCAGCCCCCTCGGCACCGCCTCCCCTCCAGCCCCTCCAGCCCCTCCAGCCCCTCCAGCCCCCCGCTGGTGAGATGAATCAATAAAAAATATATGTTGCTAACAATCACACCAATAGGGTATTTGACAGTATAAAAAATAAATTGTCAATTGTTAGCATCTGTATTTAGAATGAATATTAGCAGGAGTTTTTACTATTTTTATAGAAAAAATATTCATAATTTTACTAAAAACCCACGATAAAGATAAAAGTTTCCTTGTCTATTGTCACTTGACCCAAAACGCTTGGGATTGGTGGAGCCTAAAATGACGTCACACGCAAGTAAAGTAGACGTCGTGTGACGTCACATACCAGTGAGACGCCATATTGTCCAGAGATACGTTTTTCGCGGCAACTTGAAAATAGAGTTTTTGATTTGGTTTTTTTACCGAAATACACAACTTAATGATGAATATCTACTTTTTATGGACTCTATAAACATTAGTAAATAACGTGATATCGTATTTTTAAAATTTATCAAATACCCTATAAGCCTAACTCCAAAGTAAGCACTGTAAGGCTTGTGTTATCGGATACTAGGGCAACGGACAGAATACATATACATTTATAGGAATACATATTAAACATCCAGTACTGGAGTACAATTGCTTGTATTCGTTACACAAACATCTGCCTCCACCGGAATTCGAACCCGGGGCCTCTCGAGTATCCATAAAGATCATATTTATTTATTTAAACTTTATTGTCACAATTGCAAAAAATGTTTAAAGGGCGGACTGAAAGCATTCTCTGCCAGGCAACCTTTAGGGATACAGAGACACACGAATGCAGCTTTAGTAAAAAAAAGTAATTAAGCTTAATATAAACATACCATAATGAGAAGTACTTGTCAAAATGATTGGTTATAATAATTAAATGTACATGCACACAATACATATAAATACATATATAGGGTGTTTCTTTTACGAAATGTATCTACGCGTGTGTTGTGGGCTCTCGATTGAGCTTGATATTAAGGATATTTATGAGTGATAAGGTTAAAGGTCAGGACTTAAAAAATAACGAAAGAAAACTAACTTGAAAACTATGAAAAATCGTATAACATACATGGGGGTTAAATTGATAGGTGTGGTACTCCGCTATCAGCTCTCACTGGCTTGACACCCAAAAAGAAACACCCTGTATAACACACGGGTTCGAATCCCGTTTACTGCTTGATACGCGTGGTTTTTTTTAGTAAAGTTATCTTTAGATTTAAACATTGATTATATTCTAAAGCAGGTTCCCCAGAGTACAAAAGGCGGAGCGTTCACAGCTCCAACTCAACGAAATCTTCTTCAAACTTGACAGGAGGTTCTGGAAGATCGCACGACCAACAAGAAGACACCAAGGAGAAGGTGAGACTATCCAGAAATCTAAATATTGGTGTCTACAGTTCTCATATAGGCGAGTCTTACGGCCAGTTTTAATAATCAACCCCCCAGTAAATCGTAAGGATAATATATTATAGGAGTTATTCTCTCTTATCCCACCTTCCCCTTTCCTTCAGAGGACCACGCGCGCTGGTCTACGTTGTCACCGTCTAACTGTGGCCACAATTCCAACGCGTACAAAGAAATTTGGTGACTCATTTCTTTGTCGCACTATCCGTAAATGGAATGCTCTGCCCGCTCACGTGTTCCCTCCCTCTTACAACCTGGGATCCTTTAAAAGAGGCGTGAAGAATCAACATGCAGGCCGGCAGGGTGAGGATGGCTGGTGTGGCAGGTAGAACTGCTGTATCAGCTATCTTCGCGTCTGGACTTCACCCTCACTTAACATCAGGTGGGGTGGAGTCATTTGTCGGACTTATCTATAAAATATTGTTTTAAACTTTCATGGTCACTAACATTATAGTAATATAAGTTATTTACGGGACGTTTGGACGGGTTTAAATTGTCGAGTGTCTGGAATCCTGTGGTTCTTATGTGTGAAACCGGAAATAATCAAAAAAGTGTCGTGTCGCGATCCGATACTGTAAGTGTTGTGTATCGAGAACAGTTTCGAGTGAATAGTGAGAATGTGAATAGTGGTACGGGTATCGAACGCAATAAAAGACTTCGTCGGAGGGTAGATCGAACTGTCTGCCAATAACAGCCTACCCGCAATTACTTCAGTTACTCCGTGATCATGGCGCTTGCAACAGTGCCGAAATATCGGAAACTCGCTAAAAACAAGGTACATGGTAACAATCCCGTAAATAACTTATATTACTATAAAGTAAGGATAATGTTATGTGACGGGATGGGGTTCGAAATTATATACCAGTTAACGACAGTTCTCGTATCACCACATAGTTCACACAGTTCTTTCTTATACACACAATACTACACTCACTGTACACTACCAAGTCTTTAAACAATCGCACTTTGATCGCCTTTGTAGTCGATCCGCTGTTCTGTCTGTCGAATCGCTGTTGAAACTCAACTGACTACTGCGCAACGTCGAACGCGTTTATATCGATGCATTCCAGAAAAGTCCAGGAGGTCTACTCTCTTTCTCCGAAAAGAACTTTCGTTAATGAAGTTCAAACGAAATTTAATTTCATCAATTTGAGGTTATACTTAATTTGAACGATAGATTATCAAATTGAAGCTTTCTTTGTGGAGGCTTAGAAAATCTACACCTGAATCTATATTCCGACGAGGAATATGACTATAATTAAAAACGAATCAGAAACATAGTAAGAAAAGTCGAAGTTTTGATCGAAATGTCGTTTTCGTTGAATTAGAGTAGGCCTCCTGATAACGTAGGTAAAACGCATGAGTTTTTTATCGCGTCTAACGTCAAACTCCATTGTAATTTGACAATTGAGCGCGATAAAAACGCGTTATATCTCATAGCGCGGCGCTCATGATAGAGGGGTGGAACTACCCACAACTCAATTAACTTTGTCCATTATAATGAACCTACCTATAGTGCGATTCAAATAGGAATAGGAAAGCCAATGACCTCCATCTATCGAATGTGGCTAGAATAGTACGGTTTGCAAAAAAACCGTGGAACCCTTTTTTTAGCACGCGGCTACTTATAGAATAAAAATCAAACATTTGTAAACAAACAATAACAAATATTGATTGATATTTTTTTCCATATATTGAGCTTTGGCTATGAATGGTTGATAACCTAAATCGTCAACCAAATGTCATTTTAAGTTGCATTCAGAAACTGGATTTAAAACTTTCGTTTACATAAAGGATGCATGTTCATGTGACCTAGTAATACTGCATGATTTTTCATAACTACTCCGGCGGTAATGCAGAGATGGGCGGAATCGAAGAGCTAGATTCTGATTAATGTTTTTTCTCACACAGTCTTAATAAATAAATCTAAGTAAATAAATTTGATTTAAAAAATCTGATGTTTTTCTCACTTAATCTTAGTAAGTTTTATTAAATAAAAACTTTTTTTGCTCACTCTACCTATTTGGTTTGAATTGACAGCTATGACGTCACAGTATGGCGCCCAGTCGGTCCTATTCTTATTTGAATCGCATTATACAATACCAATACGCGAGGAACATTTTAAGATATAATATTGATATTGATTTGTCTATAGCAGCAGGCGAATCGAGCGAATCTCTCACTCACTTTCGCACAGCAAGTGGCTCGATGCGGCCGCGGCAGGAGGGAGAAGGAGAGAGAGTGCGTTATACCGGAAAACTACCCGTTAGAGAAAGACAGCAAGCTCAGGTGAGTTCGGTTTTATTGTTGTGATTTCATTGTTTCTGTCTCTATATCTCTCTGATCAGGGGGCCATTCGCCTAACGGAAATGCTTTGGAATACGCTAACGCTTACAATATCATTTTGTTATTTCCAGCCGCCTGAGGTTTTCAAATGCTTCGCGCTCTTTTTTTTTCTTTTGCATTGGTAATAACGATATTAAATAAAATGAGCTTGAGGTATTTGAAAACCTTCGGCTGTCAGAAATAACAAAATGAAATCGAAAGCGTTGGCGTTTTCCAAAGCATTTCCGTTAGGCGAATGGCCCCCAGACCCGTCTTTTCCAGTGGGGCACTTTAGCTCAGGCTTGTTACCAGGGCTCCGTGATCGATAGGTTCTTGTTAGATCACCAAACGGGGTAATGTACCCCATTATTGTACCTATGTTTATGAATAAATTAATTCTATTCCATTCTATTCTATTATCCTAATATGCCCAGGGCCTCCAATAGGTCAAAGACAGCACTGTCTCTGATCTCATATTTACCTGATAGACGAAGAAAAGGAATAGTGTGCACGGACCACACAACTGAAGAAAAACTCATTTTCTTAAATAACCTAAAATTAGGCGGGGCATTAGGCATAGTGTAATGGAGCAGCGCACGCATCACTCATATGACGACCTCCGTGGCCGAGTGGTTTAAACGCCGGGTTTTTATGGTGTCGCCAACTTAGAGGTCCCAGGTTCGAATCTCAGTGAGGCAGATGTTTGTGTGATAATACGAGCATTTGTACTCTAGTCATGGATGTTTAATATGTATTTCAAGCCCACTTCAGATCAAATACAAAGTCCCTAGCTCCTGTTAGATCACCAAACGGGGGTCATAGGGGCACCATTATTCTTATATGCCTAGGGCCTCCAATAGGTTCCCCGCAATACCTCGGGAGACTCCTGCCGTGGAGCCCCGGCTAGGCCGGGAGGCTGCTAGGTGCGGAGACGCGGAAGAATCCCTAAACGGGGATCCTGCGGTTTCGCACTAAGCAGCTTAGAGGGTACTCCCAGGGGTTTTTAGAGGATATGATGCCGTAAAGCGCCCGTAAGAGTTACGGGGTGTGGTGTGGGGGCTCGTAAGGTTTGCGGGAGTCAGGCGTGAGGTTCGTTCGGCGGTGTGCCTCTTAAAGGCACCGTCGTCTATAAACAGAGTTTTTGCCTGCGTCACAAAAAAAGAACCTCCAATAGGTCAAAGACGTCACTGAAAATAACACCCAAGTCTCTCATCTCGGTAACCATGTGCAGTATAGTATTTTGTGTTCTTATTCTTCTATCTTCTATCTTCTATCCGTTACCCTAGTATCCCATAACACAAGCCTAAAGTGCTTACTTTGGGGCTAGGCTAATTGGTGTGAGTGTTGGAAATATTTATTTCGTTTTCAGGAGTTATATTGGCGGTGAGAGAGATTGCAGCAGTCCATTGTACGCGTCTCCACCGCATAGTCCAACGGAACTGTGCAGTCCAACGCAACAAAACAATACTTTTGGTAATTATATATCATCATCATCATCAGCCTATTAATGTCCCCAATGATAAACTGCTGGGGCACAAAAGGAGGCCTCACACATACCAATAAATATTACGATGTTATTCTCAGTTTCGTTCTCAAAAACTGGTAGGTATGATAATTAATCATCATTACCAGCCTATTAATGTCCCTGCTAGGGAAGCACAGGCCTTCCCTATTGATGGAATAGGGCGATTGGGCCATGACCCACCACGCGGGCCCAGTGCGGGTTGGCGAGTGCTAACGACTGCAGATGCAGCCGGGACCAATGGCTTGACGTGCCTTCCGAAGCACGGAGGAACTCGAGATAAAAGATTTTTGGTCACCCATCCAATGACAGACCATAGTAGTCTATTTGACAGTATGAAAAAAAGTGCCATCTGTTGGCATCTGTTTTGAATACCAACATTAGCAGCGATTTTAGTCTGTTCTGAATTAACTGAATGAAATTTAAATAAATAAAAAAAAAGTGTCAATTGTATTTTTTATTTCCGATTTACACATTCAGGAAAGTCAATTGATTAATCTTTATTGATCTCTATAAGTACAATTTGTTGGATTAATGGACCCAATACGACGATATAATTTGGTTTTAATAACATTCATCTATTAAATTGAGCATATCTATTTTTAACTCTTATGGCCGACCTTTTTTGATAGATTTAGTTTTTATAGTTTTTTGAAATGTTTTTAAAGTATTAATATATTAATTATGATTTTTGAGATAATTTTTTTATTCTGTTTTCTCGTAGTGTTTGTTTGTCATCTGCTTTAATATTATTTTGCTTATTATTTTAAAATAGTGTAAATAAACCCATTGCGTCCAAAATCCTAGCCTTCAAATTGAATTAAAATAAAAGTCCAATCTATATATCTTCCATATATATATAACTCAAAGGTGACTGACTGACATAGTGATCTATCAACGCACAGCCCAAACCACTGGACGAATCGGGCTGAAATTTGGCATGCAGGTAGATGTTATGACGTAGGCATCCGCTAAGAAAGGATTTTGATCAATTCTACCCCCATGGGGATTAAATAGGGAATGAAAGTTTGTATGAAACTTTGTCAATTTTAAACCGATCGGACTGAGACTTTGCATGCAGGTATAAGAAGAATCATAGATGAATTTCATTGTGTATAATACAAGCCTGAGAACAAAAACTGTAGTCTAGCTCTACACCGAAGCGAAACGAGGGCGGGCCGCTAGTTTAAAGTATAAAATTATAACATAGTGGTTATATTTATATATTTCTCTCTCCAGGATCACAACCGCCCAGCCTGACTTCTATACAACCGATTCTCACCGACACACATTTCAACCGGGACACACATATGCGGATCATACTGGGCAGAGACAGTAAACCGGCCGACAGAAACGATAGGTGAGAAATCTAATCTATGGTATCAATTCTTATTTGGTATTTGTGCATTTGACAGCAATATATCTTTATCATGTTTTTTAACCGTCAGTTTCTATAATCCGCCTCCAGTAGAAGGTAAACTCATTCCGGTTTTGTTTCTTAGGTCCACTTGCATCTATTTTGCTATATCTCGATTTAATTAAGACAAGATTTGACCCATACAAAAAGTCGGAACGTCAGTGCCAATTTTATATGGGCTAAATCCGGTTTTGGTTAAATCGAGATTTATCGAAGTTGCTGCAAATCGACCTTAATCTCCTTGTATTGTCAATGTAACGTCCTGTCTAATATTTCAAACTTAGAATAATAATAATTTATACAGAAGGAGTGCTGAAATAGCTATTATAAATAACTATTTGTATTTATATTGTATGATACAGCAATCAAAATGCAGGTGAACAATTAATGTATAATTCCACATTATGTAATGGAAGGTTACTGCATGAATCATCTCTGAAGTCAGTTTTCAACTTGACGACTCTGTAAATGATAAAACAGGGAGAAAAAAGCAGCCCTTGCTGAGTTTCTTGCCGGTTCTTCTCAGTACAAGGTCTCCCGCCATAGATTTACGAACCGATGGCGTAGCTTCTATCTAGACATTCATATGTGCTTGTAACAGCCTAAACTGAATAAATAATTTTGATTATGATTATAGCAACAAAATACATTCGCTCTGATCTACTACCAGCGTAAAGTCCGTTATTGTATTAGAAAAATACATAGATATGCTATTTTTCTTTCGGCATTTCAGACAAGACAAACACGTTTTTATAGTAACAAATAGATTAAAAAAATATAAATATAAGTTCAAAGCTCAATAGCTGAATGTTTAAACTGTTTACAATTGAAACAAATAAAGTTTCGCTTTTGAAAATCTTTCAATGTCGAAATATAAGAAATGCAACCAAAAGTCAAGCAAAAAGTCGACACATAATATGATCTACGAGATCTACGAGTTAAACGCTTGTGAGTGAGACACACTCACAAGCGTTTGATGAATCTTGAATGAATCTAAACAGTTTTTATTTTAACATTCCTTCTATATAAATTATTACGATAAGACTTCACATGACTACTCGTATTTGCTATTTGTACAGTTGACACGAATCTATCCTTTTCATACAACGATATTAAATACTCTAGATACACCACGTGCGGTCAAAATGTGTCCCACTGTTGAAAAGTCAAGATGCTGTAGAGCTCTGTGAAAAAATGCGAAAAAATTACTTAGAGCTCGTAAAGTGTCGTTTTTTCGACAGGTCATTTAATCAATGTTACAATCAAACGAAATTGAAGCTAATTTTGTTCTGATTTAATAGAAAATATTTGTGATATACAAATGCATGATAGGTTATATAATCGGCTCTTTTCCTCGCGGGCTGTACCTGCTACAATGCTAACAGCGCATTCAGAATTGCGCGTAGAGCCAAAAAATAAGGTCTATATTCTTCCGCATATAGCAATAAGTTTTAAAATTTTACGAGCTTGCATTTCGATCATATTATGGAGCTGCGTGGATCGTCGAATGTATCTTTTGGACAGGTTTCGGCAACGATTTTGTTCGTCTTGGTGTATATAGAGTATTTTATATCGTTGTTATCATGCTTGAAAGGAATGAGAAGGAGAGACTACTGCCAGATTGACAAATAGAAAATATGAATGGCTATGAAAATGCCAGCATTTTCATAAAAAAACGCGTAATATATTTTCAAACTCCACTGGAAAAAAAAATCACGAACTCTAACCTCAAATTATTGAAGTTTGGCAACATTTTCAGATTGTAGAATTTGAAAGATATTTACATAACTTCACATGCCAATTTTGGAAGAGTTTATCAGAGTTATTATATATGTAGTATATATAATTATGTGTATATCTAGCGCGGTGTCCAAAGGTCGACTAGCATACAACAGACTCATGGGCACTATCGGCAGAACGAGTGGCAAGATATTTAAGAAAACGTGAGTGAGAGAGATGGCTATAGCTTTCGCGGTATCTGTACTGAGGAGAGAATTTTTTGGGTGTGATTTACATTTAATCATTTCTGTGGTCAACGATTGATTGAAGGTGATGGTGTAGTTATATGTTTTTGGGAATTAATAATATAATAATTATGATAAATGTGGAAATTTAATAGATAGTAAATAAGTTTGCGTAGGCTAATGTGTTCTTATTAGAAGCACGTTGTTTTAAATATTAAAAAAACCTAATATCATTTAATAAATATATGTATAACAAATTCTGAATCCAATGAGAAGGGGAAAATCGAATAAATGAAAACTAAGTGTGCGAGGGAGATAGCAACACTTCTTTCCTTGTCATAAATGGATTTATAATATTAATAATTTTTGTATCACTTTGTGTGCAAATTTGTTTCCATGGAAAAGAACTTTTTTTTTCGTTTATTTGTATACACCAAAAATTTACTATTTTTGGTGTTTACAAATTTTGAGTACCGAACGCAAACATTTTGAGTTCCTTAAAGTTCAAGTGTAAGAAATACTTATAGGTAAATACATCATGCAATCAAACAAAATACAATCTAAAAATCAGCTTAATCTAAAACCAAACACAAACAATATTTTTAGATACTGTTTTGTGACAAATACTTATATAAACTAGACTGAAGCTTGTCAGGTGAGTCCCAGAAAATATCAAGCTGAACATTTATTTTGTGTATTCATTTACCAGCTTGCATAGTCTTGAAATAGGGGGTAATATAATTTTAAAATATAATTTAATTATTAGGAAATTTTCTTAAGCTATAATTAACTAGTTATTCTAAAGCGACACCTGCACGACGTATTTTCGGATGGCTCTGGTACCGAAATACGATAAAATGAGCATACGAACTTTGAATTAAGTGCGCTCATACTCGTTTCTTAGGAAAAGTCAATAAATAAATAAATCAGTGCTCCTTCAGCGGCAACTACAAATTTAGCGTCTCCCACAAAAAATATTCACAATTCACGATGGATCGTAAAGGTCTTCGTCGTTTCGGTTTCGAAGGTAACTTGAAAAACAAAAAAGTATTTCTGAGTGCATTTCTATCAATATTATAATAAAATAATACTTTAATTTACCCAAAAAATAAAAATAAAGCATTTGATTATTATGCTCACAATAAAACAATTACAATCCTACCAGGACACTATAAACGAATAAATTCCAAATTCTCTTGCTGAGTTTCTGGCCGATTCTTCTCAGTACAAGGTCTCCCGCCGTAGATTTACGATCCGATGGCGTAGCTTCTGACATTCATGAGTGCTTGTAACAGCTTAAACTTAATAAATAATTTTGATTATGATTACGAAATCATGATCTAGGATATCTATCTCTTTCTGTTCACTCAGTAATCCTCAGTACAGCATTCCGTGGAGCAACGCTAAGTTTGGCTGGTGATTGCGGGTTTACACTGTAACTAGGTCATTAATGCAGTCTTTAAACTGTTATCGAAATTTCATATCAGTCACATAAAGGTTAAAGCACACATAGTGAATCGATGCAGTGCCCGATAATGTAAAACAAGACTTAACCCTCGGAACAAGAACTAAATATTAGTAATTTAATAAACATAGTCATGCTACGGCGTACATTTCAATAGACAATATATTAACCAAAAGATTTCCAAACGCAGCATTAACCAACCAAAAAGAGTTGGTAGCTTAATGGCAGGTTGCATTTGACGTTAGATGGAGAGTAGTGTTTGATTTTAATATGGCGGGCCCAGGTTAAGTTGACTATGGTTCTGTTCCGAGCTAATAGGGATGATGACTATTTTTATTATCAGGTAGTTTATCAAAAAGTATTGGACGCGTATTTTTTCTTTTTTCACATAATATAAACATCGCAGAGAAATATTGATTTGAAAAGTCGCATAACTTCACGTTTTAGTACACTTTTAAGTGAAAATTCACTAAAAGTGACGTCACGAGCCCCTACTCCGAAACTTTGACGCGCTATAACTTTGCCATTTTTTGGTTGATTGCCCAAAGAAAAAAATACGTGTCCAATATTTTTTGATCATCTAACTGACGGACTAAATAGAATTTCGTTGACTGTACTCCGTCATGACCCCTATTGTGTGCGTTAACCTTATTAAAGCATGACATCATAATTCCATAATTTGAAATGATCACTGCAAAATACGTGAAATTATAGATTATAATCTATAATTTCACATGGGACTAGGGAAATGTTTCTTTTCTAATGGTGAAAGGTGTCGGATTATATATTCACCATAATATAGAGTGGTGGTGACACTTAAGAATATTTTACGACCTATTGATCATCTTCATCAGCCTATTGACGTCCCCACTGCTGGGGCGCAGGTTTTTCATACAAATAAATAAATATTTCCAACACTTACACCAATTAGCCTAGCCCCAAAGTAAGCACTGTAAGGTTTGTGTTATGGGAAGCTAGGGTAACGGATTGAATACATATACAGTACATATATAAGTATATTTATATAGAAATACATATGAAACATCCATAATTGGAGTACAAATGCTCGTATTCATCACACAAACCCACCGGGACTCGAACCCGGGACCTCTCGAGTCGGCGACACCATGAAACCCGGCATACAAACCACGCGACCACGGAGGTCGTATATGGGCGGAAAAGTCGGAACGGCCCATGCCCCACTAAAGCGGGGTATATGGTAGATGCTAATGACTGTAGATTCAATCGAGGCCAAAGGCTCAGGCCCAGATTTAGGGCGTGGCTGTGGCCCAGGGGCACAAGAGAGGGGCCCTAACGACAGCGTTAAAAGGGTACCACACCCGCGACGTCAAAAAATTTTGTGTGCCAGGACCAGACATTAGAGGTGAAACTTCTTTTCTTAAATAGCCTAACATTAGGCGGTGCATAAGGCATAGGGGAATGAGGCAGCGCACTCATCAGTCATGTGTATATATATATATATATATATATGTATATTGTCGTGTGTGACGGACGTAGCGTTTCAGCCTTCGCCGAGTTACCCTCCAACTTTCATGCTCGTCGGAAAGAGCTGCGCACGCATACCACATACACACTCATACACACACACACATATATATATATATATATATATGCAGGGTGTTACAAAAATACAAATAAAGCTTGAAGGGCGTTGAAGTACATCATTTAAGGAGTCTTCTCTAATTTTCTTAAAATATTTGCATGAAGTTTTAACTTTTTTAAAACAGTTATTTTTAATGATCCTCGAACTAGTGATGTGTCTTAAAATGATCGACATTTTTATTAATCATTAAAAATATCTGTAAAAAGTTAAAACTTCATGCAAATATTTTAAGAAAATTAAAGAAGACTCCTTATATGATGTACTTCAACGCCCTTCAAGCTTTATTTGTATTTTTGTAACACCCTGTGTGTGTATATATATATAGTCGTGTGACGCTCGTGATGCATTTCCGTTTCATCGTTTCCATAGGATTTTTCCATTTACAGCCAAAAAAAAAGTTTCACTTCAAAAGTAAAAAAGTATATTGTTACTAGGATAACGTCATTGAAAATTATAGTCCAAAGCACGAATTTTGACAGCCCGTAAATTCCGTAATCGTATCGTCACTATCAAATTTTGTATGGAAACAGCCAGGTTGTTCTTACGTCCGGTAGAGGCGTTGCTTGTTGTTCAAAGAAAATTTGACGATGCGATTACGGAGCTGTAAAAATTCGAGCTTGGGCCTCTGTTTTATTTAGCAAATGTATTCAGTAATGTAGTGATTTGTAACATCAATTTATTAGTAATTTTTGGCTTGTTCGGTGATATTGAAAGGGTGGCTTTTGATTATGTTTTTTTTGTCTGACTCTTTTTTTGTGCTAAAAGCACTGCAGGTAATTTGGTATTCTCGCGGGGAATTACGAAAATTGTGTGCCTTTTTTAAATATGAAATAAGTATCTCCTTTTTATATTTTTTGTCGTGTCATTTTCATGTGAAATGTCATTATAATCGTTACGCCATTAACTTGGTTACAGTTTGACCCGTTTAATACGTCAACTGCATAAATTACAATTTTAAACTTCCGTAAAGATCCCGGTTGTATAATCAGTACCATTAGGACGAACCAATATTCGTATCGTTTGCGAGTACGGAATGTCATTGTCAAATGTGTACTGTTTTTAGCGCTACTGTGCAAGTTTCAATACAAAATATGACAATGACATTCGGACTCGCAAACCATTCGAATTCGATAATGGTTCATGCTAAGGGTACAGAAGTGAATTAGACTAAATAGCGAAGGCTACAAGGTTCAAAAACGGATGGCCATAAGTCATGATACAAAAAAAAATACAAATTTCTCAACTGACTTTAAGCTTTATTACGCTTGGTATACGATTATTGACAAAATTTAAGTTTTTCGTAACTTAAGTGTGGTGATTTGTGCCTAGAAGTAAGTTGATTTTTATTGGGTATTTCTTTATTTATTTATTTATTTTGTACACACACAATAAAATATTACATAAAAGAGAAACTTAATTTAAATATCCGTCAGTTGATAGATAATATAATATTTTAAATAAAGAGTTATAACTTAAAATTTCAATCGCGTTTGTAGTTAAGAAATGGATAGCTTCTAGTGTTTTCTTGCCTTAACTTGTTTTTTATGTAAAACTAAATGCAGTTGACGTATTAGCTTGACTAACTTACTAATGCCCGCTTGTGATGTTGAAATGACTAACTGTTGACTGAATGAAATGATTTTCTAATAATGTATAACTCACGCCAATAAACTAATCTAAAATGGTGATGTAGACATCTATCTCACTCGCACATTAATTCGGTCAGAAAAGAAAAAGATAGAGGGAGAGAAAATGTCTTGCGTCGCCATTTTACTTTATTTTTATTGGTGTGAGTGGGCAATACTTGTGGTGTGAGTGAGAAAAAAAATCATACATTTTTATTGCCTTTAACAATTTCGACGCCAAATACAAATAAAGGTTCAAACTAAGTAGGTTTTGGTTAATTTAGATTAAGCACAAATAATAAGCCATAAATATTTATTGGTGGATGGCATATTGTAGTATTGTGGTGGCTAAAGAATTTAGTGTTTGTAATGTCTTTTAATTTGAAATCCTGTTTTATTGTATATATTAAAACTATGTAGTTAAGGATTGAAAAAATCAACGAAAATGGATTAATATCCTTAGCACAAATGTCAAGAGGTTTGGTATGGAAGATTTTTAATTTTCGTTACGTCCGTTGTGGCGCTGTTCAATTTTCCATACAAAACTTCTTGACGCGTATCAGGATCGAATTTAGCAATTTTAATTCGACATTGTTTCGTATAGCGAGTGAGTGATAGGAAAGCTGAATATGGCTTGAAGCTATAATAATGTAGCTATTGGGCATGTGTTGTGAAATTTAATATCTCTAATGACGCGATTACTCTTGGTCGTTAGCCCGAATACGAGTGCCAATGGAATTCGGGTAAACAAATAAGTGTAAATGAATGGAGTCGAGTACGCCTGTATTCGGGTAGATTTCCTTTTGTTTACACGACACCGTCCTCCAGTCCGTATTCCAGCATATATATTACTTCGGGTGCCCGAATGTTGGCTAACGACCAAATGTGATTGCGGCATTATACGGCTTTTTGATGGATATTTGAAGCGCAGGTTTCACTTCGAGCTAAGCTTCTTTAGTATAGCTTAGCTCGCGCCTTCTTTACCTTGGGTATTGCATTATGAATTTCTTAGCTTAAGCGCGTTTTCCACCGCCAAAGAGGTATGAACTAGAGGTTTCTAGCGGAGCGGTCTTCGTGTACCTAAATTGGGATTGCTTATCCACGGAGAAAGAGTGGGAGTAGAGATGCGATAAGATGCGAGAGTTCTGAGGAGTTATTCTCTCTTATTCCACCTTCCCCTTTCCTTCAGAGGACCACGCGCGCTGGCCTACTTTGTCACCGTCTATCTGTGGCCACAATTGCAACGCGTAGAAAGAAATTTGGTGACTCATTTCTTTGTCGCACTATCCGTAAATGGAATGCTTTGCCCGCTCACGTGTTCCCTCCCTCTTACAACCTGGGATCCTTTAAAAGAGGCGCGAAGAAGCAACATGCAGGCCGGCAGGGTGAGGATGGCTGGTGTGGCAGGTAGAACTGCTGTATCAGCTGTATTCGCGTCTGGACTTCACCTTCACTTAACATCGGGTGGGGTGGAGTGATTTGTCGGATCTATATATAAAAAAAGATTACGGAGCTATCATGATCGTGCTTGGGCTTCTGAACATTTCGTTTAGTGCTTCATCAGCAATGAAAGCACTGAAAGTCGTCAGATACTTTCTGAAATCGGACAGTCAGTCAAAGGCGTTCTTATATGTTTCTGAAATTGCTTTTGAAACGCAACTAACTGTTGCGCGGCGCCGATCGCACTTATACACGCCAATCGACGCATTCTATAAAAGTCTAGTTTGATTGAGAGTTAACTAGCACCTGCGAGTGCGTTGTACCTATTGAAACGTAGGTAACGCGCATAAGTTGTAAACAAGTGCTGATGTCTTTGCACTTTCACCCTTACGCCGCACTGCATAAGGCTAAGATCAGAATGAAACGCACCACTCGTCCTATATCGCGATCATTCACGTCGCGACCTGCGGTGTTCTGGCAAAATCTGCCGCCGGTATTTTCGCGGTTTTGGTTAGAGAGCGCTTGTGACATTATGTATATTTATTCAACCATGTTTGCGTTTTTGCAGCAAAAGCAAGAGGAATGGTATCGTGACCAATCCGGCGATGCGTCTGGTCCACAATGTGCGCAATGGACTCGGTAAGCAAAATTTTCGATCGCTCCTGTAATGTGGGTATAACTGATTTATTTATTTTTTATGCTTTCGCGCACATCACTCATTAAATAAAACTAGTTAACAATAAGATAATAATTTAACATAAGAAGGAGACAGAAAGTCTCTCCGAGTTTGTTTCGCCGGTTCTTCTCAGAAAGATCTCCCAATTTTGGAACCGGTCAAATAAATAAACTCAAAATTACAAAAAAGAATTTTAAATGAAGTATTTTATTAACTAAATTAACTAATAAATTCATACATAGACAATAAAGTTTTAAAAATTTTCCAATGAAATATCCGAACGCTCAAGAAAAGTCTTTGGAAGGTAGCTCGACAAAGTAAATAAAAAATCATTATTCTGACGATGCAGACCGGAAAAGGCTGCGAAACGTCAATAAATAATTAAAAGTTCGTGCATTAACCCGTGGTAACTAGTTTTATTTAGTGGGAGGAGGAGGAGCTCGATGGCGCCAGTGGTTAGCACGTTCGGCTGCGGTCGTTGAAGTTGAGCAACTTTCGCAGTGGTCGGTCTTTGGATGGGTGACCAAAAATTTACTATCTCGAGCTCCTCCGTGCTTCAGAAGGCACGTTAAGCCGTTGGTCCCGGCTGCATCTGCAGTCGTTAGCACCCACCAACCCGCACTGGACCCGCGTGGTGGGTCATGACCTAATCCTTAATCCATCCATGGGGAAGGCCTGTGCCCCAGCAGTGGGGCCATTAATAGTTCATAATGATAACTCCGAATAAATGTCATTCTATGAAGGTATTCTAACCAGTCTATAATAAACCATTGTACGCGACAGAAGTCTCTTATTTCTAACATCGGACGACCTCCGTGGCCTAGTGGTTTGTACACTGGGTTTCGAAGTGTGGCCTACTCGAGAGGTCCATTCCCTTCCAGTCCAACATGGGTGCTGTGTTATGCCGATAATAAAATAATAAAAATTAAATATTTCCAACACTCAGACCAATTAGCCTAGCCCCAAAGTAAGCACTGAAGGCTTGTGTTATGGGATACTAGGGTAACGGATAGAATACATATACTGTCCATATATAAGTATATTTTTATTATAGACTGACTGGAGTACAAATGCTCGTATTCATCACACAACATCTGCCCCCACCGGGATTCGAATCCGAGACCTGTCGATTAGGCGACACCTTGAAACCCGGCGTACAAACCACTCGGCCACGGAGGTCGTCAAATTATTATGTACCTAGATTTAGACATGAAATTTATGTATGCCGAAAAACATAAAGGAAGGCGCTGGCTGTTGTTACTTTACGTTACTAAACGGCTGGAGCGATTTTAATAAAATTTAGTATCGAGTTAGCTGACACCCTGGATTGTCATAACACATAGGCTACGTTTTACTGCGGGAAAATATCCCTAATAAGCCGCGGGTAACACCACGGGGCACAGCTCGTAAATATTAATTATGAAAATCTCTTTATAGATAGCGCAGCGGCGAATATAAGGCGCACCGGAGTAGCTTTGGCTGCCAGCGCTAGCTCTGCCAACCCTGCGGTCAAAACGAACGCGTTCCAATGGAGGAAAGAGACGCCGCTATGAAACGACGCGCGTGCGAGCGAGACGGCAATAGCTTAGAACTGACACCTACGAAAAACGGAAAAATCTTGTAAGTCGGGAGAAGTTCATTTGACAGGCTTAGCAATGTTGCGAGTGAAAGAGAAGCAGCTATAAACTGTCTGCGTGTGAACGGTACAGCAATAGTCTAGATTTAAGCGATTAATATTATTATTGTACTAAATGTAACCGTTCGAAAGAGATAGATGCAATAATGTAGTCGAGTGAGTGAGACAGCCAAATGTTAATAAGTTATGATTATAACATTTAATTGTATTATGATAAGTACATATAATTATTTTTGGGAATAAAAGCTAACATTATAAAAATATTCAAATAACAAATATTATTGTCTAGTTACTGTTGTAAATTATTTAAAATGAACACTTTTATCTAAAACAGCTGACTTGCAGACATTAAAAATTCTTGCAAAAGGCGCGTTATTAGCAGTCAGGACACTGCATTTATACTGCAAATTTTGCAGCCGGAACGTAGTTCAGAAATAGATCATGTTTCTAGACACTAATTCTAGATCTAAATTGAATCAGAACATTAAAATAACAATCGTATTCCCAACAACATCAATAACTTTAGATCTCAGTATTTTATTCATATAAAATTACGTATATGATAATTTATTTGGTTTCAAATACGTACATTAAATAAAACAGTTTGATTTACGCTCAGAGATTTCAGTTAATTATTAAAGTTGATGTAGATCAGCTGGAATGTAATTGGCATCTCTTAAATCTTCACCCCCTTTTTAAGTTCCTTTTAAGTCTGTCTGTCTTTTTGTCTGCCTATTGAATGATAAATGACATTTGAGTGATATGAACAAATCCGCGTCATTAGGCTAAACTTATTCCTCGTTTATAAATATGGTTAATGTGACTGATTTAATAATAAACAGCAGCTCTCGGAGAGGTAAATAAACTTTTAAGTTTACCTTAAGTTGATACTGTCACTAAAATGAGACACCACGTGATTTAATAGAGCATTAAATTCGTTTGCTGTTTCTGAGCGTGGTTAAAATTCACATAAATAAATAGATATTGTAACTGCTTCTCCTTAGTGATAAGCTCCTCCTCCCACACTAACCGCACTATATTTTTGGCGTTAGTATCGCGGTAGATGCTATGCTATACGAATATAGTTTCTATTGTAACCGCATTAAAGCCTCTGGCATTTGGCCCGATTCTGAAATGATTCTCTGAAGATAAAATTAATGTTGACTGACACTATATCCTCTTTAGCTCTATAGTGAATTAAAGAGATGAAGTACTGTAAAATTTAGTCTCCACCTTAGATTAAAACAAAAAGAGAAGATATTGTACGCTCATGCTAACATCAAATAAAATATGATTGGACTCAACTACATAACCAACTCTCACACACGCACACGTCTGTATATAAACATCCAATCGAGCGAGCGAGACAGAACTGTATCTCTAGCACGAACCAATATCGAATTCGTAACGTTTGCGAGTCCGAAATGTCATTGTCAAATGTGTGCTGATTTTTAGTTCTCGTTACGTACTTTGTGGCGCTGCTGTTCAAGTTTCCATACAAAATTTGACGTTGACATTTCACACTCGCAAACTATTGGAATTCGATAATAGTACAGTATCCTTAGCACGAACCATTATCGAATTCGAATAGTCTGCAAACCGAAATGTCAATGTCAAAATTTGTATGGAAACTTGAACAGCAACTAAAAATCAGCACACATTTGACAATGACATTTCGGACTCGCAAACGTTACGAATTCGATATTGGTTCGTGCTAGGGGTACAGTACTCTTCGACGCAGCGCGAGCGAAACGGCGAGGCTGCGCCCGAGTCAGACCGGCGGAGCTGTATTGCTGTCCCTTTCTTGATAACAAAATGGCGACTTCTTTAATAACGTTCACGACAAACTGTGATTTTTGAGAAAAAAAATTACAGTTTCACGAATGAAAAGTGTTGCCGAGGTATTTGTTATTTGAATTTGAAGTATTTGTGTTCTTATAACTCAGAATATACGCAATGTATTAAGTGCACATGTAGCGAGTTTGAATGTCCAATTGTGACTAAAGCGAATAGGGTATTTGACAAATTTTAGAAAACGATCTCACGTGATTGTCTAATGTTTATGAAGTCCGTAAAAAGTGGATATTCATCATTCTGTTGTGTATTTCAGTAAAAATAACCAATCAAAAAGTCCATTTTCAAGGCCGCGAAAACGTTTCTCTGGACAATATGGCGTCTTACTAGTGTGTGACGTCACACGACTGTTATTAAATCGTCAAACGATACAATGTTATGTCACATTAACCGGACGTTTACTTGCGTGTGACGTCATTTTAGGCTCCGTCAATCCCAAGCGTTTGGGTCACGTGACAATAGATAAGAAAACTATTACCTTTTTCGTTACTTTTTAGTAAAATTATGAATTTTTTTTTTGTAAATATAGTAAAAACCCCTGCCAATATTCGTTCTAAACACAGATGCTAACATATGGCACTTTATTTTTAATACTGTCAAACACCCTATTATGGTCATGCACCACAATTTTAGCGGATCCATTTTTAGCCGCGAGTGCCGTATGTTCCCTTTTTGTTTAATATAAGGTCTTCACAATGAATTTGCATCCACCGTTATGGCTCTAACTGAATCTTAATATAAGACTGTGACCAATATTAATACGCACATTTGAAGTTCACATTGAAAAACTCTAAGAAACAAAAGTCTCATGTTTTATGCAATTTTTAAAATAAATGTTTCGCTAGCACTTCACTGTTAGTACGTATTTCTTATATGTAATCTTGAAAGCAGTACATCCTTATCTTGTTCTGAGGAAATGAAAAGGACAGACTGTTCCCTAGTTAAAAAATGAGGAGCTGGCGAACAAAACGGTATAATTACGCATCTAGTCAAACTACTTTTTATGAACAGTCCGAAGGTTTTGGGCCCGTTGAATTTTAATCTCAAATAATTTTCAATCAAAACCGTCTAAAATAGTGTTGAAATTACTAAATTTATAAATTAAAAACCATGCCAAAAGCTCACTGTAGGTATGCCATTTGACGACGACCTCCGTGGCCGAGTGTACGAGTTTGTACACCAGGTTTCATGGTGTCGCCGACACGAGATGTCCTGGGTTCGAATCCCGGTGGGGGCAGATGTTTTTGTGATGAACACCAGCATTTGTACTCCAGTCATGGATGTTTGATATGTATTTCTATATAAATATACTTATACATGTACAGTATATGTATTCTACCCGTTACCCTAGTATCCAATAACACAAGCCTTACAGTGCTTACTTTGGGGCTAGGCTAATTGGTCTGTGTTGGAAATATTTATTTATTAATTTATTTTAAACAGCTCCAGTAAAATTTAATTTTATGTTATGCTACCGTTTTGTTCTCCAGCTGCACAAATAGCAAATACAAATAGCCATGTGAAATGTCAGCATTACAGATTAAAAAACCGCGAATTGTCGCTAAACGAACTCGCAACGCAGAAAACTTCCACCTTTTAAGTATTAGTACGCAAAGCTTTTTAAAATATTATCATAGTTTGAATATTGCAAGCGCGATCGATGTAAATCAAATTGAAAATATTAAACCTTAATGTCTTAATTAAAAAAAATAAAAAATGGGTGCGTGTACTTATGTAGGCGCGTGAGAAGTTATCCTTCTTTGGCATCGTTTAAAAATTAGTTTTTAATTGCATGCAAATAATTAATTACAATAAATTAATAAAAAGTCTGGAAAAGGACACAGTCAATAAAGTTCAGTTTTAATTTGAAAAAATAAATAAATAATCAAAATATTCAATTAAAATCGCTACTGAATATAATTTATTAGAACATATGTGATTTGCACTTGTATGAAACTCAAACACGTATTCCGAATATACAAACTAGAAACATGTGGATAAATATTATAAATATGAATACCTATAACTGTTACTTTATTACAAAAAATAAAGATGTGGTTTTTGGTTCTACTACACCAATGGTCAAGAGATGGCGCTGTAGTCTCCTGAATCGCGCTTTGGTTCCGTTGTTCCAGATTAATAAATACTTTTGATAGGCCTTCACAATGCAGTCGTTAGCACCCACTAAATAGAGATTCTATTTCTATTTTGTTGGTAGATTTTCTTTAAGTGCGGTAAACACAAAAGTAACAGCATGAAGTTGGTCGCTTTTGTGTTACAGTGATGCGCGCGCATCTTAAAATTTCACTCTCATCATTTTTTCATAACGCGCCTAAAGAAGTATATGTTCAAAAAATCCGCAACTTCGAACCATTTGTATGAAATTAATAAGAGCGGTATATAAATACTACCTCACAAAAAGCTATTGGCTTATATATTAAAATTTATGAACGAAATGACGTAGTAATGGATATTATACGAGCGAGTGAGATAGATGTACTAGTAATTAGGCGATATATATGTGTTAATAATAACGAAGAGTAATTGAAAAATTATATTAAATATTAATATTGCAAATAAATGTTATTAACGATTCACGAACGAAAAGAAAAGTTTTGAAAATAAAAGGATTTCAAATATTATGACTTTGGTCTGTCTCGACGTCTTTTTTGGATTTATTTTATATTTAGAAAAATAACATATTTTATGATGTGGTGAAGTAACGTACACGTGGTAAATGTTATAATAAGCGAAATTAAAAAAATCTATGTAAACGATTCTAACAACCTTTTTTTTTAATATTATCATTTAAATAAATAACATTCAGTATTAATCAAAATGTGTAATAACCTTACATTTAAAAAAAAATCAAATTGGCGATGTCTCAAAACAACAAAAAATAGTACAACTAAAATTTCCTTTATAAAATGATCTCAGTTTTGAACAAAGGTTTTTAAAATAGGTTTTTTTTTGTATAAGTTTTTGTGAATTTTTGACATTTTTTTTTTGGAAACTTCAAGAGTGAGTGTTTTTGCTTATATTTTATAGATAAGTTAATTGCTAATAATCAATACAGACATGCTACCCTTTAAAAGTCTTATAAAGAAAATCTTTAAAAATGAGCTGATTTGTGGTAGATTGATGAATAGATTATGATATGGTAGATTGATGATGTTTTTATAGTGCAATTTTTTTCCTTACTATTTTTTTATTTACCCAAGTCTTTCTTAAATGTGAAAATATGTGTAAATGTGTATGACTATAAGATGATTCTTACTGATCTTTAAGTATCAAATTAAGCAATGTACTATGGCCACCAATTAACCTTAATTGGGTGCTTATTAACGAGATGATTTTCCGCCGGGTCTAGGAACGGTTTTGCACCGGGTATAGGAACGATTTTGCACCGGATCTAGGAACGGTTTTGCACCGGGACTAGGACCGGGTCTAGAACCGTTTTGCACCAGGTCTAGGAACTTTTTTTGCACCGGGACTTGGACCGGTTTTGCACCGGGTCTAGGACCGGTTTTGCACCGCGTCTAGGAACGATTTTGAACCGGGTCTAGGAACGGTTTTGCACCGGGTATAGGAACGGTCTTGCACCGGGTCTATGAACGGTTTTGCACCGCGTCTTTGTCCGGTTCTTAGTTATTTATGGGACACTTTAGAGATTAGTTAAAGACACCGGCGTTAGCGACGGATTGTAGAAACATACAAACCGTGCTCCTGATTAATATTACCCGGCACCGGTCCGGGTAGAAACCGGGTATCGTTAACAAGCATCCGAACGGTTTCAATACGTAAATTAACAAGAATGAATAGGGAAGAAATGTGTTATTACATTGAAAAATATTTAACTCTACGCTGAAATGTTCTTTGATATTTAATATCTCTATTTATTTATTATTTATTTTTAATATTTTGTTTTGATCTTATATGTATACAATAATGAATTCAGCTAGCATATTTTGTTATTTTTTTAACACAAAAATTTTAAACATACGTTATCTTAAAATATTTGCATGAAGTTTTAACTTTTTATAAAAACAGTAATTTTTAATGATCCTCGAACTAGTGACGTGTCTTAAAATGATCGATATTATTATTAATCATTAAAAATAACTGTTTTTATAAAAAGTTTAAGCTTTATGCCAATATTTTAAGAAAATTAGAGAAGACTCCTTATAATGATGTACTTCAACGCCCTTCAAGCTTTATTTGTATTTTCGTAACACCCTGTATATATGGTAATCCAGCAATTTATAGCTTATGATATGAATAGTTTAAACGACTTAAGATATTATTGTCATTCTTTACATGCCTTTCTCGTGGCAAAAGTGTCAAAAATAATATATTATTTACTTATATATTGTATTATAAATGCATTGAATATACAATACATGCTGGTTTCGAAATAAAGCGAATATAGAACGCAACATTTGCTCACGTATCAACAGCCGTATTACACGAAAAGTAAGCTGTCTCTATCGTCTTAGTGTTTCAAGATTAAGATCTGACTTAGAGGAAGCTGTTGTGTTATTTTAATATTTTAAACAACGACTTAGAATTATTAATCCACTAAAAAGTGGTTCCAAGCAAACTACGATCGAGTGGGCGGGGCGAGAAAACTGCGATTGCGAACAGTACGACAAAGAAATTAGTCACCATATTTCTTTGTTCGTATAGGAATAGTGGCCACAGTAAGTCGGTGGCTGGTTTAAAGATAAATGATTAAAATACAATGTACTTCCAAATGGAGAAACATTAAGACCCGAACGATGTCAAATCTGGCGTTTGTAAGGGTGGTTATGGATATATATTTACATATATATATTCTATGGCCATGTACCTTTTTCGTTTTGCCAACTCTTAAAGGGTATGGCTGAAAGTTATGTGTATGTATGTGTGTGTAATTATTTCTCAGTAGTATGGAATTTTTAGTCATAATTTGTGAGCCATTTTCTTAAATATGTATGCGATTTGGTTGAATCTATTTGATTTGTTTAAGTTGAAACGTATTAAAATAATAATTATAAAACTATATATTTTTAAAATGTGTAAATCAACAGACTGAAATGAACAATTTCATTTTTGTGAACAAAAAGACATGATAATTGCATTTCTTTTTCTCGTGTAAAAATGTAAATACCTAATTAGTGGCGAGTTTTTTTTGTGCAACGGTAACACCAAAACGAACGAACGAACGAATGGTATTTTTAAACTTTTTAACTGTGGTAACACTGTCTTATCCAGTGTATTCGAGTAAATTACATAGAAACCACGTTTATTTTCATCGCAAAGAAATTCACTAAATATTATTATAATAAAAAAATAAAACTATAAAATATATTATACATAATAAGTAATATTAAAATAAGATAATAGTTTAAATATTATTATAATGTAAATGGACATAGTGGCTAGTCGTTATACAAATATAAGTGCTATGAACTTGGATTTAGAGTTTAATTTTATTTAACGAGTGCTAACGAGTAGATATCACGAAGATATTATCGTAAAAGAATAATTATTGTTTAATTAAAAATAAATAAAACCCCAATGATGATATTAAAAATAAATCTGTTTATTAAAAGGCAATGTATTTTTAAGGTATTCACTTCTATTAAACAGGGTTTCTCAAAGCCTCTCATATACATACATAAACGTACTATAAAGTCTTTTGTAATATTATTTATCGCCATTTATTTATAAGGTTCGCCTGAAACAAAAAACATTATTACAAGCTAAACATACATCTTATATCTATGTGGTTTTGTTATATTAAGGCAAACACAGCATGCTTGCAAATTAATCGAGTAGATACAGTGTATAAAAAAGAATTATTAGAAAAACAATACAATACAGCCAGAATGACATTTTGACAAGTTCGATAAAAATAGACATTATAGTTATTTAAGTCTGACACAAAGCTATATCCGGTGTTTGAGCCTGCATAAAGTAATAGCATGGACGTCCTCAAACAGCATCATCTGTAAAACTTCGAGAAGCCCTGCATTAAAACTATCACGCGGTTATAATCTGCTTCGTTTTGGTTTCGTGTATATATATATATATATATACTATAAATAAATAGTATATATATATATATATATATATAAGTATATATATAGAAATAAATAATTATTTGCGCAATCACAAGCACGTCTTGTTAACATTTCAAAATGTCTCAATCAATTTTTGTTGTTGCATACAATACGTTAAAATTATTTTTTTAATTATCATCGATATTTATTAAATGGACGCTCAATATTTAAATTGAATATCTACACTGAAAAAAGATCTTTGAGACAAGGCTGTATGGAATTTGAATTCTTTGCCCGCCCTAAAGAGAAACCTTGTAGAACTTAATACTTTCCTCGATTTATTATAACTGTCGCCCGTTTCACCATTGAGTATAAAAGATAATGTTTTCAGTGCAACATGTTAAGTTTAGAAAATTGGCAGATTTTCAAAACAAGACATGCTTTTGATTTGACTTTAAAAAACAAAGAACTCTTCCGTTGATATAAAAAACCCTTAGGACTTAACAAATTTAATTATATTATTATAATTATGAGGCAGCCAAAATTATATAACATAAAAATATAACTACTACGTTTAAATAAATACTTGTATGTAAAAACGCGCAGTGTGCAGTTCTAAATTGATAAATAAACTGAGTCTTTTCCGGTTTAAAATCAATCATCTACTCCGTGGAGCCCTGGACTTTACGTATCGTAAGAAACTACACCACCAAAAGCGACGGTCTCTACGCAAAGTAACAGATGTGACACTTGGGTGATTTTAACCTTTTTTATTAAATTGGCATCTCATAATGCAACACTGTCGGCTGATAAAACGAAAACATTGAAAAGTGCTATAATTTTTGAGTCATCGAAAATGAAAAACAAGATAACTGCTATGTTAACCGACGTTAACCTGCTGTAGCCCCTCAAATGTGTTAGCAATATGACGCTCAAAACCCTGTCTGTGTTAGTTCGCCATTTTGTTTTTAACGACCGGTTTTTATTTTATTTTCCGGACGATTTTCCTCTTATTATTTGAGTTCGAGTTCATCCAGCCTTCATTTGTATTTAAATAAATCTTGAATAGTTTCTCTACAAACTTATCTATGCATTAGATGTGTAAATGAAAAACCATTACTAAATATGATAAAACGCAAAATATGAAAAATAAAAATAAGATCTCAACTCGTGGCAGAAATCTGCCATCTCCACAGACAGGGATTTTTTGACGTTGGCAGAAATCTGCCATTTACACAGACTAGGCGGTAGTTTCACTTAGTTGATTATACGCCGGCACAACACTGCGAGGGCCACTTTACGATAAGCCCATGTGGCAGTTACTCTATTGTACGATGGGTAACTCAATTTTATTAAAATGGTATGTGATAGTTACAAAGTTGTACTCAGATACAAAAATGTTATTCTTAGGCCCTTATGCCTTATGCAGGAATTTTGCTAAATCTCAATTTAACTAAAACTAGATCCATCCCATACAATGATGCCAAATTGACATTGACATTTTGTAATTTTTCTATGGTCTACATGTAGTTTTAGTTGAATCGAGATTTTGAAAAGTTGAAAAAAATTGGAAGTAACTGGTAGTTACTCATCTATAAAAATAATTTAATTTGGATACACAATACAACTTTTTTGAATCGTCCATATTTTTTCCCCTACTGCCTAGATTTGTCATATGAATACGTAGGAACCGTCGAATAAGGTTGTGTTATTTTACTGCGGTCTTCTATATGGTAGCAGTAACATCCTCAGACGCTCCAATTGAAGCGGCAAATCCGCTATGCTCTACCTCTTAAATCCACACACTACGCGTTCTGTGTTAGAAGTCTTAAAAGGTATCTCAGTCTTTAGATATATTAGAACTTCTTCGAAATGTAGTTTTTAAACATTAACGAGACGACTGATGTGTGAATTATTATTATTAGTTTGTTCACGGGAAATATTTGAATGATCCTCAAAAAAATTAGAAGCGCGAGTTTTATCTCATAGCTTTAAATATTATAGTTATATATTAAAGCTTTAAATGATCAGTTAAAGTACGGTTGACAGTACTCAAAGTGAGGTCATGATTTGACAGTGACGTTTAACTGCACAGATCACAGAAAGAGGTTAGAACGGTTTTTTGGGCGGGGCAGGAGCGCCATAGTTACGTGTGAGCAATCTCATAACTTGGCCAAAACTTGGTTCTGATTGCGTCGTTGCTTTCGGGTGTGAGCCCTGTTTGGTTGGATTGTTTGATGTCGCGTTGTTTGATTGGCTATTATCTATTAGATGGAAGTTGAGTGGGGGCGATATCTATGATCACCATTCTAACCTCTAAAACTGTGTTTAACTGTCCGTGCAAGCGAGGTCAATCAAAGTTTATATAGTAAAAAAGTATCATTTCACTCTAACTAGCTCTGTGGTGCGATTCACACTAAATGATCATTGATCACATTAAAAAAACAATCGGCTACCTACAGGTTGATTATATTTTTTTGAGGATCCATTACAATTATAGTGATAAATCATTTAAATGTGTGCCCTTGTAAGGGGCCGTTCAAGTATTACGTAAGCACTATAGGGGGGCAGGGGGGTCTTTGCATTGCTTATTTTTGATGACATGGGGGGCTGGGGGGTCGAGATAGTGATTACGCCAGCATCATGCATTCTGGTGCCATGGACTGAAGACTGTTAACTGGAATTAATATGTATACCAAAAATTTGAAAGAGGTTTGTTTTGTTCGTAATAGTAAAGTTTGTTTAAATTTAAGTACTGCTGCTCATGAATACTCATGAATCAATAAAACAAAATAGAATACATTAAAGGAAAAATGCATATAAGTACCAATGTTTGCGTAAGCATGGGGGTGGGGGGTAAGAGCTTTGCTTACTTTTGCTGACGAGGGGGAGGAGGGGGTAAATAATTGTAATAAATCTGCTTACGTAATACTTGAACGGTCCCTAATTATTATTACTATTAAATCTAGAAAACGTTTTTGTGATTTTTCCCCCGTTTTTCTTGAAAAAGGGCAAGAAAGAATCTTTATTTATTTGAGTATAGTTTTTACTGAATTATGATCGTAGCTTTGTATGTATCGATTGTATGACTGTACAGTGATTTTGTATGTATAGTAAAATAACAACAAATCAAGCTGTCTGTAGCTTTTCAATTTTTTCCAAATAATTTTTAGCTTTATTTTGCTTTGTATTAGATTCACAATCCATTCAAAATATTATATAAGGCTCGTTACATTTAATGTATTAAAAAAAAATATAGTTGAACAGTTGCCGGTTAAGCTAACTCTTATTTGTATTGGTATAAAGTCCACTTTCGACTGTTCATAAATAGGCCTAAAGTAAATATTTATCAGATGTATAATTGAAAATTATGTTTAGAATTCGATAAGTGAATATCGCAAAGTTTTTGGAACGACGTGGCATATATTGAGGCTAATTTAACATTTTTGCATTTGTATCCCTAAAACGTATTGTAAGTATAAAATCGTGTATATTTAAAATTTATATGTTGTAAAAAAACACATTACAGTTGTTATTTAAATTCAATAAAGCTTTACAAGTTTAGCAATAAAACAAACTAACACCAAGACGTATTAATTTTATATAACTCGCACCTAGAGGCGAATCAAAGATGATTACGCAACTCATTTTGTCTCTTTCGCACACCCAGGAATATTGGGTGTAGGAGACAGAATTTTTAATTACTTTTTTTTGGCGAAATTTTGTTAGAGTCTGTGCGGAAAGAGAATGGGATTTAGATTGGATGGCGCTGTAGTGCTTTTCTACCGTATTTGTAAGGATTTACCCCCTTTTAGACATGATTAAATACAAAAAAAAACAGCAAGAAATCACAACAACAAACAAATCCGTATCAATACAAACCTTTGACGTTTTACAGATTGCTGGGTTTGAGTGCCAAATAAAAATCTTAATGTTAGTTCCGTTTTTCGCCACGCCCATTCTCTTTCCGCACAGACTCTACGCCCGAACTTCATTTGGTTATTCGTGTTTGCTATTTGCGAACTCGACATCAGTCTGTCCTTTTCATTCCATATAAAGCATGATAAAGACAGACCGCTGTCAAGTTTACAAATAGCAAATACGAATAACCAAGTGCCGGCATTGAAATTAATATTTGCTTGGGCTAAACCCGCAGACACATAAAGTTGCGCAGTAGATGTTTTTGTATGTGAAGTGTTTATTGCGCAAGCTTCCTTGGCAATTGGTATATATATATATATATATAAATAAAACTAAACAGTTTGAGTCACTGTTGTTGTCAAAAAATGATCATTTTAGACGACTCAGCTTTATAAATCATTTTTATTATGTTAGTGCCGTACGATGAGGCACAGGTCGCGGCACGTAATTCTAGCGCTGAACAAAACGCGTCAGCCCCGCCCCCACGACAACGGCTAACTAGAGCCGAGGTCCGAGTCTCAGGGACGCCCTCTAGTTGAGCCGATCCGAGACGGAGAGGAGACTCACCCCGTGGGGAGATGCCATCCGCCTGGAATACCTCTAGAGGCACTCGCCAATTCTCGGCTTGAGGTCCCCTCAAGGGCGGATCCAGAGTCATGGAGTCATGACCCCCCCCCCCCCCCCCCTCTGGGCTGGGTCCATCTGTACCCACTGTGACTTGACCACGACTATATGACCCCCCCTGGCGCCAAAGCTGGATCCGCCCTTGGGTCCCCTTAGGATCTCGCCGTCCCCAAACCCGGTGACGCTGTAAAGGTCATCTGCGAACAACAGCATACACATTCAAAAAAGTTCTCGTTTCCTCCCAACACATCTTAATTTTTACTTCTGCGCAATAACGGCGCAAGAGTTTCGTGCCGCGACTTATAGTAAACAATTCTTGCTATTTAAACAAGTCAGTAAACTGTAGATGTTAAATTAATTTTGCTTTTATAATGCGGTGTTAATGTGATTATTGATCGAGATATTGTTTTACCGTCTAATATTGACATTGTTAAACGTAAATATCGGAAAATTATAATTAAAAAAAACTTATTTCTAAGGATCAAATTTCTTTCAATTGTTAATGTTAATTGTAATCACTTAATTTGAAATGAATAATGTTGCATTAAGGAAGTCACTTTTCTAAGCAATTTAGTAAATAAAAGTCGATAAAGTTAATAATCACATTTTCCCGCCAAAATAGTTTTTTTTAAATTAAGACGCTTACATAGTCTGTGTATAATAAGTATATTTATTTATTCGATAGATCTTTTCCATTGTAATCGTGTGAGTTTGTGATTTAGATTATAATAATTTTCAATGACTGTACGATACGATATGAATGTGTGTAGCGCAATGCGATAAGTAACATGTTGTGAAGAAATATATTGAAATATATATAATTTCTCTTATTTGTGTGCGTTTTATTTTCACATACCAGCCCCCCAGCATGAGCTCCGCGATATAATAATGTAACCTCGTTTTTATCACGCTCAACCCCTCTAGCATGACCACCGAAACGGGATATGATAAAGCGACATATCGGCATTAACTGTCAGATTACTGTCAAACTCCACTGTAGTCTGACAGTTAATGCCGATATATCTGAATGGTGTTTACTATACAGGATAATGCTATTTTTTAATTGCTTTGCTCAAATTAAGCTTTGTTTTTGTGTTTGTTTGTAGCGATAACCTCTTAATAGAATCTGCTCGTATTGTAACCATAAATATACATATATTTTGACGTGACAACGTCTTAAATTAGGTTGCGGCTGGGAGTCACTTATGAAAAAGTGTAACGCTCGGTAACGTTACGATGAGTCTCTCGTGTTAAGTTTAAGTTTACATGTACAATGTTTTAGTAAACAAAATATATTTCTATAGTTAAAATTTGTGCAATTCTTATTTTCATTCAATTCCTTGTTCCTATTGTGCAATTTAATTATATTCATATCAATAAATATTCTACCGAGAAAAAGACGTTGTCACGTAAAATCTTCGCCCGTAAAACCGACTTTACAGGCAACCATTTTTTATATATTTTTTTTTATTTATTTTCTAGTCTCGGTGCAAAGGCAACGGATTAACACAGCCTTGCCCCTTTTTATTTTTTCTTTTAAATAATATAATTATACACATATAAAAATCGTTAGTGTTTGGCATCCACTTGTCAGATAAAGGACCCAGTTGAAAACCAGCGCCAGTGCATACTGCACTGACATTATGCTGAACAGGGGGCCAATCGCCTAACGGAAATGATTTGGGAAACGCTAACACTTACGATTTTATATTGTTATTTCTAGCCGCCTGAGGTTTTCGCATACCTCACGCTCATTTTTTTTAATATTGTTATTACCAATGCAAAAGAAAAAGAAAGAGCGCGAGGCATTTGAATACCTCAGGCGGCTAGAAATAACAAAATAAAATCGTAAGCGTTAGCGTTTTCCAAAGCATTTCCGTTAGGCGATTGGCCCCCTGGGCCCTTTTCAGCGCAGCCGTGGATACGGAGTGGTATCAGTCACTGTAAGATTTAACTACCTATAACAATTTTATCTGTATCCGTGTTCTGTACTGAATAAACGATTTTGTTTGTTTGTCATATCCCGTTTTGGTGTTCATGCTAGAGGGGCCGGTGTCAAATTACTATGGAGTTTCGACAGTTAGACGCGATAAAGACTGTGATTTAATGTAACTTGTAGTTCTCATGGTACGGGGGCTGATCCCTTTTTAAACGTGGGCACCAAAAAAGAGTCAACTATCGACCATGACTATTGGTCGCGTCGCGTCAGTCTTTTGAATAGGAACTACAGTAACCACTGCAAGAACCAATATCGAATTCGAATAGTTTGCGAGTGCTAAATGTCATTGTCAAATAAGTACTGATTTTTAGTTCTCGTTACTTCCGTTATGGCGCTGCTGTTCAAGTTTCCGTACGAAATTTGACAATGACATTTCGCACTAACAAACTAGGTACTTGAATTTAATATTGGTTCGTGCAAAGGTTACTGTACCCTTAGCGCGAACTAATATCGAGTTCGTAACGTTTGCGAGTCCGAAATGTTATTGTCAAATGTCAAATTGATTTTTAGTTCTCGTTACGTACTTTGTGGCGCTGCTGTTCAAGTTTCCGTACGAAATTTGACAATGACATTTCGCACTAACAAACTATTCGAATTCGATAATGGTTCGTGCTAGGGGAACTGGAGAGTATACGTAACGGAAAAAAATAAATCTGCTCCGGTTCGCATGGTGTTGGGGTGAAAAAAAAAGAAAAAAACATTCGTGCGCGTCAGACAAGGGATGTGACGTGAACCCTAAGATTTAGCTAACCCTAGGAAGCTCCTATTAAAAAGACTGACGATTTGGAAGATGAATGAAATGTTACTACCAAACTGAGATATTGGTCACTTTATTTTTCGGTAGTACCTAATTAATTATGAAATTAAGAAAGAGGCGCCCGGTTGCCTCGAATAATCAACACAAGTTTATCCCAAGATCGCTCAAGATGCCTGAGTGCTTTTTATTGAGGGTCACCATTATCATCATTGATGTTGTCAGTCCACCTCGTGAGGGTCTACCGACTCTGCGCTTCCTGGAGCGAGGTCACCATTGAAGCACCTTGGGACACCAACGTTGTATGTGCGCCCCGCCCATTACCACTTCAGCTTGGCGATTGGATTTTATTGAGTGTGGATGCTGAAATACAATACAGACGATTTCTTAGGCTAATTTTTTTTAAGATTATACCAATAATTTGAAGAAAAAAAATATCAGCTGTAAAATCACGTAGTATACTGGTCTAAGGATTTTTTAGGCAACACATTTTTCTATTTTCTGATATACTAAATTCATGATAAAATATTTTCATTCTATTATCAGCTCGGTGAAGGTTGATGTAGGTTCGGATCTTCTACTATACACAGCTTTAGGTTTCATTTTTTCAGTAGTTAAGCTACTCGACAACAGATGGCGTAACTGGTACCCTTCCTAATTCTATAGTATAGCCCATACTCGGCAAACCATTTCCTAATCGTGCCAATATTTAGTATCAGAATCTGGTATGTGAAAATTTTCAAATTTTGACTGTATATACCCCCCCCCCCCCTTAGACTTAGTAAAACAAAACAAAATATGTATAGCTAAATACGCCCCTCAGTAGTAACTAAACCTAGTAAGGTTCGGCAGCGGGGTTGTCCTTGTCGGAATATGTACGAAAATGGTACTTTTTGGTGATTTTTGTTTGATGGATTCATCTATTGGAGGGTCGCAGTTTGCTCACTCTTGATAGAGCCTGTTATAATGACGTGAATTAAGCGCACGATTTAACGTTATTTGATCAGTGTTCTGAAGGGATTCTTCTTACTCAACCTTATATTTGCGCATTGAAGTACGAGTTCCGGCATCTGTAGGCCTATTCGCTAACTACTTTTGACATTTGGAAGTAATAATCTGTGCTGTACTGCTTTACTATAACGCCTCTAAGATACTTGTTCTGAAAAGCATCGATGGATATGCAATTTTATCTTTAATTACACATTGTAAATGTCAAAAAAGTTGGCGAATAGCGGCTGGACGGGCTGCTAGAGTGCACAACAAAGTTCTTTCAAATTATCACCTCGAAAGAAGAGAAAACATATTCAGTAGTTTAACTACTCGACACTAGATGGCGCGCACAAAACAGACATATTATAGTCGTTGCAGTATTTAACGAAGGAACTTATAAGTTTCTTGATATTACCTTTTTCATCAAAAGAGATTATGTATCCAAAAAAATTTTTTTTTGCTCCTGTTACATTTTTTGAAATGTTAATGTTAGTGATTTAAGTAACCAGCGTTTAAACCGCCCAATAAACAATTAAAAGGCAAATTGGGGTTGGTTTTGTGCTCTCCGTGGTAACATGATAGCCGCACGCACGTTTTTTGTACTTGATAAGTTGCTTATAATAGCAGGGGTGATTTAAAGAGTCATGTTTTCATCGACAGGCTTGAGTACAGTTAGTTTTTTGATGAATAATTATTTTGCCTTGATATTGTTCACAACTTGCAATATTACCAACATTGCATTTAGCAATTAGTAATTATTGTTTGTTACATGAATTGATATCTGCGATGTACTTACTTATTATATTTTTATTCTGAGCATTTAACTGCTAGATGTTCAAATCTAAAGAAAATGTTAATAGAAAAAGTTTCACTTGATCCAGGTTTCAGACGGGATTAGAACCTGCATCTTCCGCTATCCGCTCGGATCTCGGACTCTTTACCACAGAAAAATGATAGATTATTGAGGGACTATATAAAAAAAAATGGATGCGTGTAACTTATGTACGCGCGTGAGAAGTTATACTTCTTTAGCATCATTAAAAATCTAAAGAAAAGTTTACTAGAAAAAAAAAATCCACGCGGACCAGGCAGCGGACGGGACTCGAACCCGCATCCTTCGCTATCCGGGTGAATGCACTGACCATTATGCTACCACGGCCCTATTAGCCGCGTCGAAATTTTCCTAGCTTTAAGCTGCAAGGCAGCGCCATCTCATCGCATTGTAGGTAATCCACAATGTCAAATGAATACTTTTTCAAGTATTAAACATTTGAAAGAAGAAATAGCAATTATAGTTATGATTTTATTTATTTTTTAAGCATTTAACTGCTAGATGTTTAAATCTAAAGAAAAGTTTACTAGAAAAAAAAACAGGTATATATTTTTTTTCCAGAAATCGACTTTACGAGCGCCGATAGTTTGTCACCCTTTAAGGAAACCCTAATAACTTTAGAAAACTCCTGCAGTCCTTTAGAAAGGGGGAAGGAGACAGGCGCTCTAAATCAATCGGGTGATCCACATCGTCCCGTCATGCCTCTTAAACATTCTCAAATGTCGCCTTTAAAAAGTCTTTAGCTACAAAACAAGGCGTCCCAAGGGGTCAGTTCCGCTACTCGCCGCGTGGCGCGCGCGTGTGCACCAAAGAGCCCTTTTGTTCAAGCATCCTGCGTATTCTTGACATATTGAGCATAACAATGTGTATCGTATTACTAAGCGTGGTCTCTTCCTTAATTGCCGTTTGGCGAGAGGTTTAAGGACACGTATTGTTGTTTCAAAGACAAGGAAAGGAACAAGGACTGTCGTAGATGTACACTGGGGTATTAATAGTTTATTAAACTTGTGGTAGCTGATTTATTATTTCAGTTTAGTACATTTTAGCCCCTTCTTATTAAACGAGGAATAAATTTAAACTATTAATAAAGCTATTAACGGGATTGTTAACCATGAAAGTTTAAAACAAGACTAGTTATGCTGTGTCTTGTTCATGTCACTCAAATGCCTTTTGTCATTCAATGAAAAGAGACAAAAAGTGGAGTAATTATACAAGTCTATTCTTCGTTAATTAATAAGAGAGTACATTGTTTACG